TAATTAGTCTATTTATAAGTTATATATTTAGATTATTCTAATATAATCCTTTCTCTTTTAATTACTTATATAATATAAGATTTATATAGAATCCTAGGGTATAGGTTATATCTTTAAGATCTAAAGAGATCTAATATTTATTAGTTATTTTAAGATATATTATAATTATATTTACTCCCTTATATAGGCTATACTTTATACTAGTCTATAATATATTATTAACTAATATATATATAGTGAATTAGGATTAATTATTATAAATATATATACTTATACCTAAATCTAGGATATAGCTATTACTTAATATATATTTTATAATATTATTTATATTAAATAGTTTATCTACTTTTTATTAAATATATATATTATCTATATTAATAGTTTAGTTTATTATAGAGCTCTTAGTTATATACTTATCCTTATTAGATTTAATATATATACTATAAATATTATATATTTAATAGATAATATTAGTATTATATATCTCTTCTCTTTTTATATAGAGCTTATTTACTTTCTTATAGATCTTATTTATAATATTTTTTAATATAAGGATTCTCTCCTCTACCTATTTAAATCTCTTTATAATAGTATTATCTAGTTTCTATCCTAGCTTCTAGATATATTTATTAATATATAGGTATATATTAAATAAATATTATTTATTATATATATATTTATCTTTTTTCTTTAGCTTATAAGGCCCTTAAGTTTAATTCTTATTAGCCTCCTTTTTAGCCTCCTTCTACCTATTTTTATCTTATTCTTTATATATTATAAATACTATATTTATAGAGTTAGTATACTTATTTAATTATATTATAAAATATTATTAAAAATCTACTAATAGTTTATTAATAGTTATTACTTATAGGTCTTTATATTAAAGCTTTAATTCTATATTTAATATATAGCCTTTATAGAGTTAATTAATATAGCTTAAGAATTATAATATTAGTTATACCTTATCTATAATAGCTTTAATCCTTATATCTTTATAGTTATAATATATAGATTCCTAGCTATTTAATTATTTATTTAGATTAGTCTTTAATATATATTTATTATTAATATTTTTTTATTAATTTATTAGCTTAGCTTTATAGTGTGTCTCTATTAGTACTAGATATATTTATAACTACTTAATTATCCCCTTTATAATATTATTATTAATTATAATAGTTAGAAGATTAGTCTATATAGACTAAAATATATAGCTTAAGATATAGAAGATCCTTATCTTTAACTATTTATATTTCTTTTATTTATAATAATACTCTTTATTAGCTTTAGTATATATAATTAGTTAATATCCCTCTAGGTCCTTAGATAATTATGCCTCTTTATTATAGTTTATAATATCTAGAGCTATTAGTAGCTCTAGTTTTATATTATTATCTAGATTAATATAATCCTAGATATTATATAAATCTATAATGATTTATAGGGCTTTATACTAAAGATGCTAGTCTATACTATTCTTTAGTAAGACTAATATCTTTATATTGTCTAATATCCTGTCTAGAATACTCATTATCTTTGGCTCGTTGGCGGTGCGTTGGCGGTCTGTATACACGGCATAGGTTTGCAAATATCGTTTTGGCTCAGCGGAAGAGCATTGGGCTCATAACTTTAACAAATCCTATATGTATTCAGGGCCAATAGTATCATATTCCTATATGATTCGCACACTCAGGCCTATCTGACGTCGGTCAGGCTAGATATGCCTAGTGAATGAAAAATCGGAGTGTAATGCTAACTACATTAGGCTTAGCTAGTCAGGTGACGGTGTAAATATACGCGAATCATCCTGATTGGCAGCCTCAAGGTCATCCTTTCCTGCAACAATTCTTAAGTATTATAGTAACTTAAATTCTAAAGATCAATCCCTTTGCACATCCCATTCGCTCACTCGTCGGTAATAAACACCATTCCACATCTGCTCAGCTGGATACATACCAGCTGAACTGTTTTGGGTGATTTTTACCGAGCAACATAATATATACCTAGTAAGGACAGAGATTCGCTTCGATATTCCATTCAATTATCCAATATAAGCAAACCTGCCAATGGCCTCTGAAGCTCTCGTCAATCTGGCGTACGTGCGCCAAATGATCAAGTCCAACTATAAGAGCCAGGCATCAGATCTGTTCATGAATGAGATCCAGAGCTCTATCCTCTTGCGGTTCTCGTGGGGAGAGCTGCTAGCCACGGCGCCGACGGCCTTGACCCTCCTAAGCTCTCTGTGTATTGCTGCCTCCAGCCCCATGGCAGGGGAACTGTCGCTGGCCGAGGGGATGCCCAAGAACGGGTTCCAGTACCTGCAGAACAGAGGAAGATCCTCGACGCTGCGAACCGCTCTGCTGGATGGTAAATAATGCGCCCTTCCTTCAAGCATAGTAACTGACTCGGTAGTCTGCAACGGGGGCTATAAGGCCTTTGCAGCCAGCGACAATGCTAAAAGACAGGGCGAGATTGTTAAACGGCAGGTGGACGAGGCCGAGAAACGGCTAGGCGACGCTCTGGAGAATATCCCGGGCCCCTGGACGCAGGCCGCCCGGGGGCTCGTTACGGGCTTCACCGAGGGCTTGCCATGCCTAATTGCCGCCCCGCTGCGCGCCATCCTCCAGGGGGGCGCCGCCCCGACCGACAGCGCTCCCTCCAGCGCAGCCCTGGGGATTAGGGACTTGGTGGCCCTATTCTATGAGTCCTTGGGGGGGCGCCTCGGGGGGAGATTGACCTGGCCCAGTTCCAGGGCGACTGCACCACGTACCTGGTCAAGACGCTCACCAGCTATCAAGAGAGCCTGGGTACCACCGATACAGCCGGCCGACACACAGTGTTTGATAAGCTCATCTCGGTATGTATTTTTCTTTATCCTTCTTATACAAATTTTACTATTATTTCTAATGGTACTATCAGACCACCCACGCAATCGAGACAGAACTGGCCAAAGGGCGCAGTATCCCGCCAAATACAGTCTCCAACTGGAAAACAACCGTCAAGACAGGAAATCCAGGTATGCGAGAAACTGTGCCAAAGAGCGGCTGGTGGCGATAGACACACTGCTGGCCAGCAGCAGATTCTGATCCAATGCTCCGAAGAAACTGCCAGGAATACTGCCCAGATGGTGGGAACCAAGCACCAGGATATGTACGAGAAGCTGCAGGCACAGGCCCGGCAGGCTAATACTTCCAGGCAGATGGTCGAGGAGTTCATGCAGGGACATGGGATTGTCTTCAATGAAGACTCCAGGCAGGCCATCAGGGGGGGTGCAGATGGGGGAAGTATTAGCAAGTAGATAGATAATTTATGCATTTAATAAGAACATTTTAGTATCAATCTCACCATCCAGTCTATGTAGTATTATTTCACTTGCTACTGTAATTATACTATAGGAACTGGCTGACAGCTCTACTTATAAATCTAGTTCTAGCTCACATAAGAACTCGTCTTTATAAGTACCATAAATAATTACCTCAAGAGACTATTAATAGGGAATGCTTGTACAGCCTTGGAGAAGGCCAATGAGGCTGTCTTATAATATAGCCGCCCTTGGCATCACAAGAATACGAGAATTCACTCTGCGGCTGATTATGCAGTGCTTATAAGTGGAGGACAGTACTACAATGACAGTAGTTAAGTAGTAATAGGATCAAACAAACACAACATGGCATATCAACGGATGTCGCCCAGAGATGAAGCTCTCCCTGAACAGCCTGCAACCCCCCGCTGGAAACGCTTCCTCCACTGGCGGAACCTGCTGGGCATCCTCTGGCTGGCGCCCGCCATCGCCCTCCTCCTGCTCAACTTCCAGGGCTACATCATCGGCGCCGGGCTGGCGTGTCGCGGGGCCTGTGGCATCAACGTATACTCGGCAACGACCGTGCAGCAGACCCGGAGGCTCGACCAGGGCAACCGCGACGTGCTGGGGGCGCTGCAGCTGGTGGCCAAGCTGATTGAGCTCTGGTTCCAGTTCATCGCCGGCAGCATGGTGGTCAGCATTGCCATGGGCCTCTCCCATCGCCCGGGGGTGCCGATGAGCCTGTTTGCCATGTACGCCGAGTTCCTCGACGGGCTGTACCTGCATGATTTTATAAACAAGGTCTGGCGGGCCCTCCGGTCTCGAGGCCAGTTCCAGTCTCATTCCGCCGACGACGACGACGACGACAACTCCCTGCAGGTCAGCACGACCACCGCGCTGATCGCCAACACCACGGGGGCAGACGGCAAGCCAGCCAGCCTGGAGGGCCACCGCGGCCCCCTGTACGCCTTCCTGGCGCTGGCGGGGGTGCTGGCGCTGGCAGGGAGCCTGATGGGGGTGGCGACGGCGATTCTGGTGCTGCCGTCGCTGCAGTACATCGACATCAACCGCCACGCCGGGCGGGCCTTTAACGGCACCCAGGGGGCAACCCCCCCGGGCACGCTGCCGGGGCCCTATTGCAGCGCCGCAGCGCTCGCCCGGGGGGGTTACGCCTGCACGGGGATCCTGTACGCCGCCAGCCTGGACGGGATGGTGGACGCGGCCAACGTGAGCATCGGGCAGGCCGAGTACCAGGACGGGAGCATCCTGCCGCCCGTGTGCCAGGAGGGGATGCTCTCGTTCAGCTTCAACACCTCGCTGACGGGCTCGTCGCTGTGGACGCCCAGTCGGCAGGTCCTGCGTGCCCTGTCGGTCGACTACGAGGACTGGTTGAACAGCACGACCAGCTCAAAAGTCTACCGCCGCGACCGATACCCAGACTCGTTCCGCTTCAACCACTCGCTGGCCACGCAGCTGCAGCGCGTTGGGCCCTCGATCGGCATCCAGGGCGACTGTTACGGGGGGAACCAGTCGGGCGTCACCCAGGTCGAGCTGGCCGCCGAGCAGTTCGTCCGCTGCTACGGGAACATCACGCTGGACGAGGAGTACGAGCCGCTTGCCACGCCGTTTACGCGGTGCATCCCATGGGGCAGGGGCTGGAACGAGAGCGCGGCCTTCTCGTCGGCCTCGTTCACGCTCAACGACTCTTATCCTCGCGCCTGGACGGCAGACTCGCAGGCCGTCCAGGTGCAGATCTACTCGACGCCCGTCGCCCGGTATATCCCGTCGGACCAGATCAATGTGTCGTCGTCGCCGTCGCGGGCGTATTGGGAGACCCTGTTCGCGTCTCCCGCCCCAGACAACACCTTCTGGAACATGTCGTCGTACTCCCAGACGTTCGAGTACAGCATGGCTTCGCAGCCCGAGTCGCTGATCTGGTGCGACAGCGCCTCGTTCCTCAGCTTCGCGACGTACACCCTCAATCCGACGCAGGGGAGCAATCTGTTGCTCCTGGTCCAGCTGGAGGTCGACAACACCGCCCCCAGTGTAGACCCGTCGTCAGATAATAAAGCAGCCATTCCTATTGACGCCGCCTGGTTTCTCGCCGGCTGGTCCGCCAACGCCAACGGCAGTGTCGCTGCCACCCGCAGCGCCGCCCAGGGCTTCATCGATATGTATTACGGCGCCATCGACACGGGCGACGTGGTTGACGCCTTTGTCTTTATTCTCCTGCACGAGTACTCTGTGCTGCACACCATGTCGCTGGTGACGCATGAAACGCGCGCAGTGACAACCGCCGCCCAGCGCAGCGCCCAGGCCCGCCTGGAAGCCCGGGATCCCGGCCTCAACGCCATGCTGCGGTCTTGGGCGACGGTGCAGATGTGGCGGTACTCGCTGGGCTCGGCCACCAGCATCTTCGGCGTCGTGATCATGGTCATCGGCGTGGTGGTCACCTTGCTCCGTACGGCGCTCTTCCTGCGGGCGCCGCAGGAGAACAATCTGGTCGTCACGGCGTTGCTGTATGCCCCAGAGTCGGTCAGAGTCAATGGCTTGCCATTGAGGGTTAAAGGGGGGGGGTTATTTCCAGTTACACAGTGACAGAGCGCAGCTCTGTAATATATATGATTTACTTGAACTTGTGACTTGATTTTAGTAGGAAGCTCTTCTTCCTTACCTATATATATTATCATTCATTGTCTCATGTTATTACTATTATCTTATTTTATTCTTTTATACTTCTTTATTCTTTTACTATTTAGTTTTATAAGTCTCTTATCTTGCCTGCTTCTATCTTACATGACTGGTGATAATTGAGATATGGTATAGTATTACAAGCCTGATATCCACTACATGAGTCAAAAGGGACTATAATCATATATTAACAGTGATGAAGTATATATAATATTATGATTTTGATAAGATATTATAGAGCAGAGCTCTATAATTCAAACGCTCTAGACCTACATCCCGCAATAATATACCTAGATACTTAGGTCTGTTGGCAGCCACTCTAGACCCAGGGCGGATTGATATTTCTGTATGACAGAGTAATATTGACTGTTTAAATCATGGCTTCTTAAGTCGCAGTTATAGTTAACCAAAACTAACTAGTACTATTTAGTACACTCACTAACTATATCAGGTATAGCCTATATAGAATACATGACTCATCATTTACCCATGACTCTCATACTCTATCTTATTATTCTCTACTATTTCACTATTCACTTCTTATGTCTGCATACCTACACTCCCTCTTTGGCCTGTCTGGCCGCATTGCCGTCGTGACAGGCGGCAGCTCCGGCATTGGGCGCGAGATGGCCACCGCGCTGGGCAAGGCCGGCGCGGTGGTGATTGTGGTCGCCCGCCGACCAGGCCCCGTCCAGGAGACAGTGAGCCAGCTCTCCGACCAGGGCATCCAGGCGTTCGGGCTCCCTCTGGACGTTCGCGACGCCCAGGCCATCGCCGACAGCGTGCTCGAGAAGCATGGCGTGCCCGACATTCTCATCAATGCAGCGGGAATCAACCGCCGCATCCACATGGACCAACTCTCCCTGCAAGACTGGGAGGAAACCCTGGCCGTCAATCTCACGGCGCCGTTTGCCCTGGGCCAGCAGTTCGGGCCCGCCATGGCCCGCCGGGGGAGCGGGCGCATCATCAACCTCGCCAGCCAGCAGTCCTTCCGGGCGTTCGGCCACAGCGGCGCCTACGGGGCCTCCAAGGGCGGCCTGGTCTCGCTCACCCGTTCGCAGGCCGAGGCGTGGTCCAGTCGCGGCGTTTTGTGTAATGCTATTGTTCCTGGTCTGGTCGAGACGCCCATGACTGCCGCCGTCTTTGGAGATGCTGAAAAGACGCATGCCCACGCCGCTCGCACCATGATTGGGAGGAATGGCGTGCCTGGGGACTTTGCAGGCATCGCTATCTATCTGGCCAGTGCCGCCAGTGCAACAGTTACAGGGCAGGTCTTTTTTATTGATGGGGGGTATTCAGCGACATAAATGCATTTATTAATTATTATTCAACTATCTATTAGTTCATATGTGGTATTCATGAATATGTTAATGGGATTCTCTTATATATGAGAATCATTGTATTGCCAGTGTGACTGGCGGCTTGTAATAGAAATGCTTGGAAATACTAGACATAAGACTGGTGGAACATGCATATCATTTATCCTCTACTCCTTGCTCATGTAGCTCGGAAATCCTTGATCAGGACACAATTACAGCATTAGCTGCATATAAGATGCATGGACCAGGTATCATGGTCAGTGCGAAATCTTGCATTATATCCTGGCTAGTATAGTGCACGGAATGGACTCAAATTGGCCATTGGTCTTCAAGGTACTGATCCTGGTGCCCAAGACTAGTTCTCTTTGAGTCTTATAAAGCTCTCGTATAAGTTGCCGACAAAGAGATGCCTCCTCCAGCCAAGACATTCCCCTCATCACTCAACATGGCAGATTTCAATATAGCGCTCCTGGCGCTAGAATGTGATTGCGAGGAATCATGCGATACTGGACGTCTTGGCAGAGCTCACAGTGTGGCTTCTATGACTGACTCAACATCCTACGCGGAGATTACCGAGATAAGATGTCTTCCTCCTATTTAACTTTGGCCATGGATCAGTGGCAATTTATCTCGTATCGTACAATGTAGTAAATAGACGTGTTTTACTTTGAATTATGATGGAATACTGCCATAATATAGACCACCAGCATAATTATAATGCACGCCATACTTCAGAGTATGCAACCTGATCTAGGATACCATGAGCCTCTATCTCAGTCTCAGGACCTAGGGACTTGGTCAGCGCCTGAACTGTTACTCTCTGATTCGCCCGTGGATATTAACACCATGTAGGATCTTATTCGCCACAGGATATTGACATGGTCTTGATCCCCAGTGTCCATGCTGCATTAGCTTAAGACTTTAGCTTCTGACCATTTCACTAACTCCAGGCTAGGTGCTCCGCGGACCTCCGTAGAGAGAACGGGTTGAGATTAGCTCAGGCTATTGATCCTTAAGCTTGTAAATATAGCATGGTTCTTGAAGAGATGACACCTTGGACTCTGATGTATTTCTCCCCTTATATCTGTTCTGTTTTGATGTGAAACAGAGTATGTCGAGTAAAGTCGCGAATCCATTATACGAGATCAGGTCGCATCAAGTCGGCTAAAGGGATTTGACATCAAAGTTGGAGGAGGCAACTGGGAAGATGAAACGGAGCCCTGGGCTACCAATTACTCGATGCAGCGATATTAAGCGAAGCGGGCGTGCCAAGCGCAGTCTTAATCTGCAGATGGGGTAAAAACGCCAGGAAAATGATTTATTCATTATTATTATTATTATTATTTTTTCTTTTTGAATAAGCTAATGACGCTAAAATGTACCTCACTAGCTGGAATGGGTGAAGAGTCACGCTGCATTGTCTAATCAATCAATCTTATCTGATACCTGCCATCGCGTGCCAAGCCACAGCGCCAAGCCTACAGACCGCATTCTATATAGCGCCTCGCTGGAATACGCCGTTCAACGCCGAGGAAAAGCCCTGGTTATTGGCATAAAGTCTTGTTTAGCTTAGCACGGTGAGACAAGCATTGTCCTTTTGAGTAGGGGTCCGCAATCGGCCCACACCACCTGACGGGTGGAAATGTCACCATTTGATATACGGAGAGAGGCCTCAACTAGTGAATTAGATTAATAATGCCTCATGTCATACTTACGCAGTTGGTTTCATTCCTCCAGGCCTCGCTGTCGGTGGCTTCGGCCTTCGTATAGCGAAACTCACCGAGGCGTCGAGCCAGACACCGGCGCCCAATCACCAAACAGGGATAAAGTAGCGAGCTAATTTCTGTAGTAGTGGTCTACTCTAGGCTTCTTCTGTGAGGTTAGTCGTGTAGCGTTCATCAACCTATCAGTTTAGTCGGGAGAAAGAGTTTCTTCTAGTCGGAGAAATTTTCTCGCCCTCTCTATATAACCAGCTCCCCGAGAGATCGAAATGACCCCGTCCGCCCTCTTCCTACAGCACTGATCACGATGCGTCTGCTCTCCCTCCTCCTCACTCTGGCGGCATGTGCCTCGGCACTGCCGATGGACTGCGGTTGGGCGTGCCTGTTCACCGTGGAGGACATCCCCTTTACCGGCATCAACAGCAGCACCGTCGGCTTCTATGTCTTCGCATGCACCAACCCCCTGGCGGTGCAGTCCATCTTCATGTGTATGCGGTATTACTGCACAGAGCACGAGCAGCAGGTTGCCCTGAATGCGTTTAATGATACCTACTGCCCCCTTTACGACGTTAAACTGCCGTCCTGGTCGATCATCGACAACATCACCGACGCCGAGGCCGAGAAGGAGTGGCCTCACATTGATTATGACACCCGTGCACCGACTGAGACCTTCTACACGCCCGTTTGGATCGAGAGGTCCTACTACAAGATCTGGTACCGCACAGAAGTCAGTCTTCCTCTTCATTCGGTTGATACTATTGATATTGACTGCACAGAGCGATTTCGATAACATCGAGGTCAATTCCGACAATTACGGGTATGGCTTACTTCCATCCATCTATGTACAAGTACTGACTGACCGTGTAGATATGGAATCCTCGGCTTCTGGGGCGCGGTGCTCTTCTTCGGCATCGTCAACAACCTGTGTCGCTACCTCCGTCGCCATCATCGTCTCCCCCGTGCCTTCACCCTCTTCCATAGATACCTGGTGGTGCCGCCTGTGCTGCGCAGCCGGTCGACGGTTCCTGTCATCCACTCGGAGATCCCGCCGCTGATGCAGACGCTGATGATCATCATCTTTGTCTGCCTCAATCTGATCCTGTGTTTCGTCACCTACGATGCCTTCAGCCAGGATCTCTTCTGGCACAGCAAAGCCGACCAGCTGATGCGGTATATCGGCTGGCGCACCGGCGCCATCTGCACCCTCAACATCCCCTTCCTGTGGCTGTTTGGCATCCGCAACAACCTCCTCATCTGGATGACCGGCTGGGATTTTGCCACCTTCAACCAGTTCCATCGCTGGATCGCCCGCGTCATCACCCTCGAGGCTCTTGTTCACACCGTCATCTTTATTGTCTTTGAATATCGAGGTACGGGCTTGCCATTTCTACTATTCCATACCCCCTGCTGACAGTCTTAGCCGGCGGGAGAGTCTATTTCATGACCGAGTTCTGGCAATACATAGACATCTACATGGGAACCGTTGCAACTCTCTGCATGATGTTCCTCTGTGCCCTGGCCGTCTCCAGCTTCCGTCGGGCGGTCTATGATGTCTTTGTCTTGATCCACAAAGCTCTTGCTATAGTCTTCCTGGCCGGCCTTTACTAGTAAGTTTCCCCTAACCCTAACCCTAACCCTAACCCTACACGGTACTAACAAGTCAGTCACCTTTTCTACGATGGACCAGCATATTTGAACTACATGTGGCCGGCCGTGGCTTTCTGGGTCTTTGATCGCGTCCTCCGATATGGTCGCCTGGCCTACTGGAGCATCGGCGCCCCTCGCGCCTTCGCCGAGTATCACCGTGACGCCGATGTCATCCAGGTCACTGTTCCCGTTCGGCAGTCCATCTCGCCGCAGCCGGGCACGTACTTCTTCCTGTACTCCGCCCACTCGCTGCAGGTCTGGGAGAGCCACCCGTTCACCCTGGCGGGCTGGCGCAGGGCCAGTTCCCCCGGCGGAACAGCCTCGGGGCGTGATGAACTCATCTTCCTGTTCCAGGTGCGCAAGGGCTTCACCTCGCGGCTGCGCAAGACGCTCTGCAACAGGACCGATGGAGACGGAAACGGGGCCTGCAAGGTCCGCGTCAACGTCGAGGGCGTGTACGGCACACCATACTCCTCCGGCCACTGCGCGCGCCAGCTGTTCGTGGTGGGTGGGATGGGCGTCACTGTCGCGACGGCGTATCTGCAGAGGTTCGCCGAGGCGATCCAGCAGAACAAGTCTTCTGTGCGCGAGATCCATATCATCTGGGCCCTGCGCAATTATGCCCTCTTCCAGTATATCCAGGAGACGTGTTTGACTCTGTGGGAGCAGGTTCCCGTCGCCGACCGGGTTCATCTCTCCATGGACGTCTATCTCACGGGCGATGCAGACGTCCCCAATACGCCCAAGGAGGTCACCTCGGAGAAGATCTTCACCCCGGCCGTCGTCCCCATGGAATCAGATAACGATCAGCCACCATCCACGCCTCCCTCCCAGGCGTCTCCCTGGACCATCCAGTTCTATAACGGACGGCCGGATCTGACCGCGGCGGTGGTCTCGCACGCTCGCTCCTTCAGCTCCGAGGAGACTAAATCCCTGGCCATCATCGGCTGTGGTCCTCGCTCCATGACGCACTCCACGAGGGTGGCCATCTCCATGGCCATGGAGAGCGATCTGGAGGTCGATTACTATCTCGCGCCGTTTGATTGGTAGTCAAAAGTTTAGATCTAGATATTAGTAGCTTCTTACACATATGCAGTATATACATGCTTTATTAAACGTGCAGTAGACTGTACATTAGAATGATACAGTATTCTGTTTCTTATAAGATGAAACTGTATTACAGGTTGTATTACATTCTGGTATGGAAATGTTATTAAAGTACCAATTCATATCCATACAGGTAACCCTAACCCTAACCATTCCTTAGTGGTGATGAAATTGGTGCAACAGCGCACCATAAAGGTTGTGAGGGTATATCTTCAAGGATAAGTGAGGTCAATATGATGAAGACAGGCTAGGATACCAATCAGTGGCTTAATGAAGAACTTTTTCAGTGTTGATGGAGGAGAGGGAAGACTTCCTATGTGATATATATATTCTGGTCTAATGTTGTCTTGGATCTGGGAGTATTAACTAAATTTAAATGGGTATATTCACTAGGCAAATGAGCCTGACATAATTATATTTTCACCAGCGTTGCCGCGCTCTCGATCGCCATATTGCACCCTTGCCCAGCCTTAGGAGTCATCTAGAAATGTATTAAGTGAGTGAATGTAAATCAAATACCCTCCTGGCTGGATCGCCAATACCCGTCGCCAGTTGGCTTCCTCGAGGGCCACGTGATTCATATAGATGGATCGGCGGAAACCTGCCAGTGTAGGAAGATCCATTGGCGCAGAAGACGCGGACGTGCGTGGGGAGATGCTTAACATTCACCACTTTCTTCTCCATGTGGACGTGTTTATAGCCGTGTCTTCAGTTTTGTGAGATTGATTGATTAGGTTTAGGGTTTAATGAAAAGAATATACCTCTTCCTGAGAGCAGATCTAGCGCGATACGAAGCTAGCTGAATATGACGCCGTCAAGGTAGAGTAGACCGCAGTAGGAAGTATAGTATCCCGTCAAGATTGATGAGGTTCAGAGTGAGTTGTTGGGCCCCAATGTTACACAACAGATTTGTGAGAGAGAGACTAATAGGATATGACAGAACAAGAAGTAGAGAGTAGACTGATCTCTTTACTTGAAGGTATCATAATTCTTTAACCAAGCATCTGATTCACTCTCTATTCATATCTCTTAGAGACTCTATGCTGATTGAAAATATATATGTATAATATAGGAAAATGACGTTCTGATCATTTTATATCATCCCTTTGCTGACTAGTATAATATGAATCTATTAGTATTGACCACTCCAAAAATGTCTATAATAAGTAAAATACGGGAAGATCTTGTTTCCCCCCGTGGGGGCCGATCTGGAGAATCTGACATAGAACGCTTACTATTCCTTGTCATCAAGTATATTGATAATGTTAATTTGACAACTACCCTGCCGCCAGCATTGAGCAGGGCATCTCTGGAGAATTCCACATACTTCCTACTGAAGCGAGGGGACAGGGCTCGTGGTGATGAGCAGATACATTATTGTTATGTTGATCTGTGAGTTTAGCCCTAACCCTAACTGGGGATCATACAGACAGAGATCAGTAGTCTATGTAGTCTACTACATGTATACTATAAGTATTATGATCTACCCTCAAAAATATAATATCTTATGAATCAGGTGATCTCATGTGACTGCTCCTCCTCCCTCTTCCTCTCTCATCAATTTCATCTCTTCCTCCCTTCTCCTTTCTATCCTGCCGTCTCCCCTTCTCCCTTCCCTCCCCGTTTCAATCCTCACAATGCCTCCACTCAGTCCATTCTGTGTGGCGATCAGTCCGAAGGTCAGTACTCATCATTAGAATTGATTTGCCAGAAATACACTCACGATACTCTCCAGCGCATCGCCGATCCCCCCCCAGTGACGCGTTCCAGCAAGCGTCTTCGAGTCAAGGAGGAATCCGTCGAGCCAGAGGTCCAGGTTATTTCCGATGATAGCCAGTCCGAATACCTTCCCGACGATGAAGACGATGACGAGGAGAAGGCAGGAAGGGACAGGGGAAGTCAAGTGGCCATGGGAAGACTGGGAAAAACAAAGGCCACACAAGAGGCCAACAAAGTGCGCCGCGCTCAAGCCGGCACAGACAATTCATCTGCCTTTTGCACGGCGGATCGGAAGTGGTGTTCACGCTGCATTGCTGCCCTTGGCGACGACTTGCTCGTCTGCTGCTTCTGGAAGACACAGGATGGGAAACAGTGTGTGCGGTGCAGCGTGAATAACGCAACGTGCGATACTGAATACATTGATGGTGACCGATTCGACGTTGCTGCTAAAGCCATCATCGCGTCTGTCGCCACTCTCGATACGAATGATAAGCACGCCATGGGCGCCCATAAAGCTGCTTGCAAGGATTGGGCAGAGAATTACTACGCCTATCGTCGGGTTCACGGACCAGCACCTGCGCCAAAGAAGAGAACTCGATATGAGCGTCCCGCCAGAGAGGCAGCTAGGGAGGCTGCTAGGGAGACTGCAGGGCCAACGGTGATTGAGCTGGGGCCAAACACCCTCGCTATGCTCAAGGGAATTCACGATGCTCTGGTGGAGTTGAAGGATAAATTGTGATACTGTACGCTAATCGCTAAATTTAATGCCAATCTTGGAGAAATGCTTCCAGTCCTTTAGGTAGAGATAGGCGTCCTTGACGGAGGCGATATCAAAGATCTTCTCATCCAGAATAGGCTTGATGTCGTGCTGCTCGATGAAGCGGTTCATCTCGTCAAACTGCGCCCGCGAGCCGAGGAAGAAGCCGCGGGCAATGAAGGAGTTGAACAGGGGGTCGAGCAGGGAGGGCGGGGCCTCGCCCTCGGGGACAGGGCCCAGGATGCCCGTGGTGACGATGAGGCCGTCGGTGCAGACGGCCTTGATGGACTGCCCCAGGGTCGACATGCCGCCCATGTCGACGACGATGTCCACGCCGCGGGCCCCGGGCGTCAGGGCCTTGGCCTGGGCCCCCCAGTCGGCCGTCTCGCGGTAGTTTAGCACATGCGCCGCCCCGAGGGCCTGCAGGCGTGCCGCCTTGGCCGCGGTGCTCGTCGTGGCGATGACGGTCGCGCCCGCGGCGGCCGCCAGCTGCAGGGCCGCAATGGACACGCCGCCGGTGCCCTGGACCAGCACCGTCGTCCCCGGGGCGGCCCCCCGCCCGGGCAGGCCGAACAGGGCGTTCCAGGCGGTCAGCCCGGAGCACGACAGCGTCGCGGCCTCCAGGAAGGTCAGGTTGGCGGGCATCTGGACCAGCGACGACTGGTGGAAGACGCCGGACTCGCGCAGGGTGCCGTCCTGGCCGTTGCCGATGCCGGCGCTGATGTCCAGGAAGCGCGGCTGTTGCTCGGCGGGCAGTTTGTAGGTCAGATGCGTGCACACCCGGTCGCCCACGCTGAAGCCCGTCACTTTCGATCCCACGGCTTGGACGATTCCGGCCCCGTCCGATCCAGGCACGATCCGGTCTTTGCCCAGGGCCAATCCGGGGCCGCCCTATTTGGATCAGTATACATTATACATCTATTCATAAGTAGATCCGAAGAATACCTTGGAAACCAAGAGCTCCCGGTAATTCAGAGACGCCGCACAGATCTTGACCAGCACCTCATCCTCCTTGACGGCCGGGATAGGGAAGTCGGCGACAAATTCCAGACTGTCGATCCCATTCTGGCCAGTCAGAACCCAGGCAGCAGTGGACATGGTGGGCGGGAAGATGATTTTACTGCCTCAATAAATTAAATAAATAGGTCGGGTGAGTGATTTCCAGGATCCTGTCAGGGTTGCGTGTCCTTTATGTAGCACTTACCCCGCCCGACCCACTCCAAGTGAGGGGTTGCCAACTGTCAAGATAGTACCTTGACTGCAAATGAATAGACAGCAGAATAAAATATAAGGTATAATAAGTATAATTTATACCTTATAATGTTATTTTGTTTCTGTCTATTGATTTGCAGTGTCTTGCAGTTGATTGCTGACGGGCCGGCCCGTTTGTGGTACTGCTGATTCCACTCAACTATTTGACATGGAAAGGTGGGGTGTGGTCATTTCTACCTACTCATGTAGGATAGAGGACTAGTAGGATAAACAGGTTATCAGTGTATGCATGTGGAATACAGGTTCCTTGCTTGGTCAAGCTTTTGGCGTTCTCACGTTCTATCCCTGTCATCAAGCTTCTGCAAAGCTGAAGGAGCAGTTCAGGCCAACCAGTGTTGCAGATGTGGGGAGGAGTAATAGTTAGGGTTGTTGGTTGTGTTGGTTGTGTTGGTTGTGTTAGGGTTAGGGTTGGGTTGGGTTGGGTTGTGCAACCCTAACCCAACCCTAATAATCATGTGACTGACGACGCAAACTTAGTAACCCTAACCCTAATGAGGGACTAAGGAACTAGCTAGTATACATTATGCTACCATTAGCTAATGGCATTGCATTTTCTGCTAGTTTGTTTTTATTTCTGTTTTGTTCTGTTTTGTTCTGTTTGTTCTGTTTTGTTCTGTTTGTTCTGTTCTGTAATGTGGATGTATGATACAAACGTAATATATTTCTGCACGCTAGTACTGCCCCACTGTGTATTGTACTGCAGCTGAATCAGATTAGATAAGTTACAATCAGATTAGATCCACACACACACCTTCCCTTTCCATCCTAGCCAGCCTCCACTGCCAGGCTAAATAATGCGCCGTGAAACCTCGAGTGGATGCCAGCCTACACGATATATTAATCAGGTGCAAAAACCTACGCAATCATCCTCGGTACTCGTCCTTTTCATAAACTTAATCCCTCCCCAATGTAGCATTGCCTCTTCATTGTGAGACAGTTCCACTTGATAATTACAATACTATTCATACCAGACACTCATACACAATCCTCTCGTACTGCACCTGCCGATCCTCGGATCAGATAACCTTCTTCATCCTCTCGTATTCGTCATGTTCCCCCCCTTCTGCCGTAGCCGGTCTCGCTCGACTTTCGCCCCGCCAGCGCTTCTGCACGGCATTTGCTAATATACCGAAGCCTCACATTGTTCCTTCTTTCCTCTGTCCTTCTCTCCTTCTGTCTCCTCCTGTCTCCTCCCTCTGTCTTCTTCTCCCCTCCTTCACCACCACCACCACCGCATCCTGCCATGGCGACCACCACCACCGCCGGTTCGCAGGACCTGCCGGACAGTGCCGTTCGCTGGTTTCCCCTCCCCGGCATCTCCTCCACCCGCCCAGACGAGCTCCTCCTGACCTCATGGCTGCTCGTCCTCCTGCGCACGCGTGAAGGTGGCTCCGTCTCGTACGAGTGGACACACTCCGACGATCGCCATGCAGCCAACACATCAACATCCCCAAACCGCCTTGACATGGACCACGTGGTTGACGCGTCACGTGGCCTGCAGAGCACCCTGGGTCAGGTGACCCGTGCCGTCGCCCACGTGACGTCTCTCCTTCCTTCCTCTTCTTCCTCTTCTTCCTCTTCTTCTTCTTCTTCTTCTTCACCTTCGCTGCTTCTCAGCACGTCGACACTCGCACAGACTAAGCAGGCGACAGACGAGGTGAGTGTCTAGTCTCTCTTTCTGCAGCGCCCTTCTGACTGTTCACCGCAGGGCATTCTGCACCTCGAGATCCGCGTCGACGATGGCCGTCTCGCCGTACGACCCGCCTGGCACACCGACGACATCCTCCCCTACACCGTGACGCGACACATCGAGACGCTGGTGGACACGCTCCGGCTGTGTCTGGAGACGCCTGAGGCGACGCTTGCAGACGCGCTGCGGCCGAGTACACACGATCTGGAGACGATCTGGGGGTGGAATCACCAGCTGCCCGAGACGCAGAACTTTTGCATGCACGAGATGATTGCGGACCGGGCACGCTCTCATCCGGAGAAAGAGGCCATCGCCTCGTGGGACGGCAGCTTGACGTACGGCCAGGTCGAGCGGTATTCGACCCTCGTGGCGCGTGCCCTGCGCGACCAACACGGCGTCCGGCTGCACGATTTCGTGCCCGTGTGCTTCGAGAAGTCGCGCTGGACCATCGTTGCCGTGCTCGCCGTCATGAAGGTCGGCGCCACCATGGTCATGATGGATCCCACGCTGCCGCTGGCGCGTCTGCAGAACATGGCGGAGCAGGTGGATGCAAAGACCTTTGTCACCTCGCGGAGTCAACAGGCTCTGGCCACGTCGATCCGCTCAGAGGGAGCAGTCTTGGTCGTCGACGAGGAGACCTTTGCTGGGAAGGACAACGAAACGCACCAGGATCCCCTCGCCGTCGTGCCCCCCTCGGCGCTCATGTACATCATCTTCACCTCCGGCAGCACAGGCACCCCCAAAGGCGTCAAGATCTCGCACCAGACCTACTCGAGCAGTGCCATCCCGCGGGCCCGGGCTGTGGGCTACAGCGAGGACTCGCGCGTGCTCGATTTCGCCTCGTACGCCTTTGACGTGAGCATCGACAGCATGCTGCTGACCCTCGGCAACGGCGGCTGTCTGTGCATCCCCTCGGACGACGACCGCCTCAACGACATCAACGGCGTCATCCGCCGCATGAGGGTCAACTACGCCGGCATCACCCCGTCGGTCGCGCGCATCCTCGACCAGGACGTCATCTGTTCGCTGACTGGCGGTCTCGGCTTGGGTGGTGAGGCCGCCTCGGCTCACGACGTCAATCGCTGGGGCCGCGACGCCCGCATCATCATCGGCTACGGGCCCTGCGAGTGCACCATCGGATGCACCGTCAACAGCAGCGCCGCCACCGGCCGCGACTACATCTCCATCGGACCGGGCAACGGCGCCGCCATCTGGATCGCCGACCCCAACGACCACGACGCCCTCGTCCCCGTCGGCGCCGTCGGCGAGCTGCTCGTCGAGGGGCCCATCGTCGGCCAGGGCTATCTCAACGATCCCGACAAGACCGCCGCCGCCTTCATCCACGATCCCAAGTGGCTGGTCGCCGGTCACGCCGGCCTCCCCGGCCGTCAGGGCCGTCTGTACAAGACCGGCGATTTGGGTCGCTACGACCCAGACGGTGCCGGTGGTATCGTCTTCGTCGGCCGCAAGGATACCCAGGTCAAGCTGCGTGGCCAGCGTGTGGAGCTCGGCGAGATCGAGAGCCAGCTCACTGCCCGCCTGCCCGCCCAGACCACCGTCATCGCCGAGGTCATCGTGCCCCAGGGCGCCGGCGGCCAGGCCACCCTCGTCGCCTTTGTCACCTCCAAGAGCTCCACCAACGCCGCCGATCAGACCGACATCGAGCTCGCCCAGCCTGGCGAGGATCTCCGTGCCGCCCTGGCCTCCGTCAACGAGGATCTCGCCACCGTCCTGCCCCGGTACATGGTCCCTACCGCGTACATCCCCGTCAACCGCATCCCGGTGCTGATCTCGGGCAAGACCGATCGCCGTCGACTGCGCCAGTTTGGTACCACCGTCGATCTGCGACAGGTCGACCAGCGGACTGCTTCCTCTTCTTCCTCCACTTCGCCATCCTCGTCCTCTCCCTCGTCGTCGCCCTCTTCTTCCCCCTCCTCGCCGCCATTGTCCGCGACCAAATGTGATGAAGTTGACCCGGATCGCGCGCCAACCGAGGTCGAGCAGCGCTTGCTGGAGGCCTGGAGACAGACTCTCAAGGTCGAAGTCGACAGCATCCGCATCAACGACAACTTCTTTGCCCGCGGCGGCGATTCCGTCGCTGCCATGCGCTTGGTCGCTGCCTGTCGCGCGCAGGGTCTTGATCTCAGCGTCACCAAGATCTTCGGCCATCCGACGCTCGCTGCCATGGCGAGCGTCGCCATTCAGATTCCAGGCCATGGAGATGGATCTCTTGAAACAACAGAATCATCGTCGAAGATGACAACACCCATCACACCGGCCTTCTCGCTCATCTCTCAGTCGCCCGACAGCGCTCGTGAAGACGCCGCCCGCGCCTGCCAGGCCACGGCCGCCGCCGTGCAGGATATCTACCCCTGCACGCCCACGCAGGAATCGCTGTTCACCTTCTCGATCAAGTCTGTCAAGGCGTACGTCGCCCAGCGCACAGCCCAGATCCCCCGCGGGATCACCGTCGCCGCGTGGAAACGCGCATGGGAGACCGTTGTCGCCGCGAATCCCATCCTGCGCACCCGCGTCGCTCAACTGCCGGAGAATCCAGGCTTGCAGCAGGTTGTCCTGGAGGATAATGTGCGATGGCTTCACGCGACCAATCTCCAGGAGTATCTCGAGGCAGATCGACTGGCCAAGATGGCTCTGGGTGAGCCTCTTGCTCGGTACGCCATTGTCGCATCTGACGACGACAACGACGACAACAATACCGAACGCTACATGGTTTGGACGGTCCACCATGTTCTGTACGACGGATGGTCAGAGCCAGTGATTCTCCAGCAGGTCCGCGATGCCCTGGAGACGCAGCGCTGCGAGACGCCTCCCACGCAGATGCGCGACCTGGTGCGATGGGTGGTGCACGACACCGACGAGATGGCAATGAAGACCTTCTGGCAGCAGGAACTGGACGGCGCTGTTGGCCCCCAGTTCCCTCGTCTGCCTTCTCGTGACTTCCTGCCTCTGCCCGATGGCCTCGTGGAGCGTCGCATCCCCGTCACGACCGTCGGCACGGGCTTCCCCTTCACGCTGGCAACGCTCATCCGCGGTGCCTGGGCGCTGGTTGCATCGCAATACACGGGCAGCGACGACGTGGTGTTTGGCGAAACCCTGACGGGACGTGACATTGCACTACCAGGCGTCGAGGGCATCATCGGCCCCTTGATCGCGACGGTGCCTGTCCGCATCCGCATCGCCCGAGCGGGCTCCGTCCAGGCCTATCTGCAGAGCGTGCAAACCGCTGTGCTGGCTCGCACCCCTTACCAGCACATGGGCATGCAGAACATCCGCAAGGTGAGCCCCGACGCCCAGCACGCCTGTGAGGCCGGTACAGGGCTCGTCATCCAGCCCGAGGCCGAGTACACGGCCAGCAACGCCCTGGGCTTCGCCTCGGGGGATGTCGTGCGCGAGGCGCTGCATTTCAACCCGTACCCGCTCATGCTGGGCTGTGGGATCATCGGCAACGGGGGAGGCTTCCGCGTCTGCGCCAGCTTCGACAGGAGTCTCATCGAGATCCCCCAGATGGAGCGTATCCTCGCCCAGCTGCAGGCTGCGTGCGTGCAGCTCACCCAGCCGGGCAGTCTGACACGCGGGTTGGACGAGATCGCCGCCCATCTCCTGCCCGAGACGGAGCTGAACCAGATCTGGCAGTGGAATCAGGTCGCGCCGCTGGTCCGTGGTGGTCATGCTTCCTCCTCGGCAGGCCGCCTGCGCGCAGATGTCAGCCTTCCTCTGGGCGCTGTCTACCCTCGCGCCGTCGTGCCCTGGGTGTGCGATGCGCGCAATCCGTCACGCCTCGCCCCCATCGGCTGTGCCGGTGAGCTCTGGCTCGAGGGGGCCGTCCTTGCGTCTGCAGACAGCCAGACGGTGGATTCCCCGGCCTGGCTCGTGGCCGGCAGCGCTTCGTATCCAGGTCGTCGGGGAGTTGTACAGCCCACGGGCGATCTGGTCCAGCTGCGCGGCGACGGCCAGTTGGTGTTTGTCGGCCGCAAGGAGCACGTCATCTCCGTTCAGGGCCACGCCGTCGACCTCGCCGAGATCGACGCCCTGCTGGCGCCCAACCTGCCAGGTATTCACGCAGCAGCGGCGGTGGTCGCTGCCTCTGAATCCTCCCAGTTGATCGCCTTCATCGAACACAAGGAGACGCAGACAGACGGCGTCCAGATTCTTACCTCTACGCAGAGCATCACTTGCGAGGGCGACGTCGTCGCAACCATCCATGCGACAATCTCCGCCAGTCTCGCAGGGGCGATCAAGAAACTCGACAAGTTCCTACAGGACAACCACCCGGCGTACATGGTCCCTTCTGCCTACGTCGTGGTCGACCGTCTGCCCTGTCCGCTGCCCATCGACCACAGCGTTTTGAACCGTGCGGCCGCGCAGATCCCCTCGGAGGTGCTGGCGCAGCTTCGCCAGGGCTTCGCTACAGCGACCCAGACACTTGCGCAGACGACGCAGTTAACCGCTTCGGAGGAGATCCTGCGTGCCGCGTGGGCGCAGATCCTAGGCCTCAGCATCGACAGGATCGACGTCGACGACAACTTCTTCCGTCTTGGAGGCGACTCGGTCCTAGCCATGAAGCTGGTCTCGAGCCTGCGTGCCCAAGGCCACACGCTCACCGTCGCCGACATCTTCCAGCACATGCGGCTGGGTGACGCCGCGCGCGTGCTCCGGATAGGCCAGCCGGCGACAACATCGACACCGTCGCAACCCGTGTACAAACCCTTCTCGCTGCTGGAGGGAGACGTGGACCGGCTGCTGGCCGAGACAGTGCGACCACAGCTGGCGGATCCCTCATTGACAATCCGCGATGTGCTGCCTGTGACCGACTCACAGGCGCTCGACATCCGGGCCACCATCGCGCCGCCACGCACGTCGGTGCAATACACGATGCTGTACCATGACGGGCAGCAGATCGAGGGTGCTCGTCTGCTGCGCGCCTGCGCGCAGCTCATCCAGACGCACGAGATCCTGCGCACGGTCTTTGTCGCCCACGGCGAGCGCTTCCTGCAGGTCGTCCTGGACCAGCTGGCGGCCGACTCGGTGACCAGCCAGCACGAGACCGACGGCGACGTCAAGGCATACGTTGCGTCCCTCTGCGCTGCGGACGTTGACTCTGCCACCTTCTCCCTCGGCTCGCCGTTTGTCCAGGTGTTGTACGTCCAGGGCACGGGCGAGGACAAACAAGCTTGTCTTGTTTTGCGACTCTCGCATGCCCAGTACGACGGTGTCTCCCTGCCAGCCCTGCTGCAAGACCTCGAGACCCTGTACGTGGGCAAGGACAAGACGGCCGACCCGGTGCCGTTTGCGGCGTACGTCTCTCGCATCCATGACGCCGCCGTCGAGACTCCCGCAATCACCTACTGGAAGAACCTTCTGCACGGCTCCTCGCTGTCCCCTCTGGAGACAGCTTCCAGCAGCAACAGCCAGCCAACCGACCGGGCGGTCTTCCACACCCGCCCCGTGGATGTCTCGCTGCCGGCCGAGGTCACCACGGCCAGTCTGTTGACCGCGGCGTGGGCAGTGGTACTCGCCCGGCGGCTGGGCGTCCGCGACGTGACGTTCGGCAGCGTGACAGGCGGCCGCAGCTTGGATATGGCCGATGTCGAGAAGGTGATGGGCCCATGCTACCAGCTGACGCCGGTGAGAGTTTCCTTTGATCATGAAGAGCATGCGCAGTGGACGGCGATGGACCTGCTGCAGTTTGTGCAGCGGCAGAGCGCGCAGTCCGCCGCCCACGATACCCTTGGCTTCGCGCGTGTGGCGCGTGAATGTCCCTCGTGGGCGTCCTCGACGGGCTTCCCCTCGCTCGTCCACCACCAAGACTGGGACGACTTTGACAGCATGCCGTTTGCCGGCCGCGAGTGCGGCGTGGACATTGCCAACCCGCACGGCGACGCTGCGGAGCCCATCAAGGCCGTTTCTTTTGTCAAAGAGGGCAAGATGCACGTTGGGATTGTCGGGCGTGAGTGTGAGGTAGAAGTGGTGGATGCCCTCCTGGCTGAACTGGAGGTCGCTGTCGAGGGACTGGGCGGTCTTTCCACTCTTGTTTCCGAGCTTGTCGGACTTTAGACTTGTATTATCAGTTTATAATTTAGCATCGAATGAAGCTTATACTGTCAGGACTGAGACGAGACCCTCCAAACCAAGCTTGACTATTGTCTTGTTCTTTGACATAAGAAAGATGTCTAGAGATGGTGTTAGAAATCGCCTACTATATATGGACCTGATACATGCTATAGTGGTTGACCATGCCAGCGTGAAGAGCTCTAGTTACAGCTATAATAAGTATGATAGGTTTAATTCCTATACTAAATATATACTAGTTTATTAGTCCTAGGGTTTCCTTAGCCTATAATGATAGAGCTGCAAGGTAAAGTATGGGTAAATAGTATATATATAATAGTCTTATTCTTCTTATCATTATATATTTAAGATATTATAGAGCTCTGACAAGCTGCTTGGACCAGCCCTCTATAATAGTAGGTCCATTAGCAGCCACTAGAACAGCCCTATATTTATTAACACTATCTAGAGGATGGAATTAATATAAGATTACAAATTCAGTATATACTCTATAAGCTTAGATACTTACTTACTTAGAAGAGAGAAATTGAAGAATAACAGAGTATAAGCTAACCTGATTATCTAGCTTATAATCACTATATTCTCTATTACTCCATATTACTAAATTACCTCCTAACCTAATCTATTTAATAAAAAGATATAAATATATTACCTACTAATGCTAATGCTATACTATCTATCTATTATGCCACCGTCTGGTGCATGACATTCGCTCTATAACTCTCCGAACGCAGGAGAAGCTCATCGTGCGAGCCCTGATCGACACACTTGCCGCCCTCGATCAGGAAGATGATGTTCGCCTGGCGGATGGTGTGCAGCCGGTGCGCAATGGCAATGACGGTGATGCCCTGGGCGGCGCGAGAGAGCCCGTCCTGGAGGAGAGCCTCTGACTCTGCGTCGAGAGCGCTGGTGGACTCATCGAGGATCAACAGCCGGGGTTTGCGCACCAGGGCGCGCGCAATGGCGAGGCGCTGCTTCTGGCCTCCGGAGAACTGGCTGCCGTTGGGCCCGCAGCGCGTCTCGTAGCCGTCGGGCAGGGCGACGATGGTGTCGTGGATGTTTGCCAGGCGACAGGCGGCCTCGATCTCGTGCTGGGAGGCGTCGTGGCCCGGGGCGGCGCCGAGGCCGATGTTGAAGCTGACGCTGCCGTCGAACAGCACGCTCTCCTGCGGGACGAGCGAGATGGAGTCGCGGAAGGCGAGGTCGTGGCCGCTGCGAGTGATCTCGACGCCGTCGATGACGACGGCGCCGCGCTGGGGCGTGTACAGGCGCTCGACGAGCGAGATGATGGTGGATTTGCCGGCGCCGCTGGGGCCGACCAGGGCACAGAACGAGCCGGCGGGGATGGCGAGCGTGAGGCCGTTGAGGACGGGGGCCTTGGGGCGGGCAGGATAGGCAAAGTGGATGTCATTCAGCTGGACGGAGGCGGCAGTGAAAGGATTCTTTTCTGAATGAAGATTCTTTTCACGAGTCTTCTCTTCTGTTGCTTCAACATCGATCCTTCTTCTTCTTCCCAATCCCTCGCTGCCCTGGTTGATGAGGAACAGGATGCGCGCCATGGCCGCCCTGGCGCTGGACAGCTCCGGCGCCAGAGCAAACATCTGGCTCCAGAGCAGGGCGCTGACCAGCAGGGCAAAGACGACGATGAGGAACTGCGTCTGCGTGTAGGTGCCGGCCAGGATCTGCTTGGCTCCCCACCAGTAGGCCAGGGCGTTGACCAGGTTGCCCAGGAAGTAGGTCATGGCCTGGCACAGACTGGCCTGCAGCGTGACCTTGAAGGTATCGCGGCGCGGGCCCTGCAGCGAGTCGCGATAGCTGGCGACGATCTCGTCCTCGAGCGCCAGCGCGGCCACCGTCTGGATGGCCGAGACGGCCTCGACGCCGATGTCGACCGACTGCGTGTACGCCGTCTCGTGCTTGCTCTCGAACTGGCCCAGGATGTGCAGCTCGAGCAGGCCGGCCCCCAGCAGCAGCGGCACCAGCGCCAGACACACCAGCGCGATCTTCCACGCGATGATGTGCGTCAGCACGATGGCCGCCACCAGGTTGACGCTGATGCTGAACAGCGTGCCGATCACCGAGCCGCTGAGGCCCGCCAGCGCGTTGCCGTCGCGGGTGATGTATGCCAGCAGCACGGCGGGCGTGCGGCCGGCCGACTGATGCCATTGCAGATCCTGTTCGAAGAGCGAGCGGAACGACAGGATCCTCACGCGCGCCACGATCTTCTCTGCCACCCAGCCGAAGCCGCCCCAGCTGGCGATGTTGGCGAAGAACTCGATCAGCGCCAGCACCAGGAACATCAGCCCGTAGAAGTCGCCGCGAGACCGGATGCTGGCCGCGCTGTGGCACGGATTCAGCGCGCCCACGGTGTTGCCGAAGATGACGGCCTCGCCGGAGAATGCGCCGCCTACGAGCGTCGAGCCCAGCAGGGCGACGGCCACCATGAGAAGATGAGGCCGCACGGCGGGTGCGTATCCTTTCACCAGGGCCCAGAGGGTCGTCGTCACCTCTTGGGGGTCTTCTCTTTGCTCTTCCTCTTCGACGGTGTTGATGCTGGCAGTTTTGATATCTTCACCTTGACGTTCACCTTCACCTTCACCTTGACCTTCACCTTCACCTTGACGTTCACCTTGACGTTCACGTTCAACCTGCATCTCAGTGCTGCTGCTGCTGCTGCTGCTGCTGCTGCTGCTGCTGCTGCTGCTGCTGCCGCTGAAAGACTGCATCTGAACCATGCCGGCATAGGAACCACCCAATGCCATCAGCTCGGCATGGGTCCCCTGCTCGAGGATGTGCCCCCGGTGCATGACGACGATGTTGTCCGCCGCGGTGATGGTCGCCAGGCGGTGCGCGATGGTGACGACGGTGCGGCCCTGGGCAATGGTCGCCATGGCGCGCTGGATGCGCTGTTCGGTGCGCGAGTCGAGCGAGGCCGTGGCCTCGTCGAGGATCAGCACGGCGGGATCCTTGACGATGGCGCGCGCCAGGGCGATGCGCTGCTTCTGCCCGCCGCTGATCAGTCGCCCGCTGGAGCCCGCCAGCGTGCCGTATCCGCTGGGCAGGCCGAGGATGAAGCCCTCGGCGTCGGCCATGCGCGCCGCCCCCTGCACCAGCGTCACGATCTCCGCCATCTCGGGGCCTCGCCTCGTCGCCGCGGCCACCACGCTCTCGCTGTCGATGGAGTTCTGGTCGCGCAGCTCGGCCGCAAACTCCGCCAGCGACGACCCCGTCAGCGCCTCGCGCAGATGCTCGTGGCGCCGCGAGTTCACCAGCCCGTGCGCAATGTTCTCCAGCAGCGAGCGGTCCAGCAGCACCGCCTCCTGCTGCACCAGGCCGATGACGCCGCGCAGACTGCGCGGGTTGAGCTCGCGCAGGTCCTGCCCGTTGCATCGGATCTCGCCGCCCGTGGGATCGTACAGACGCGTCAACAGGCCGGCAATCGTCGACTTGCCACTGCCCGACAGCCCGACCAGGGCTGTGTGTTTGCGCGCGGGCACCGACAGCGAGATGGCGTCGAGCACGGTGATTTCAGGGCGAGACGGATAGATGAAGGAGACGTTGGACAGTTCGAAGCCGACAGAAGCATCAGAAGCATCAGAAGAAAGCTCGACGCCCTCGATGGTATCAATCAGAGGCTGCCGGTCCATGTCGGCACGCAGCTTGTCGTATGAAGCAACGGCGGCGATGAAGAGATGCAGAAACGGCGCCACTTGGCTGAGCAAGAGGGTGGCCTCGACCAGGACGAAGATGACGGTAAAGGTGGCTCCCACCGTGGTGCCCTCTGCGCCGTCCGACGAGACCGACAGGGCGATGCGGCGGCTGCCCTCCCAGAAGGCGAGGCCGTTGGCGGCATACGCGATGAAGTAGAGGAAGCCCGACTGGATGCCGACGGCGGTGGCCTTTTTGAGCCCTTCCTTCTCCGACGACTCGAGCGCGGCCGCAAACTTCTTCTCCAGCCGGCGGTTGGCGCCAAACGCCTGCACGACGACGAGGTTCGACAGGGCCTCGGACGCGATGGACGCCGCCGTGGCGGCGTGGTCGGACATGAGGCCGGCGTACTTTTCAATGTAGTGGCTGCCGACAAACGACATGAGGAAGTAGGCCGGGATGAGCGAGAGCAGCATGGCGGCCAGGGTGGCCTCCTTGATAAAGGCCACGACGTACGCCGTGACGAAGAAGGAGAAGCTCGCCAGACAGATGCCGACCTTCTCGCTGGTGCCGGAGCGGATGGTCGCCACGTCGCCGTTCAGACGCGCCGCAACCTCTCCTGCCGGCAGATTGTCGAAGAAGGCCGGTTCCTGGCGCAGGACATTGCGCAGATACGTCTCGCGCAGGCGGAGCGCCAGCCGGGCGCCGAACAGGCTCCAGCAGGCGAGATGGGCGTAGATGAGCACAAACTGCGCAATCGCCAGGTAGACAATCAGCAGGATGCGGCTGTTGATGTTGCTGCTGTCGCCCGAGGTGTCTTCGCCGCACGTGGCGGCGTTGAAGTCGTTGAGCAGTTGACCGAAGATGATGCCGATCAGGGGGAAGGGCACGCCCGACGCGATTGCGCACACGATGCCGCCCGCCAGCATCGCCCGGTCGGCGACGGCGGGCTGCGCGGCGAGCAGCAGACGGGGGAAGCGTAGAATCTGCATGACGGGCGAGAGAAGAAAAGAGCAGGAGAGGGAGATAAGTAGGTAATAAGTAGTGTATGCTAACGTAGTGTACAGTGTGTATAGTGTGTACAGTACAGTGTATAGTGTGTACAGTACAGTATACTGTACTGTACACTACGTACAGTGGATCTAGTGATACGCTAGTACTAGCGCATGCAGAGGGGTATGCAGTGGGTATGCAGTAGTGGATACATATGCAGTACAGTGGGTATGCAGTACAGTGGGTCGTGGGAGTGGGAGTGGGTCGTGGGTATGCAGTACTAGTGTAGTGTATTGACTAGTATCGCACGTAATACTCCTGGTATTGTCTGATGCCTATTGTTCGAGTATTATTCTACTGCTCACTACACCGAGTGCTCTCCACTGCTCGCTCGCACTCGTGCTGGCTATAATTTCGCATTCCAAGCCGCGCGATCCGCCGACTCCAACGGGCGGTCTCTGCCATCCCAGAAAAGCGGACACAGCTGGAACCACTTTTCCCGACTGCACACCGAGTGGACCGACCGTTTGTGGCCCAGATCGACGTATTTGCCAATGACCAGCCCCTGCGCGTTCTCGTACGACAGAATCGTCCCGCCCGTCGCCTTGGGCTCGCCCACCACGTTGCCGGTGCGTGGCTCGTCCAGGAAGCAGTAATGGATGCACGACGAGTACCACGCATTCACCCGCTGCGCGCCCCGGAACGACGCCTCTCCCACCAGCGAGTGTCTTCCGCGGTCGTACATTCCGGCCTCGTAGTGCGCGCCATAATGGTCTTCCTATACTTATATCAGCTAAGAATAATGAATCATGAACAAACACACACCCTCGCCCAGTAGAGCTCGTAGTAGGCAAACTTGGTCTCGTCAAACCGCCCAAACAGACACAGCACATGCGGGTCCTCGTGCAGGTTCTGCAGATAGCGTCGGTGATGCTCGATCGACCCCGTCTCGTTCCACCCCTTGGCCACGCGGGGATCGTTCTGCCAGGTATGGAACAGCTGCAGGTGCTCCATCTCCTGCACATCCACCACCTGCAGCGAAAAGTGCTCGTCCAGCTCCGGGATGTACCGGCTGTACACGATGGCCCCGGGCGCCGGCTTCGGCCTGCGTGTCGGATGGCGCGTGTACACGGCCTCGGCTGGGAACTTCATCGTGAGCTGGTAATTCTCCGGCATGGGCGGGTATTGCGCCGCCGACGTGCGCAGATGCTTGTCGCTTCCCTCGCCCACCGTCCAGATCGGTCGCGGGCCCAGGGGGGAGGCAGCTCCCTGCCAGAACGAGCTGCGCAGCACCAGCAGTTCCCTCTCTCCTGTCTCTTCTTGTCCTCCCTTGACAGTCCACTTCTTGGGATGCTTCACGGCCAGTCCCGTCGCCAGCAGTTCCTGCCGCACCGTCTCCTGCTCGGCGCCCTCCACCTCGAGGCGAAACGCCTCGATCGCAGGGTACGCCAGGTAGATGGCGTGCACGACGTTCCAGATGGCCGCCAGCGAGGGCGCCGCCGTGCCCGCCCACGCAAAGACGGTCGCGGGGTTGCGCCGGGCGCGCGCCCAGGCGCTGTTGTTGGCCGCCGGGGGGGTGTCGCCCTCGGACGGGTCGGCCAGGTCTGTCCAGGTCAGATCGGCGCAGTGCAGGGCGAGCGGCAGCGGCTGGCCGGGCTGGGAGTGCAGCGCCAGGCGGAGTCTGTCCTCGACGGCTTCCACATGGTAGACCGTCAGGAAGGGATGGGGGAGTTTGACGGGGGGGTATTTCATGGTGGATAGAGGAGAGTAGATAGAAAAATAAGAGAAGAAAGGAAGAAGAAGAGAGTGGAGAATAGAGAGAAGAGAGGAAGAAGAGAGGAAGAAGAGAGGAAGAAGAGAGAAGAAGATAAATGCCTCGGCTGCCAAGCTAACTTTATTCTATTTCAATTCCTTTATTCTATATTCCTTTATTCTATATTCCTTTATTCTATTCCATTTCTTTTCTATATTCTTTTCTATATTCTATTTATTCTATTTATTCTATTTATTCTATTTATTCTATTTATTCTATTTATTCTATTTATTCTATTTATTCTATTTATTCTATTTATTCTATTTATTCTATTTATTCTATATATTCTATTCCATTTCTTTTCTATATTCTTTTCTATATTCTATTTATTCTATTCTATTTATTCTATTCTATTTATTCTATTCTATTTATTCTATTCTATTTATTCTATTCTATTTATTCTATTCTATTTATTCTAATTCTCCTATTTTGTCATCACCGTCACTTCCCATGTCTGCTCACTACACACCCAGAGTCAACTGCATCGACCGCCCAGCTGCAAGATTCAGAAGGTGGCAGTCATTCAATGAGAATGAAGCCTTATGTAGACATCATCACCGGCACAGGCAGGGCTTTGTACGGTAGACCGGCTGGTACATTCTATCTACCATCTATCATCTATCATCTATTGATTATGATTATCATAATGAATCAATAAACATTGTCAACGACATGCCCGGCCGGCAGGCCTCTGGCGTTCGAGATGGTCGCCGACTGCGACCTCGCCGTCGCAGAGCTCGAGACGCGCTGGGATCCACTGCTCTTCAGGGGGACCAACTTTACCGAGGGAATCCAGGCGTGGGTGTGCGGAGCAGACAGGATACTAGCGGAGCGTTAGAACTGAATAGAATCTTATCAGATACAGAGTAATCCACTGTTCGGTATGTAATACGCGTACGCAATCCTGACGGATCAGATAAGTTTCTGCAAGCCCCGCACTGCTAAGCGAGCTTGGCATGACGTGATAATCCGTTGTCGGTCCGCGGTCGGAGAATATTAATTTATGATGGTTACATAAGATTATAGTCAGCATGTATAGCCCCCCTCACTATGATTATTATTTAATGAAGATATTATAGAGCTCTATTAAACCTGCTGACCATAGCCCCTATAATAACACTTATCTGGCAGTAGATACTCAGGTATTGGCAGCCACTCTGGACCGGCCCTACATGATTATTCATACTAATCTAGATATCTAGGATCGCCTAGGAATTAGTATATATACCTCATCACTATGGTTAGTAGATACCTGGGCGGAAATTGATATTTCTATATAGAGTGAGATCTTAATACCAGACCAATTCTACATACTTTAGCAGGATACATTTTTAGTCTATCTTAATATTATTAGATAGCTACCTGTCTACTAACTGGCTCTACATAGTCCATGTCTATAAGCCTATATCCATGTCTATGTACCTATATTACACAGTCAGGTGATGTTACACTGCAGGCAAACAAATGAATATCTATTGCTTATTCCAACATTCCATCTGCATCACCACTCAAAATGGCCTATCTCATTTTGCTCCTCATCCTCCTCGTAGCCCTCATCCTCCTGCGTCCTCGGAATCTCCCGCCAGGACCAAAAGGGATCCCTTTGCTCGGCAATCTGTTTGATCTTCCCCCGCCAGGCGAGCAGGAATGGCAACACTGGCTCAAACATAAAGATTTATACGGTAGCCTCTATCCTCACCTATCCTCACCTATCTAACACCTACAGGCCCCCTCAGCTCCGTCACAGTGCTGGGAAAGACGCTGATCATCATCAACGACCGCGCGCTGGCCTTTCAAATCCTGGAAAAGAACTCGGCCACCACCTCGTCGCGACCGCGGTTCACCTTTGCGAATGAACTGTGTGGCTGGGATAGGGTCATCTTGAACATCGACTACTCGCCGCTCCTGCGCACATACCGGCGTGCCATCACGCGTGGGATTGGCACCCGAGAGTCCGCCGCCAGATTCCATTCCCTCCTGCAATCCGAGACTCGTCAGTTTCTCGTGCGTGTCTTGAATTCCCCGGAGAAATTCATCGAACATAACCGGACGTACGTACTCAGCACTATTTACTCAGTATACTCCGTACTTACTATTCTAGTGCCGCCGGAGCAGTGGTCCTGAAGATTGTATATGGATATCACAGTGAACAGGAAGGTGACCCATTAGTCCATCTGGCCAGACAAACCATCAGCGAATTCTCCGACGCGGTCGCCCCGAAATGGCTTGTCGATATTCTTCCAGCCTGTACGTGTCCTCTTCCTTGATCTGGTCAGCTATTCACTTCTGCTAGTGAAATATATCCCCCCCTGGATGCCAGGAGGGAGCTTCCACCGCGTGGCCCGGCGGTACCGCGACGCCGTGACCCGGCTGGCGACGCTCCCCTTCACCTTCACCAAGTCGCAGATGAGCCAGGGCCAGGAGCGCATCTCGTTCGTGTCGACGCTGCTGCGACAGGGCGAGGAGGAAGAGGTGGTGAAATGGTCTGCGGAGGGGATATACGGCGGGGGATCGGACACAGTACGTCAATCTCTCCTCTAGGTAATAAGGCTTTGACTAAGTATCAGACGGTGAGCGTGCTGGAAGCCTTCTTCCTGGCCATGATGCTGTTCCCCGACGTGCAACGCAAAGCGCAGGCCGAGATCGACAAAGCATTCAACCATGAACCGACGCTCCCCAGTGTCTCGGACCGGGCAAGACTGCCCTACCTGCACGCGCTCATCAAGGAGACTCTCCGCTGGCACAGCATCGTCCCGCTGGGGATCCCCCACCGCGCCGAGACCGCACACGTTGTCAACTCCCATCTCATCCCCGCGGACGCCATCCTGATCGCGAACGTGTGGGCGTTCAACAACGACCCCGCGGTGTATCCCCGCCCGCGGCAGTTCGTCCCGGAGCGGTTCCTGCCGGGCGGCAACCCCGCACCCGACCCCGCAGACGTGATCTTCGGCTTCGGTCGGCGAGTGTGTCCTGGCCGACTCATTGCGGAGACGTCCATCTTTCTCATGGTCGCGCACACCCTCGCCGTGTTTGACATCAAGCCTGCCCCGGGCGCAGACTCGTTCTCCCCGCACTTCACCCCGGGGGCCATCTCGCACCCGCAAGTCTATCCGGCCGTGTTTACTCCCCGCAGCCAGCGACATGCCCGTCTCATCCGGCGCTTTGAGGCGGACAATCCGGTCGAGGGGGGGGATTCTCATCTCTTATAATACTCTCCATGTCTATTATGTCAATATTCTATTATGCTGTCAAAAAACACTACCTACATAATCATCTACTAGACTGCAGATCCCCTCTTTGCCCTCCCAGGAAGGCGTCTTGCCCTCGAGAGCACACGCCGTCCAGCGGATCTCGGCCCAGAACTGGCGCTCCAGGCCCGGCCCAAACGCCTCGATGACCTCCTCGGGGGCCTGCCACGCCCGCGTGTACGAGCCATCGTGCTGGATCGCCGGCCCAAACCCGGCGAGGATGGTGGCCGGGTTGAATTTGGGGAAGTTGGCATGGATGAAGAACGGGCGCGGCGGCGACTGGGTTGGATCGCCACGGACCCTCCACACGCCGCGTTCGGTTAACCAAAAGTCCTGGATCGGATCGAACTGCACCATCGTCGAACCCATAAACTCGTTGTTCTCGCTGCGGCCCAGGGCGCGCAACGGTTCGCTGACCTGGTAAAAGGGCTCGTTCAGGACCATCGCCGCCGCGAGGAAGGTCTCCTTGTCGCCCTCGCCCGCCGCCCCCTGCGACAGCAGCGGATAGTAGTACCGGGGCCCCCAGAAATTGTAGTATGCGGCAAGCAGCAGGGTGCGCAGATGGGTGCGTTTCGAGACAAACACCTCGCCGGACTCGGTGGTCTGGCGCACGTTGGGCGCCGGCACCTCCATCGCCACAATCTCGTAGAACAGGGGCGACACCGTCGACCCCCAGAAATCCGGCCAGGTGATCAGCCCGCGCGACAGAAAGGGCTCGCTGGTAAACACGGCCTCCGGGGCGGACAGCGGGAACGCGTCGGCGTCGAGGAACAGGATCTCCTCAAAGGAGGAGAACAGCATGGCCAGCAGCTTGTACTGGTATTTCTCCACCTGCGCGCCACTCCCCGGCACCGCGTCCAGAATGTCCGACAGCACCACGCAGCGCGCGTTGAGCGCCGGCAGCACCACCGAGCATGTGTATCCGTCGTACTCGGCCCAGTCGGCCAGAAACACCTCCATGGGCAGCTGCGAGCCCGTCCGGCGCAGCATCCGCAGCGAGATCACCAGCACCGGCAGATACGGACCCCCCGCCGTCGACACCAGGCCGCGCGTCGAGGGCGTGTATTGCAGCGGGGGCGGGGAGGAGCGGATGCGCTCCACGAAGCGGGAATGCGCCTCGTGCATTGTGTGCACGTCGGCGTCCGTCATCTGCAGCAGGTTGGGTGCTGGCCGGGTGTTTTTCGGGTCGAAGCCCTCGGATTCTGCGTTGGCGATGCGCGTTGGGGGTTCGCAGTCCGGCGCTGACGAAACCACCAGCCGGTAGAATTCCGTCCAGAACACGCCATGGCCAGCTGGCGAGACACTAGACGGCTCTCTCTCGCTTGGGTGATGCGACCAGACCCAGAGCGAGAGGGTGATCACGCCCAGCGCGAGGAAAATGACGCCGCGGCGCATCTGGCGGCTCATGGCATCAGGACTGCGAAAGATGATCCTCTGAATGGTACAAACTGTGATGATGAACGAGGGTTACGAAGAGACCATCAATGCCAATCCCTGGGGATGCCTTGATAAAAATAATCAGGATAATCGTCGTCGCAAAAGGAGACGTAGCATCGGGCCCGTGTGATCACGGCTGTGATTGGTCGAGGTGGGCCCATTTAATCTGCAGATTCCAGGGACTAGTGAGGCAAACTGCAGCGTGATTGGTCATATCTTAAGCTAAGACTCGGCGGCAGCCTGCATGGCATTCACATTTCTGCAGGAGAAAGTGTGGGAGGTACTTTTGATATATACTCCATATATAGGTACAGAATAGTCCCTAGCTACTCTACTAGTTAGATAATAGCTGATACTCTGCATACGCGCCGGTTAAAAGTTCGTGGACTGGGTCACACCCTGCCATTCACCCGTTCCGCAGTGGTCCGACGAACCTAACCCATACCCAGGCCTTCCATAGGAATAGTGAGAAATATATTTGTTATATTATTAGATCACTAGCATGATCAGACAAGGGTATATTCAAGCCTCTGTGTGATGGTGGAATAGCTCCTAAAAATCCATCTGTTACTATTATTGAATCACAGCCGAGTAATCTCCAAGGGGAGTTAGAACGTACTCTGTATATTTAGATACTTCTCTAGATGAGAAATTGATCCATTGCCAGGGGGTATGACACCCCTCGGGCCCCTGGACCTGCTTGGGCTTTGTAAGGGAGTTCGCTGTTCATTGTAGGCTGTTGCAGAGTAACTGTATATATGTATTAAAGGATATAGTAATACTTTGTATAATCAGTATACAATTACTTTGTATATAGAGGCGCCTATGAAAGGTGCTTGAATTCCTGTCTTATAAATATGGAATATCATAAAGTAGAAGGATAGATGCTCTTTAGCATCATTTCATTAGTATTTATCTATATTAATAATATATAACCTTTCCTTTATTGATAAAAGCTTACTTTGATTAAATACTTTATTGCATATGCCATTCTATTAGTAGACATTCTAGACTTATTGTTCTCTACTTATAATATAGTTAAATATAAGGAGAGCTATACTTTAGAATTATACTATTTATATACAGTATTTATATTACTAGCAACACTCCAGACAACAGCTCTTCTCTGAGAAATTAATCAAGAATTTACGCAAGAATCTATATGATAACAGTCAAGAAATTGATGCAGGATTTAATATAAGAATATATCCTAATGAGCTATTATCATCTAAACTTACTTACTATTTAAATTACCCAAAAGTCATTTCTCTAAGGTAAAGCATCAACATATTTTTACTAACAAAAGTGATTAAAACCATAGCAAATATGTTGATGCCACTTCACTACCACCAGCAGTCTCTACCGACTCGTCGTCAACGAGACGGCCAACTGCACGCTGGAGCTGTACAGCTGGGCCATCCCGGCCGACTTCAACACCACCGATCCGCAGTATCAGATCGGACTGTTCAACGCGTCGGTGCTGCGGGGGGCAGATGGAATCGCCTTGTTCGGATGGCAGGCGTGGAGTCCTTATTTCTACGTACGAGATGCGACAACAACTGCTGCCACTGCCACTGCCACTGCCACTGCTACGACTGCATCGACGGCTTTATTGACCGGTACAGGAGAGACAGCAACTTCCACCTCCCCCTCTACCTCCGCTCCTACCTTCACTTCTGCTTCTCTCTCTACGTCTGCAATGTCCAATACGACCAAGATCGGAATCGGCGTGGGTGTCGGCGTGGGTGCTGCTGCCATCGTTATCGGGCTCGTCTGGTTCTTGTTACGGAGGCGAAGAACAGCCCTGAAAGATGGGCTTGTTCCGCCTACGGAACCGTCTGAGCCACCACCTCCACCGTCTGAATTACCGGCATACATGCCTCCCATGAAGGGGGGAGGGGAGATATATGAAGTTCAGTAGATGGTGTTGTACAATCCATGAAGGATTATTGCTATAGGGTATATTGTATGGACAGATAGAAATCGACATTTTACAATCATAATCGCAGCGGTCATCCAGCGGTCATCGCAATAGCTGCGTACACCACTTCTTCAACGCAAGAAGCTTCCTTTCCTCACTACTTCTCCTCGGCATTGTAGACTGACCAGGCTGGACAGGCTGAATAGGGTGCATTGGCCGGATAGATCGAAGCGGTCGAATAGGTGGGATCTGATGAACCGGTTGAATATGAACAAATTGAGTATGTTGAATCGCTGGATCGGGTTGACTGGCTGGGAAAACTTGAGCGCACAGCGGACACTTTGTCAAAATCCCCATCCAGGTGTCTATGCAGGGCATGTGGAACTGATGGCCGCAGGGTAACTGTCGGAAAGATGAATCGGGGCCCAGGTCGTCGAGGCAGATGATGCATTCATCGGGGCCTTTAATTAGCGGTGGTAGTAGAAGATACACTGGATACTTACAGTCAAATGCGGAGCAAGTAGACATTATATAGTTAATTATAGATATAGATATAGAGGTATAGATATAGAGGTATAGATACGATGTGGATGTGGAGAATTCGGTTGTCTGTATTTAAGTTGGATATGCTTACATGACATCATCCGATGATCGACAAACAGGATGCACAAAACAAGGATTCACCAGTTGCTCACCATTTCAACTGGCTATTGGATGGAAATATCCATCTATTTAATGTGTTGTCATTTATATATCCATGACATACACTGTGCTTCTGACATCAGTCCTTAAGACAGACACTACTCCATACTACTCCATACTACTCCATACTACTCCATACTACTCCACAGAACACCACCATTTGAGCCCTAATACACACCAGATAAATCATACTAAATGAGATTATATTTATAATGGAACAATTATCTATTACCTGTAGTAATCTTATTCTACGTCTTATTGACTTGTTTGAGGGATTTGATAAGCTCCTGGCAGGTGTTTGGCGGGTAATTCCCTCATAATGCAGGGATAACAGTATAAAAATGTCACAACTGTACTATCAAAGAGATTGCCTTTATTTGAACCAATCACTCCTGTTGTTTATAGCCATGGATATGTCTGTGTGCTCTGATTCCATCGAGAAAGATGTCCCGGAGGAACGAGACGTGAGGAAGAAGCAGGTATGACAATATAGTGATGATGATGATGATGATGATGATAATCTGATCAACAGTCTTTTGGGAAATGGCAAACCTTGATGTAAGTCTTCAATACATAATATCTATATATATACTGATAGAATAGCCTCGCCTATGAATCCATCGGCGTCATCTACGGCGACATCGGAACCAGCCCTCTCTATGTCTTCTCGTCCACCTTTAGCGAGAGTCCCAGCCACGATGACCTGCTCGGCGCCACCTCATTGATCATCTGGAGTCTGACCATCATGGTCACGATCAAATACATCTTGATCGTGCTTTTAGCGGACGATGAGGGAGAGGGAGGGACTTTTGCTCTCTACTCTCTTCTCTCGCGATACGTGAGAATCAACATATCTGTTCATCGTAATGTCAATCCTAAGAGGTATAGGCAAAAATCCTCCAACGCGATATGCGCGAGGAACGGATGGTGCAGATGCAGCGATATCAAACGGATGAAATGCACCGGCCGAATTCCTCCTTCCGGGCTCTCCTTGAAACCAGCTCTGTGGCCCAGTGGTTCCTCAAGGTGGTTGGAGTGTTTGGCGTGGCGTTACTTTTAGCTGGTATTTCTCCCTTGCATTCTGGTCTCCTTCGTATACTCATCTTCCAGATGGTGTTTTGACTCCTGCACAATCTCTCCTCGGGGCTATTCAGGGGTACGTATAGAGATCTATATCTTTAACTGTAGATATCCACTCACTCTCTAGGGCTACGGTGGTCAATCCTTCAGTGGACAGCTCAACTGTGATCGGCATCTCCTGCGCCATCATCGTTCTGGTCTACGCCTTACAGCCCTTTGGCACAGGCCGGTTGGCCGTATTCTTTGCCCCGATTGTGATTCTATGGTTGATCTTCAACCTTTCTTTTGGAATATATGTAAGCTTTACAGTGATGATGGTTGATATAGTTCTAACAGTCTAGAACCTCGTTCATTACGACGCCTCCGTCTTCAAGGCTGTGTCTCCCTATTTTGCTGGGGCCTTCCTGGTGCGCAACGGACGCGACGGATGGTTGGCCCTGGGAGGGATTCTTCTCGCCTTTACTGGTGTTGAAGCCTTATTTGCCGATCTGGGGGCGTTCAGCAGGGGGTATCTATCCTTGTATTATATCTATCGGTATATTATGCTGATTATCCAGGGCCATTCAAATCTCATGGTGTTGTTTCGCCTATCCATGTCTTCTCATTGGGGTACGATAATTCCCTAGCGGCTACACAGATACACACTGATTTAATAGTATATCGGTCAAGCAGCGTATATTAGCCACACTCCCAGCGCATGGTCGAATCCCTTCTATTTGACCGTCCCCCCTGGCATGCTGTGGCCGAGTCTGATCCTGGCGATTCTCGCCTGTATCGTTGCCAGCCAAGCGGTCATCACCGGTGCTTTTCAGGTATCTATTTGCCTAAGCATATCTCTGTCTATGTATCCATGCTAATGGACAGCTTCTCTCGCAAATTATGAAATTGTCGTATTTCCCCCAGATCAAGGTCATCCACATGTCCAAACAGTACTATGGACAGGTCTACATTCCGTTTGCCAACTGGATTTTGATGATTGGGACAGTCGTTGTGACGGCAGTCTATACCAATGTACGTCTACTTCGTCTCTGTCTATACTGTACTAACAACATAGACAACCAATCTGGGCCACGCATATGGCGTCTGCGTTATTCTGGTGACTTTCCTGACAACATGCATGGTGACGCTGGTTGCGGTGCTCGCCTGGCGACTCCCCGTGTACCTGGTGATGCCGGTCTTTGTGGTGTTCGCGTTATGGGACGGGATGTTCCTGTCGGCGGCGATGACCAAGATCCCCCACGGCGCATGGGTGACGCTGATGATTGCCGGCGTGCTCACGGCCTTCTTTGTTCTCTGGCGGTACGGCAAAGAGGAACAATGGCGGGCTGAATCGGCGGATTATTTCCCTCTATCGGGGATACTATCGGCATCCAGAGAGAATCACCAGCTCCATCTTTGCGCCGAGAAAGAGCCCACCAAACCCATCATCTCAACTCATGGTCTGGGCATCTTCTTCGACAAACCAGGCAGTCCTGCCGTGGCGCCTCCTGTGCTCGCCCACTTCCTGAACAAGTTCACTGCTGCGCCGGAATTCATTGTCCTCTTCCATCTGCGTCCGTTGCAGGTTCCCACCATCCCGCTCGAGGACCGGTACCAGATCGTCAGATGTTACGCCAGTGAATCTCTGCCCACCGATGCTTCAAGCATCCCGACTTCTTCCAACTCGCAGCGGGTCGTTCTCCCGAATTGTTTCCGGTTCATCGTACGCTACGGATACACCGACGATGTGATCACCCCCAATCTCGGCCAGGAAGTGGCAGAGAACCTGCGTCGCTTCCTGGTCGAGAACGGCGAGACGGCCGCCCTGCAGAGCCTGGAGCGGGCGTACGCAGCGCAGGTGGTGTATATCGTGGGCAAGGAGCAGCTGCGGATCCGGCGGGGATCAGGGATCCTGCGCTGGCTGATTTTGAGTGTGTTTTTATGGGTGAGAGGCATCACGGCGCGGAAAGTACAGGCGTTGAATGTGCCGGTCGATCGGTTGGTGGAGGTGGGCTTTGTCAAGGATATTTGACTAGGGTTGGCTTTGGCAAGGATATAACCCTAGGGTTTTGTTAGGGTTTATGGTTTATGGATAAACCCTAGGGTTGTCGTTTATGAGTATTGACTAACCCTAGGGTTAATGGTTACCTATAAACTCTAACCCTAGGTTGGGTTTAGGGTTTAGGGTTATTTGGTAAACCCTAGGGTTATGGCTACTCACAAAACCTAAGCCATAGGGTTAGGATCAGGTAACTACCTAATAGTGGTACAGAGATCAACCCTAACCCTAATACTAAATATTCATGCATTAGATAGGCAGTGATTCATGAACTCTATTTAGATTTAATGCCAAGTTTTTGACTTATGGATCCACATGAAGCTTATCAGTAACCTTTATAGACTGCTCACTAGTTATCTACATAGATAAAGAACTAAATAAAGATATAGATAATATAATTCTATTCAATATAGATAATCCACTGCATTGCAAACTCCCACCTAATCTAATGCCTCAACTACTTCCTCCGTACTCATAAAAGAGAAATCTGACGGCTGAGTCAGCCCCCGCAGATAAGCCTTTCCGTGGCAACCCGCATTGCCTGATTGGATCCTGCGGGGTCAATGTTATTCCGCGGCGATCCTTCTTTCTCTCTCCTCCTTTCTTTTCCTCCTCTCTCTTCCTCTCTCTCTCTCTTTCCCCTGTACTCCATAAAGATCCCCGATAACGCACTCTTTATCGCTGTCATGGAGAAATCCTCCCAAGCCGAGGGCCAGACCCCTCCTGCCTACGAGACTGACCCCCAGAGCCCGCCCTTCACGTACATCAAGCCCCAGGCGCGTCTCCCCCACGACGCCAGCATCGCCTTCGAGGAGTACCACTACTACGCCGCCCAGACACGCGAGGAGGAGCTCGCCCACGAGTCCCCCCAGCTCAACTGGCGCGAGCTGTTCAGCCGCAAGACGCACGCCGACGCCGATGCGGCCGACCAGAACGTGGCGGATCCGCATCTGACCGAGAAGGACTTTGCCAATGTCGAGAACCGGCTGCACATCTCGGACGAGGAGTGGGCGAATGCTTCGCGTGCCTTTCGCAGTGCTTCCTGGGGGGCTTGTAAGTTTCTCTATCTATATGTCTGTATGTCTATATGCGGTGCTGATGGAAAAGGCTTCTATCTCATCACCACCGATATTCTGGGCCCGTACGGCGCCGGATACGCCATGGGCACGCTGGGCTGGGGCCCCGGCATCGCGCTGTACACCGTCTTTGGCTTCATGGCCGGATACTCGGGATACCTGGTGTGGCGCGTCTTCCTGGGCACCGACAGCTACCAGTTCCCCGTCAAGAACTACGGCGACCTGGCGTTCCGCACCTGGGGGTCGTCGGCGCGCTACATCACCAACATCTGCCAGGCGCTGGGCCTGCTGCTCATCACCGGGCAGGTCACCATCCAGTACGGCGAGAACATCTCGCAGATGTCGCGCTTCAAGCTGTGCTACGCCGTGTGCCCCGTCATCTTCGCCGTCGCGGGCTTCTTCATCACCCAGATCCGCACGCTGCGCGCCTACGGCTGGGTGGCCAACGCCGCCGTCTGGCTGAACCTGCTGGTCATCTTCATCACCATGGGCGTCATCGCGCACTCGCCGCCCAACTACGCCATCGCCACGCTGGGCTCCGCCGGCACCCTCGTCGACCCGGCCAGCATCACGCAGCTGGCCGACGGCAGCTGGCCGCCCATCATCCACTACACCGGCATGCCGCCCAACTCGCTCGTGGGCTCCATCAACGGCCTGCTCTCCGCCGTGCTGGCCTACGCCGGCGTGCAGCTGTTTGTCGAGTTCCTCGCCGAGATGAAACGCCCGCGCGACTTCATCAAGGCCATGTGGGGGGCCCAGTTCTTCATCTACGCCGTCTACCTCATCTACGGCTGCTTCGTCTACTACTACCAGGGCCAGTACAGCTTCAACCCCAGCTACATGGGCGTCAGCATCTACGGCTGGCAGACCACCGGCAACATGATCACCCTCATCGCCGCCCTCATCGCCGGCGGCCTCTACGGCAACATCGGCATCAAGGTCCTCTACAACAACATCCTGCTCGATCTCTGCAAGGCTCCGCCCCTCACCACCCGCACCGGCAAGATCCTCTACGCCGTCCTCGTCCCCATCTGGTGGATCATCGCCTTTGTTATCGCCGCCGCCATCCCAGACTACCTCGGTTTTGTCTCCGTCATTGCCGCCTCCATGCTCCTCAACCTGACCTATACCTTTCCCCCGCTCTTCGCCCTCGGCTACGATATCCAGCGCAACGCCATCCGCCCCGACCAGGGCGAGGGCTTCGATCCTGCCACCGGCCGCGTCACCCGGCGCAATTCCTCTTCCACACTCTCCCGTCTGCTGCGTGGCTTCTGCAGCGGGGGAGCCGCCCAGGTCGCCATCAATGTCTGCCATGTCTTGTACTTTTTGGCTTCTCTTGCCATGTGTGGCTTGGGAATGTACGCCGCTGTTGATGGTAAGTCTATCCTACACTTTGAAAGAACGAGAACTAATTAGTAGGCATGATTGTTGCGTTTGAAATCCCCGAGTTGAACTCCTTCTCCTGTGTCTCGCCTTTGAATCTGAATGCTTAGAAAGTAGTATATTTATATTAGTATTTTATATATTAGTATTTTATATTAATATATATCATTTTCTCATATTTCCTATATTGTGTAATTCACAGTCATGCTTGATGACATCTTAGTCAAGTTGATTACTCTGGAATAGATTTCTCCATCTAAAAGCTACCTAGATTTTACAATTTAATGAACATCACCTTGATAGAGGGTGATGTTCATGTTATACTAGTACTAGACCTCTGAATCTTACTATACACCTAGGTAGATGAACAACAGATTTGATGGCTGTCAAGATATAATATATACATTCATGTGATAGTCATGTACATCGTCTGGATAAAGTGAATCACTCCATCTCCATATGTTCAGCTCCCTTGCCAGAGAAGAGCTCTGCGGTGGCTACACTGTCGCCTGCGAACAGCCGATCGACGTCTTCCAGCTCGAGGCCTACATTGTTAGTATACGAATTGAAGTAGAAAGAAGAATCCAGCTCACCCTTTGTCTCCGGGAAGAAGAAGTAGATGATGGGCACCCAGGTGACGTTGAAGACGGTGAAGATGATATACGTGCGCCAGCCGATATTCGTGATGGCCGGCGGCGTGATCTGCACGATGAGATAGTCGCAGATCCAGTTGGCAGCGGTCGAGATGGACGATCCTCGCTGACGCAGGCGGAGAGGGAGGATTTCCGCAGGATATACCTAAGCATGTCAATTCTGTGATATATGTATAAATTCTAGAGCACTTCCTACCCAAACAGTTGCTTGGAAGCCGATGGTGAAGGCTCCCTCAAAGACGAACAGCATGACCGCCGCCGCAATACCGGACGCGTACGAGATAGAGGTGTTGTGCTGCACCTGGTAGATGAGGGCCGTCTGGACGGCCATGACGGCAGCCATGACGGAGACCATAGACAGCAACAGAGGCCTCCGGCCGATGCGGTCGATGAGGAACCAGGGGATGAAACTGGCGACAAAGAGCCAGGTCTGCAGGAAGCCCGACATGAGGCTCGACATGTGCGTGGAAAAGCCGATGGAGGTCTCGAACAGGGTGCCGGAATAGTAGATGATGGCGTTGATGCCGCCCAGCTGTTGAAAGGCCTGCACGGCACAGGCGATGAGCAGACGGCGCTGGCTCTGCAGCTCGTCGTTGCGCAGCAGGTCGCTCCACGAGCCGGCGCCCAGCTGCTTCTCGACCGCGACGGTGCGCACGATATCCTCGTGTAGAGCCCGCACGTCGGCCTCGTCCATACGGCCGTGGTTCAACCGCATCAGCACGTCCAGAGCCTCCTCGTTGCGGTCGTGCGCCGCCAGCCACCGCGGCGTCTCGTCCACCAGGTACACCAGCGCCAGCATCGGGATGAGCAGCACCCACTGCAGACTGATGGGCACGCGCCAGACGTAGCTGCCGCTGCCGCCCGAGAAGCCAAAGTCGATCCAGTAGATGAGGCAGATGCCCAGGTTGAGCGTCGTCAGTTGCATGCAGACGTCTATTGATTGAATCGCTTAGTAAGAATCGAATCGCTTAGTAATGACCGGAGCCTTACATAAGCCTCTGGTTGCCTTAGGCGCAAATTCGGCCATCATCACCGGCGAGGTGGAATTGACGACGCCCAGCCCGACGCCGGCGACGATACGGGCGACGATCATCTGCGCCAGGCTGTAGGAGCTGGCCTGCAGCACGGAGCCGATCATCATGATGACCACGCCGAGGGCGATGCTGCGGCGACGGCCGAGATCCTCGCCAAACAACGCGGTGCCGATGCTGCCGAAGAACGCGCCGACGTCCATGATGGAGACGATCAACGCGGTGATGACGGAGGAGGGGTTGTCGAAGGTCTGGAGGAAGGACGACTCCGTCACTAGATTACCCATCAGGCCGTTGTCGAACCTGTTGGTCAGTAAAGATCACTTCGCAGTCAAATTGCGGTGAAAAAGGAGGGGTAGAAAAGACACATACCCAATCTGCATGAACCCCAGCGCCGTCAGGGCGACGACGACGCCGAAGAGAGCGTTTCCCGTCAGCTTCATGCTCAGCACTCGAGGAGGAGGAGGATTATCAGATGGAAGAAGGAGGCAAGGGTTGATGGTTATCGACGGGAAAGAAATTAAGCTCCTTTTGCAGCTGCGGAGAACTTATAAGTGCCATGTGGAACCCCACGGGGAGTCCCAATGGGGGAATTTCAAACGCCGGGCGGCTATTCACCTTCCGGGCGTCATAAGATCAAGCAATCATCCTTGCCTGTATCTTTATTAGACTGCATATATGGGTGTATCCTGTCTTCTTCTTCTGGCTTCTCTCTATTCTCTCTCTATTCTCTCTCTATTCTCTCTCTCTATTCTCTGCTTCTCTCTATTCTCTCGTCTCTCCTGGTTAAACCAGGTATCTTTTCTTCAACTCTACATCTCCTCCATCTACATCCGATCGGTAATTGTTCGGATCCACATATAAGCCTTCGTTTCTCGCCTCTTCTGACTCTTCCGTCTCTTCCTCGGCCCTTGTCCGTCTGTTTTCTTCCGGTGGTTCCGATCCTTTTGTCCCTTGACCGACTCTCCCCCCCCCCCCCCCGATGGCCAAACTATATACCCAGCAAAAGATGCCCTTTGACAAGGTCGAGGTCACTCTGCTGGCCCAGTCCGACACCGCCGACTTCCACGAGGCATGCATCTACCACCATCCCACCCGCAGCGTGTTCGTCACCTCGAACCAGCTGCAGAATGCCCCGGGGGTGGCCACTCCCGCCACGGCCAACAAGCACGTCAAGCTGTTCCGGATCTACGATGACGGCCGGCAGGAGGCACAGGAGCAGAGCGTCAAGGTCGAGGAAGTGACCTTTGACGGCTGCCATAGCGCTATGCTCAACGGGGGTGTCAACGACGGTGACGAGCACATCCTGCTCTGCGCGCAGGGATCAACAGATCCCAGCGATCTATCAGGAATCATCCGGCTCCCTATCCCGACAGAAGCGTCGGCCGTTCCATCCAAGGCAAGCGTCGTCGTGGACTCCTTCTACGGCGTCCCCTTCAACTCCGTCAACGATGTCATCGTCCATCCGGAAGACCAGTCCATCTGGTTCACAGATCCCCCCTACGGCTTCCACCAGGGCATCCGATCCCCCCCGCAACTGCCTCCGCAAGTCTACCGCTTCAACCCTCACACGCACTCCATCCGAGCCCTGGCCGACGGCTTCTCCCGTCCCAACGGCCTCTGTTTCTCTCCGGACCGGAAAACCCTCTACGTGACCGACACGGGGGCCATCTCGGGGGCGTCAAATACCGGCCCGGACTTCACCCGTCCGTCATCTATCTATGCCTTTGACATTGTCTATCCCGAGCAGAAGGGAGAGTCGCATCCCGAACCCTTCCTGGTGAATAGGAGACTCTTCGCGTACGCCGCCGGCCGGTTCCCCGACGGGATCAAATGCGATACAGACGGAAACGTCTATTCCGGCTGCGGCGATGGCATCCAGATCTGGAATCCGTACGGCGTCCTTCTGGCTTCTATTCCGGTAGAGAACGGGGTGGCCAATTTCTGTTTTGGCGAGGGGGGGGTTATCTATGCCTGTAACGAGACGAGGTTCTATCGTATCTCTTTGGGAGAGGTCAGAGGGGATTTATTGCGTATCTAGAGCATAGATAGTATAATAGTATAATAGTATAAAGTAAAACTCTATTATCTTATACTCAGTATCTTATACTCTACGCTAATAGTATTGTTTGTGATGATTTAACTGCTATACAGATCTTATTATTCATATTGGTCTCGGCTACTCTCAAGTAGATCATGCTTGAACTATATCAGATAATAGTATTGTATCAAATGTCTCTCTAATATGTATGTTATACTACTACATATTTACTCTAGTACACTTATATATTTATATATATTTTGCAATGTGAGCTCATGGTATGATATGATGTTAAGTAGTATAGATTACAACTGATCAGCATGCCGGCAACGGCCAGTACCAGGCTGATTGGAATCAGCCAATACAGCTTATTTGTTGTGGACCTCAATTTTGTAGACCTCAATTGCAGGATACTGTTTGGATCAGGCCTGGCAAAGGATACATTAGTATAATCATTTCTTAGGTTTTATATAACTTTTATTGGAGGTTTATTAGAAATTATAGCTATATAGTATACTAAAAAGTATTGTCGCAGGTCACAGATATGATACTCTTGATCTATTCAGCTATAGTCCTGATTGATTCAGCTTTACAAGCATCTTTGATTCATCATATACTCTAAGTTCTATAACAATTAAAACCAATATTTGTAGGATCCAGGTTTGGCATACTCCGACTATCTCCGGCTGTCCAGACTGTCTCGATCACGATTGAATCAATCGAGGTAGATCGGCTAACCAACTTTGAGGGGCTGCTTGGGTTAAAGAACAGGTCCAACAATGTAATAGGTTATGAGCTAGACTAGTGCCAAGGTAACTATCATTAAGAATGCGAAGAATGATACATGGGAAGCAAGTATTGCTGCAGTCCTATATATGAATAATCCTCAGAGCCTAGAGCCTAGATTGATAAAAGCTGACGCATTAGTAATACTAATCGCGTCTTCAGACGAGCCCTCTTACTAAATAGGAAGGTGTAAGCCCTAGTAAAGCCTTAGGGACATTATTTATAAGTAGTGTTATATAAATAAGTCCCTAACAGGCTTGCTTTGCAGTACTTTTGAAATCACTACAGTCTGCTTCGCAGTACTTTTGAAATCACTACAGTCTAGCTTAATACCCTTCAGCTCTTGTATGAAATCACAGCTCACTATTCTGTCTACTAATGCTAGTGTTGTAACCTGAAGGCTTTGTGGCTTGTTCCTCCATCACACGCTTACTTGATGCATCTCGGTCAGACTTACCTGAGCTAGCATAAGCCATTTTCTAATTTCTCTTTGCAGAGCTAGACAGTGAAATAACTAGTGATGGCTAATTATTGAGCTAGTATTGGATCGAACTATCGAACTAACTACGGACTAATCAACTGGAATAACTGGCTGAATATTAGTGCCCGAATCAGGGCTGATGCATAAGCCTAGAGATAGGAGCTCGCGCGGAAATTATGATTAAAGAATAGCACAAATGATAGATAATTGTATAATAGTATAGGAAGTAAGATATAGTATTGATATAGATATAGATATAGATATAGATATAGATATAGATATAGATAATAGGTAGATAATGGACAGATGATAAATAATAAAAATAGTATGAGATGAGATATAAGAACAATGGTATTATTCTGATAGTGATAATCTTGCAGGATACATTTAATCCATGTCGATACCACTTCGCTTCGCACGTGGGGGCGAGATAGAGGCTTGGCTGCATGGCTAATGCTTGTCTAGACTTGACCACAGGTCGGCACGACGAGGAAGAAGATCGGATCGGGGAGGATCAATCGGAAGAGGCCGTTCCTCGCATTAGAGTACAGACAAAGAACAGGCAGAGCGACAGAGTAGTTCTCTGGTCTTGGTTTTGAGGCGTGCTCCGCCACCACCCTGATACAACGGCAAAGGGAATCCTGCGGGCTGTGCCGGCCGTGCCCTAATATAGAACCCGTAGTAGTCTTGTTTCCGTGTCTATTCTGCACGCTATTATTCAGCCAATGGGTAGTGAGGAAAATGGAGTGAATAATTCAGGATCGCCATCCATGCCTGCGGCATTTAGCGGTAGAGTACGAGTACAGAGTACGAGTACGGATATAGAAGGAGTATAGAAGGAGTACAAGTAGAGAGAATGAATCCTTGAAGTCGTTGAATCATTTCCAGGATTGAATATTGAGTATGATTTGTGTAATGTAGAATAGAATTAAAGTTGCTATTGAAAACTCTGCCGGAAAGTCCGGTCCTCCCCGCGCACTTGTTCTACCCATCTTCTACCCCATCTGTGGAGTGCAGTACGTCATCACAGAGTGAAGATATTACTCAGGCAGTTCCCAGACTTGGCTGCGTGCGTGGATTCTGGACAGCTTAACTAGCAGGGGCCTCGGAGTACATCCGTCGGAGGCTACTATACTCCGTACACTCCGTAGGACAGGACTAGCTCTATAGTATACTCAGACTAAATAGTATAGACTAACATAGTACTCAGACTAAATAGTATAGACTAAAGTTAAACTACCCATCACATTCTGTACTTTTGAATTCAGAAACATAGCACAGTTACTACTACTGCTAAGTACTGCTAATAATATCTCGGCATCACGGCGGACTGGGGGATCGACAGTCGGTCTCGGAGCCGGGCGGAGTTGCTTGATGCGGCTGTGCTGGACCAGAAGGGGACGAGCACCTCCTGCATTAGTAATTCGAGAGGCTGCATTCCCTGTATTCTAGTCAGGCTAGCCTGTACCTATGGAGAGTTCCTCGGATGTTCATTGGATACAAGTACGGAGAAGTACCTCGGTAGCGCAGGTATTGTACGGTGGTATTACAGATACAGGAAGTGATCTGCAAGCCAATCGGAGGAGATATATTGTCTCTACTAGGTACTTATATTGATACTTATACTTATCCATATACTTCATATACTTCAGCTATATTTATTGCATATACTTACGTGATATACTTCAGCTATCAGCTATCAGCTATGAGCTATCAGCTATTCAGCTATTCAGCTATATACATACTATAACTCAAGGACTGAAGAATCCTGCCAAGAAAGATCCATCTTCACCACCACCGCTAGGGCCTTGTCTGTGCAGATCCTAATACAGACTCCACTCAACCCTTGGCCGTCCCTTGGCGTTCCGTTGGCTGTACCTTGGGCAATGTCTGTTCCCTGCTGCCTGTTATTTCCCGCCGTTGCCATCCTGCGTGTCACCGCAGTCACAGCGTATCATCGCGTGTCCAATACAGGCCCTCTGCATCTGCCCGGAGGATCGGAACCTCCGTGCCTGACCGCGAGACACCGGGCAGTGGAGCATTCAATCACCGCGAGGAGAGGCATTGCCAATGTCTTGCTGGCTAGTTCAGAGCCCTGTCTTGGTATCGGACTGGGCATGGTGCTGTCTACGAGGCCTCGTGGGTCGGTGGAGATCCAACCTATATAAAGCGGGAGCACCTCCACTCTTGTTCGACAGCAGCAGCCTCTTCCTTATACTGTCTCTGCAGTATCCCACCATGCATTTCTCTCTCCTTGCCCTTGCCCTGGCAGCTGGCTCCGCTGCCGCAGGGTGTCCCTATGCCGAACGAGCTGCGGAGCCCCGGGCGTGTCCCTATGCTGCCCGCCAGGCCCAGGAACAGCCTGTGCGGCGTCATGGGAGCCAAGTTGGTGATGACAAGAAAGGCATTTTCTACAGTAAGACATCCTATATTCTATAGTATAGTATACTATACTCTATAGTATAGTATACTATACTCTATGTATACTTTACTATACTCTATAGTATGGATCTAACTATCAGTGAACCGCATCGGCCCCTCCGGGTTCCAGTTGTACATCGCCAACGCCGACGGCAGCAACATCACGGAGTTGATGGGCAACCAGACCACCCCCTTCGACTACCACGCCTCATGGTCGCCCGACGGCGAATGGATCGTCTTCACCAGCGAGCGCCGCGGGTTCGGCCAGTCGGACCTGTACCGGGTGCATCCCGACGGCACGGGCCTGGAGGTGCTGGTGGCGACGGACTCGATCGAGGACAGCGGCGTGCTGTCGCCCGACGGAACGAAGCTGGCGTACGTGTCGACGTACGGCAACTACACGACCAACATCTGGGTCAAGGACCTGGCCAGCGGCGTCGCGTATAACCTCACCGACACGGATCTGACGCGCGCCGACAACACCTGGCCGACGGGCCACTACCGGCCGGCGTGGTCGCCCGACGGCGAGTGGATCGCCTTCTCGTCCGACCGGAACACGGACTGGACGGGCCATTCCGACGGGACCGGCTGGGAACACACGCAGAGTCTCGGCCTGTACGTGATCCGGCCCAACGGAACGGATCTGCGGCTGGTCCGTCGCGAGGACGGATACTCGCTCGGCACGCCGCAGTGGTCGCCCGACGGAAGCCGCCTCATCTACAACCAGATGACGCGCGAGAACACGTACTACGCCCACGGCGTCAGCAGCGAGCAGCTCGCCGTCGACGCCCAGGTGCACAGCGTCGACGTCGCCACGGGCGAGGACGTCGTCGAGCTCACCTCGGGCGACTACGTCAAGGTCGCCCAGCACTACATCGGCAACTCGACCAACGTCGGATACCTGATCAAGGGCGGCGTTCCCGACGGAGGCATCAACTACACCCACCCGGACGCCGGCCACACGGCCTGGAACGTCTCGGGCATGCGCAGTCCGGCCTGGTCGCCCGACGGGTCCAAGATCATCTTCGAGATGCCCGACTGGACGCAGCAGACGCCCGACCTGCCGCTCTGGAGCTTCGACACCGAGTGGGAGTACCGCTACATGGACGTCTTCCCCCTGCACAACGACAAGGTGAACCGCATCGCGAGCACGCAGAAGGTGCTGGGCTATGCCAACGGCTCGCTGGTCACCTCCACGCCGCTCTACGCCGACCTCGTCACGGCCCTGGACTCGTACTCCATCTACTCCGAGGACAACGCCACCGAGGTGCTCTATCTCGAGGAGGGCGAGTCCGGCGCCTTCCAGCCCTCCTGGAACCCCGACGGCACGGAGCTGGTCGTCGGCTTCGGCGCCTGGTTCGTCGATCGCGTCGACACCCCGGCCGCCATCTTCCACGCCTTCGAGAACGGCTCCTCGTTTGAGAACCTGACCGTGTGGGACGGCGACATCAACGCCGGCTTCCCCTCCTGGTCTCCCGACGGCTCCGCCATTGTCTATCGCGAATGGAGCATGACCACCGGCGCCCCCCTCGGCCTCAAGATCCTCAACTTCACCACCGGCGAAACCACCCAGCTCACCGTCGGATGGGACAATACCCCGGGTTGGTCGCCCGACGGCGAGCTCATCGTCTTCACCCGCAACGACAACTGGACCGAAGCCTACGGGTCAAGATGGTACGCAGACCGGTTCGACATCTTCACCATCCGCCCCGACGGAACGGATCTGAATCGCGTCACCGACTCGCTCGCCAACGACGCCCACGCCGTCTGGTCGCAGGATAACCGCATCATGTGGAGTTCGGGCATGTATGGCTTCCGCGATGAATCCGCCCTCTACGACGACACCTTCCAGCCCTACGGCCAGATCATGGTCATGGACAAGGATGGCTCCAACAAGAAGATCGTCACCGATACCTTGTGGGAGGACTCCATGCCGCTCTACATGCCGAAGCGGTTTTTATAAAACATTTTACTGCCATACCTATCAGTATATAATATAACTATCAGTATATAAATATGTCCAAGTTACGAATATCTGTTACATGTAATTTCTCTCTGGATTGAGGTAGAGAGACAACGAATCTCCACAGGTAGGATCGATGTACTCGGAGAAGAGATTGGACCACGAAACCGCTTCATTCATCTCGTCTTCCGCCAGGGGCAAGGGATTCGCCTGGGTCGGCGTGCTGCGGCTTTCAAAAGGCGAGTACTCGCTCGTCGCCGTGGCGGCCGTCTGCGCCGCCGTGGCACGCAGTCGAGCGTACGCTTCATGGGCGAGCGCCCACTTGCTGCGCAGGATACGCAGGTATCCCAGCACCAGCACGAGCCGGTTCTGGTGGTGGTCGAGACACTCGGCGCCGTGACGCTCTGCTGCAGCCAGCTGGACGAGGCCGCACAGCATCAGACCGCAGACCGCCAGCGGGCTGGTCCCCTGGGCCCCCGACCGCATCGAGAACAGGTTCGACAGCTGTTTCGAGGCCTCGACCGTCTTGATATCGTGTACCTGGCGCGTCAGCGAGGGCGACAGCCGCACAGGAGTCCTCGGGCAGATGGCAAACGGGCTCTCGGGCAGCCGCGGCCGGAGATTGCTGCGTGGTAAATGCAGCAGCATCGCCGCGTATCGGATCGTGTAGTGCGCTTGGAACAACATCTCGTCGATCGTCCCGAACATGTCGACTATGTCCAGCTTGCATTCCGGCAGGTGGTGCATCCAGCTCACCAGCGCGTTGGCCACCGCCTGCAGATGGTCCTGGTGCGTCTCCGGCAGCCGGTTGAGCACCAACACGCGCGCCAGGATGCGAGCCGCCTCGATCCGATACGCAAACGACGAGTACCGGCTGCTCTTCTTCTTCTCTTTGCTCTCCCCTCCCTCTTCATCCTCTTCTTCCTCCGTGAAGATCCTTGCTCGGAAGGAAGCAAGAGACTGTGGCGGCGGGATAGTCTGTGACGAAGGCGAGGCGTACGTCGTCTCTTCACACGGCAACAAAACGTCCGAGAACAGCTGGCTGCACCGCAGGGGGATCCCCTCCTGCACAGTCGCCAGCTGTACCTCCCAGATAAACAGTTCCCACCAGGTACGTCGCAGACTCTCTGCCTCGTGCTCGCTGGACGCCGCGGCGACCGCGAACCCGTCGCGATGCATGCCCAGCTCAACGGCAATGTCGATCGCCTGCGTCAGACACGACTCGGCGCGAGTGATCTCGTTGCGCGCCCTCATGATGATCGAGTACAGCAGGAGAGCCTGGACTGTCGCCGGCGTGCGCTCTTCCACGCTGCTCACAGCCAGCCAGGTCGCTTCGTGCAGCGTGTCGTTGCTCATCACGAGCGAGTAGTGACTGCCGATGAACGTCACCACTTGATGCAGACATGCTGCCGCTTTCGTCTTGTCGTATAGTCCGGCGGGAATCAGGATGGGATGCGCCGAGTGGAAGTTCTCGTAGTACAGACGAACCAGTCGTCCTTCGGGGACTATCACAGTGGTATTCGACTCGGGGACCACAATGTCTGAAGATGAAGATTCGATATATTGAGTGGTTGGGGGGATAGTAGGAATAGGAATAGAAGGAATAGGAACAGAAGGAAGAGGAATAGAAGGAAGAGGAATAGAAGGAATAGGAATAGAAGGAAGAGGAGACTGAGATTGAGGAATAGAGATAGGAGTAGATTCAACATCCTCGGCAGCTTGAGGCATCTCCAAAGCACGCATCTTCCTCTCCAGACGTCGTCTTCCCCCCCGGCGAGACGGAAGAAAGATGCATTCCGTCTGGGCGAGGGCACAGCGCGAACACGTCGGCTGTCGGGCGTCGCATTTGAGATGGTGTTTACGACATTCTGTGCACGCCAGCGACGATGGACGCGTTTTGAGATCTGGGGGCATATTCAGTCCAGGGCATACAGAGTTGAGTCAAGATTAATCGGGCTTGAGTTAAGATTAATCGGGCCATGAAGGAGTTGAGTTAAGATTGATGAACAAGATTGAGTCAAGGGAATCAAGTCACTTCACCGCCTTGGTCACATGATGTCACATGCCATTAGACTTTAGCCTATTACTAACTGGGTAAGTCTAGACCATCACTAAAAAGGCATAGTCAAGTATTACTTTACAGAGACAATGAGTGGAAAGCCAAATATATTGATTATAAATTGCAGGGTTCATCACTAGATTCATCTCTTTAGTTAGAATACTTCTAGTGTTTCTATATTTATCTATCAAGTCCTTAGTATTAGCATGATCACTAGGAGTATCAAGTACTCTGTACTCTAGTAACCTTACCGAGGTTGATCTGACAAGGATGTTATGCGAGATATTTACGCGAGACACAGGAAATTATGTCTTCCAATTGGCCTATGATAGGTTCTAGATAGACTAGAGCTGTCCATTCATGTAACATTGAATTTGTCTTATTCATAAAGGAAATTGACAACATCCAGGGGCCACTAGACTGCTGAGCCACTAAAAATGTCTAGACATTAATTAGGGCCTTATATGATCATATATTCCTGTGACAGGAAATTAGACACTCTATTATATCTTGGTAGGAGAGCACTTAGTTACTACTAGTATATTAGTACTCTGCCTACGGAGTATACTATACTATATAAGAGATACTTATAGTGATGCCATTGACTGGCTACTCAACTGTTTGCTCTTGCTCCACTCCTCATAACCCTGCCTTTGATGGCAACCAGGGTAGATACTAGGATACTGATGTTACAATGCTGGGATCAAGTCCAGACCGGAATAGCCTTGCATATTATTCCTTGCTAGACCCTCTCTCCTCTCTCTCTTCTCATCTCATCCCCTCTATTCTCCTCTCTCTCATCTCTTTTTCTCTCCTCATCCCTTCTTTTTCTCCTCTCTCCTCCCTCCTCATCTCATCCCATCTCATCTCTCTCGTCTCATCTCATCTCTCTCTCTCTCATCTCTCTCTTCTCTTCTTCTAATCTTCCAATCTCATCTCATCTTATCTCTCCCCTCTCTCCTGTCTCTATCACCATGAGTGACCTTCCAGACTACGTTCTCGACCCTAATGCTGTCCTCAAGGACAATGAAGCTGCCTGGCGTCTGGGCAGTCCACCGGATTACTCCAATACACGCAAATTCTACGCAAAAAGTAAGAACCATTCACTATTCTAGTCTATTGTTTGTATCCCTTCTAATGACAGGCAAAACAATGACCCACGAACCCGGCAGTCTCCCCTTCCTGGTTGAGAATCTAGTCAAAAACTGGGAAATCGAAGCCTCCTTCAAGACCGACCTGAAAGACTGGCGCACCATCGATCAGGAAGTGTATACCTTTGCCATGAACGGCGGTCCAGCACGAACAGGCCACCACATGCTCGAGGTGGGCACGTACAACGCTCTCCTCACCGCGAGCCAGTATTACGACCCTGCCCATAACGACTTTGAATCCTCACACAAGTCTTTTAAGCGGATGATGCCTACCTTTGCCTGGGAGGTGCTTGAGGTCTACTCTGGTCCCCCTGTTGTGGCCTTTCGCTGGAGACATTGGGGGGAGATGAAGCATGACTATGTGGGATACAATAGGTATTTCTCATCCTTATCTCTATCTTCATATTCCTCTTTCTAATAGAATAGTTCTGGTGAAAAGGTCACTATCGAGTCTCACGGTGGCCCGATTGATATCCAAGGGATTGTCGTCGCCAAGGTCAACGACAAACTTCAACTGCAGAAGATTGAGGTCTGGTATGATCCGGTCGAGATGTTCCGGCAGGTTGGCAAAGAGGCCACTGGCTGTCCTTTTGCAAAGGCCGAGTAGTATACTTATAGTATATATAACCCATTTGAGTCACTGTATAAACACACACGATGCAACTAGCTTTCAACAAGAAACTCAATCCAAGGATTCAGCCATAGTTTCTCCCTTTCCAATTTCAAAAACACCCCCAGTTCTTGACCTTGTATAATATCCTCCTCATCTGGGCCTTTCGTCTTGATCTCCATCATGCGCTTCTTCCAGTATCCCCGCAGAAATTGTAACAGCGGAACATTGAGCGTGGTATATGCCATGTTGAACTCCTTCAACAATTCTTCTAGTTCCTTCAGACAATCAGTGTCCTCCTCTTGGATGCGTTCAATTTCGATTTCGGGAGGTGGTCCTCTTCCTTCACGCAAGTAGTAGCAGCAGGTATGTGTGAGGTCCAGCTCTGTGAAGGTGAACAGCCGGATGACAAGTGTGGCTGTGTGACTCTGCTTGGGATTTATAGTCACCATTGCCTCAAAAATGCCATCAAAATATCTCATCAAAAAGGGGTGATCCAGGCTGTCATTCAGTAAACCCTTGAATCCGACCAACTCGGGAGAACAGCCGTTCCCCGAGCAGGCGCAGCAGCAGTCGTCCACCATTGTTTCCAGCGATACATTTGAAAGCAATTTGGAGTCTTTCAAGCTCTTAGAGTAAGTCAAGATAGCTTTTCGACTACACCAAGTCAACCCCTCAAACAACTGGTGGAAAAATGTCCAGGTCGATCCCGGGTAATGGCGGTAAGCATCGGCACCTTTCGAGAGTAACCAGTGTGCTTTTGGCAGGATGTCTTTGTGAAGGTAAGAATCACCCACTCTCAATATTGGTGTCCAGCCGTCGTAATTTATATCATCCACCTGCTTGAAGCCGGCATTGTAGAGCAACTCCAAGGATTCAATCGTTTCGCAGTAATGAAAGACAGAGTCTGTCCTTTCGACTATAAGTTTCTGATCGACGGCCACTCCTGCTGCGGTTAGGGACTCGCAGATTTCTTTGGCCCGCGAATCAGGAAGTTCATCCTCGACAATGCCCAGCCGGGCTAATTCTGCAGAAGGTAGATGGAGTTTGGCCAGATCCTTCAATTGCTGTCGTCGGGATGCCAATTCCGTTGCCAGAAGGTTTAACAAGGAAGTTGATATTGACAATACAAACAAGAAAAGGCCAATCTCACAGCCTGCTCTTAGAAGCATTCTCGTGGAAGCAAGGCTGTTTGTCTCAACTGCGAGCTGAAGTGCGTATCCTCTTGGCAATGCCCCAGCTGCGAGGAGAATCTCGATGCCTTCTGCCCAATCTGCAGACAATTCAATGGGTAGAATAGATCGAATTTTAGTATTCAACAAGAAGGGAAAAGATGTAACTGCGAGTTTCAGATCATCTTTTGACCGTCGAAAAATGGCGATCACAACGTCGTTAAAGACATCTATTGCCCAAATCAGACCAGTTGTTCTTCACGACGTACCATATTACAATTTCTTGGGGGTTCACCTGGATCTAGGAAATTTGCAATCCGTTGCAGGTTCAGTTTGAAGTTCAATGCCGTGTAATAGCCTAGGACTCCTGGAGTTATACTTGAACTGGACTGGATTATGGGATCCAAGGTCACGTGATCTAGAATGTCAGGTATTCGAAGAAGCGAGTCGAGTGTGCTATAACCAAAGTTGTTATCAACAACATCCAAGGGAGTTCCTGCATCAATCATGTACTGGACAAGGCGACTCAAACTGGGTAATAATTTACCATCGACTGAGAAGCAACATCGCTTCATAATTTTTCGACATTAGCCTGAAGCAACCTGCCAGGGGGGGCCAACCTACATGCAGGATTGTCTTTCCATTGCTGTCGACATCGGTAGGCGAAGCCTTCCCTCGCGAAAAAAGATCGTGGAGTTTATTTATTGTGTTTTCTATATCCTCAATTGTTATAAAGGGCTTCCTGAGTTCCGCGATTGCCTTGAAAGATGGATGGTCGTATGGAACTATTGCACGAAAATGAAGAAGAGGACAGATGGAAAACCCGCCATTGCCTGTATTGCTGGCGAACATGACGCTGACAGACATTCCGAGCAATTGGCTTGTGAAAGACCACTTATTACTGTTTGTCTGTGACTGTTTCGATGACCGGAAGCGAGGACAAGTTGGAAAGTGCATCTTTTGCCCTGCTGAGAACGGCTTCAGTGGGCATTGACAGCCTCGCTGCGGGCGTCTTGGAATATACACGTTCTGTGTGGCTTGGATGGCTTCATCGGCGTTGCAGGCCTGTTGGAGCAAGGCTGGGCTGGAAAGAAGACGCTGGAGAACTGCAATCTTCTGATGTCAGCACAATGACAGCCAGATGAGTTTTCGACGTACCTCCGACTCCATCCTCACTAGAGATGCGGTAGTCGAGACATGATGATCAGTAACTGTGGTAAGAAGACTGCATGTCTGCATTAATTGCGAGCTGAGTGACTGGTATTAGCATCTTTTCACTCCTACAGTGACAAGATCTTACACAAGAAGAGATGAATTCAGATTCGACTGGATCTCTTGCAGATGGTCTCTCATCTCCAGCAGCCCCTCCTTCTTGAAAGGATAGACTGCCTTGTGTCCGACATGGCGTATCTGGTCGGTCCACGACGATGAGGTGAGCTGATACGATTTGATCTTCACTTTTAGCCTTCCAATAACACTTTGACAGGATTGCAGTTTAATCTCGATATCGTTTCGCATTAGATCCGTCGCTGGTCTTGCAATAAGATACTGTTGCAGGGAGATCAATGTGCTACCCAATCCCCCAGCCTTGTCCTGGAGATCTCGAATGTCCTGGTCGCAGTCTCGCCATGCAGAACAGTAGTCGACAATCTGCTGGCAGGTCGCCAGACCGAGGGAGATGATGCCAACGGCACTTGAAGCGGCAGAGAAGGGGTCTCCCATGGCAAGTTGTTTGAGAAGGTGAAGCCGAGAGAGATGGAAAGTTGAAGTTGAGGGGAAACGATGGACTCATATCTTTCACCGACTCAGCCACGTTGCCAACTCATCCGTGCTGCAAGGCTGAATCGATGGTCACATCCTGGTCAGTTCCATTGGATATGGATGATTTTCAGCCTGATATGCTGTCAAGAATGCCTTGACGGTCGGCGCTTCATGATATATCAAAGTTATTTCTCTTTATTGAATATTCCTTGGTACTCTTTAAAGGAGAATAGGATGAATAGAGGAACAAAATAACTATAATCAAATAGATATTGCTCTATTACCCCTAATGAGATGTATTTCCTCATGGAAGATAAGGAATAGTAGAGAATAGATATTTAGACAAACTCATATTTATTATCATTTTAAATGTCCATAGAAAACTGCTTTATTTCCAACAGGAAACAGGATAAATTTGGGTTCTCAGATCCCAAGTAAAAGTCTTATATACCAATCCCTGCCAGCTTAATAATTCCAGATCATTATGAAATGTCTCACTTTCATAAGCAAACATGATGCTAATAAATGCTTACAAAAGGCCCTTCAGGCTTACATTTCTTTGTCAGCTCGCCATTCATCTCACTCGACATTCCGACAGATGCCGAGTTATAAATCAGCAACAGAAACAGACATCATGACCATTTATCATTTTCAGAATCAACCTGCTCATCGTCATGTCTTCCAACCTCGCTCTATACATACCCTCGCCGCACGCGCCCTTCTCCCTGGGCCACGCTGAGATCCCCGAGCCTGGCCCGCACGAGCTGGTCATCAAGAACACCTCGGTTGCTCTGAATCCCCTCGACTATAAGATCCAGCAGAGCAGTGCGTTCCCCGTCTCGTACCCGTACATTGCGGGCGTCAGCTTTGCAGGGACAGTCGAGAAGGTCGGATCAGCTCTGCAGACGAAATTCCGTCGTCTGGATCGAGTCGCTGCCGGGCGGATTTCCTCACACTCCGAACCAGGCGAGGGAGTCTTTCAACAGTACGTGCTGGCTCACGAAGATGCTGTTGCCAAATTAGATGAAACCGTATCTCTGGACGATGCCAGCGCAGTCATTCCCAGCATCATCTCTGTCGTCGGAGCGCTCCACGTGTGCATGGGCTTGTCTCTCCCAGACCTAAACCATACCCATAACCAAAACCACGAAAAGAAGATTCTCGTTTATGGCGGATCGTCGACTCTAGGCATGCGAGCTGCAGAGTACGCCATGCAAGCCGGGTACACGGTCGTGACGACCTCGTCGCCAGCAAACCGCGCGCAGGTCAGTCGGTTCTGTCCGCAGGCTGTTGCGATCATCGACCACACCATCCCGGTGGAGGAAGCGCTCGTCAAGGCAATAGTCTCTGAGGGTCCGTATGATTATATCTTCGACGCCATCGGGACGCCTGCCACCACATCCATCGTTGCCAAAGCTGTCCTCCAGCTTAACTGCACCAGCAGTACCACCACCACCACCACGATCTGGAGTAGCCGGCCTGGCGGTACAGAGGATCTCCTTGGTGGAGTACAGCGACGAGGCGAGAGCTATCCACACTTTGTTGAAGAAGACGAAGGTGTCCGACGGTGGTTGTTTGAGGAGTATCTTCCCCTGGGGCTGACAAGCAAGACGATCAGCGTTCCGGATATCGAAAAGGTCGGCGGTGGTTTGGGCAGCATACCTGGTCTGCTCGATCGAATGAGAGGGGGAGGCATCTCTGGGAAGAAGCTGGTTGTTGATCCGTGGGAGACTGAGCAGTTTTAATACGGAGGGAGACAATTCAAGTTGTGTGTGATATTGCTGTCGAATTGATATTAAGGCATCAAGGCAGAAGTAAGGCGTAAGGCACTAAGGCACTAAGGCACAACTCCAGGCACCACCAAAACAATTCTCTTTCTTTTCTCCTCTCCTCCTCTCCTCTCCTCTCCTCATCTCCTCCTCTTCTCCAACTAGACTGCGTAATCTGCAGCTTTACCTACAGCTTCACCTGCACCTCGCTCAGAGCAGAAACAATCCCCTGCAGCTCCATCTCAGGATCAAAAAGCACGGGTTTAACGGCTCGACTCTCCACTTGCCATGACTCGGCAACCAAAGAGACACGATCGAGTGGGACGTTTTTCGAGTGGATTGAGCGACATGCAGCTGTTCTTTGTTCTTTGTTACGAAGAATTCCTTTTTGTGTCACAGATCATGCAATGATAAACTGGGTCCTGATAAGGGCTGTTCTCCTCCCTCGTGGGTTCAAGACAACACAATTCGATTTCTATCGAGCTTGAATCACCATGGTCGAAGAAAACAACGCAATTGTGGATGACCAGCTGGAGCTCGTTCCTGACGTATGCTTTGTCTCTTCTTTTTGTGTTCTTTTCTCTGAATAATATCTCCCTAGGACGCCGTCCCCGACGACGATCAGGTCTCGCTGAGCTCGCATGGAACAGACTTTACATCGTTAAAATCGAGTGTGTTGGATTATGAGTATGCTTCTAGACTTTCTTGAGTTGGTCTTTGATGCTAATTATTAGATACGACGTGCGGCGTCTACTTCGGCCCACTTCCTATACTCGACTAACAGCGTCTAGAACGGCCGTCGATACCAGAGCTACCGCAAGGGCGAATACCTCTTCCCCAATGATGAAGACGAGCAAGACCGGATGGATTTTCTGCACCACATTTACAACGTTGTCTTTGGGGGGAAGCTGTATCTGGCGCCTCTCAAAGACGTAACGGGGCGTGTGCTTGACCTGGGCACAGGAACGGGTATCTGGGCCATAGATTTTGCCGAGTGCGTACGCATTTATATATGATCATTGAATATGAAATGCTGATTTTTGCAGTGAAAATCCGGCAGCAGAAGTCATCGGCAACGATCTCAGTCCAATCCAGCCTGGATGGTAAGCATGGTTCAACAGCAGTGCTTTCGGTATGAAGTACAGGCTGATATAAAGATTTTCTAGGCTGCCTGCCAACTGCGCGTTTGAAGTTGATGATTTCACTGCCGACTGGACCTTCACCCATCCCTTCCAATTCATCCACGGGCGCGAGCTTGCAGGCGCAGTCAAGGATATGGACCGGCTCGCAAAGCAGGCCTTTGACAACCTACAGCCAGGGGGCTACTTTGAGATGAAGAGCATCGGGCTTGATTCCTGTTCTGATGACAATACGTTTGAGGAAAAAGCCACCTACTCCAAACAGATGAATGAGTTGGTCCACGAGGCAAGCAGCAAGTTCGGGAAACCCATGCAGGACCTGACTGTGTGGGAGAAGAGTCTGGAGGCAGCTGGCTTTGTTGATATCGTTTCCCGGGTAATTAAAGTCCCAACCAGCCCCTGGCCCAAGGATCCCAAGCAAAAGGAGATTGGACGGTACTTCCAGGCTATTCTTCTCCAGGGGATGAACTCTTATTTGCCCAAGCTCTTCATCGACGTTTTAGGATGGACAAAGCTAGAGGTCACTGTGCTGATCTCCAAGGCGAAGCAGGAGCTTGATGATCCTTCCATCCATCAGTACAGCAGGATCTACACGTTCTATGGCCGGAAGCCATAGTTAGCCTTAGGAACTGAACGCGATTACGAATGACCTATTCTAATCTCTGCCCTAAATCTTCAACACCCATAGGCAGTAACCAGAACTCTAGGCAGATTTCATGACTCGCGTCACCAATCTACATGCTTGATTCCCTCGTATTTCTCCACTGGTGAAGATGAGCTGCCCAAGGCGGGGTAATCCACTGGCCTTGAATAATACTGTCGCCTCATATTATACAGAGACGCAATTGGCGGCCAGCCGCGATGAGTTGGCAATGCATGAATCAGACAATTTTATGACTCGAATATAAGTATTAAGCTTATCAGTTGGCTCTTATTCTGAACAACTCCTCATCACCATGCCAGCAAAAAAGACCAAGTCCAAGCCTGATTCCAAATCACAGTCTGAACCCAAATCCAAACCCAATAAACAACAAAAGCCATGGTCCATGTATCCCGCTCTCCACGAGAATGTCTCCCTCCTCCTGGAAGAATACAACCTCTGCTTTGACTTTTACAACAACGACACCGACAAAGATGGCCAGCACGAGCCCCAAGTCTGGGACACCCACGTCATGGGCCGATTCATCTGCCACAACCCGGCATGCGCCGCGCACGGCTGGTCCAGCAAGATGATCGCCATCACCATCCGGCTATACGGAGGACGCCCAAGGAAAACAAGAGGAACAGGGGCAGCACCAACAAGGAGCTACAACGCGCGCGTCTATCACCAACGCTGCCAGGTGTGTCATCAGCTCAGCCGGCCTCGATTGGATGACTCGTATGCAGACCGGGTGGCGCATCGTCTGAAGATCTGGAGTGGAGTTGCTGTGCCTGAACAGTTGCATCATGGTCACAGTAAACGGCCACATAATGAGGCTTTATGTGAGGGTTGTGCTGCAGGTCACTGTAGGAGATAACAATAGTACTATATTACTTCTTAGTATTAATATAATTAGCTATAGCTTAATATATAAGGTGCCTGTCAATGGCTGGAATATGCGGCTAGTGCTGGTCAGCCTTACAGACTAGCTAAAAGGGGAAAGACCAGCGAGATTATTGTGGCTTAAATCAGCCACCATCTCATCTCGAAACAAGCTATCAGCAAGAGCTGAATGATCAGCAGAGGATATATGGCTGTCGCGTTGCCTGCCCCATTCAGAATAGGCTTAATTGGCTTATAAATACTCACATCTACTCCTGCCTTTCTACTCTACTGCTCACATCCTGTACTACTTACTTTATATACTCTCAATTATACTCTAATATTCATACCTCTACTCCTCTACTGCTACATAACTGCTATACTCTATTCCATCCTCTATTCTACTCTATATACAATGTGTCTCGGCCTCCTCTTCTCCAGACTCTTCAAAAAGAGATCAAACTCGGGATCTGCGTCGATCTTGTACGTACCATATCTTACAGTATGATGATATGCTAATCTATAGTGACAATCCTCTTCTGCCGGCATATTTCGCTGTGATGGGCATGGGCGGGAATATGGGTATAGATGGCAGTGGATATTCTTGACTTCTATAGAGTCAAGAATAATTACCTGGGCGTACATTGAATTATATAGCATTGCTTCTATGAACCTAATTCTGTCTCCTCAAGTAATAACTTCTAAGCCTGCATAGACTAGACTATACCTCTAACGGTAATTGGACAAGTCTATTGCCTCTAAAAGAAATAACTGATTCTTCTCTGCTGTCTACTGAGTTGGCAGTCTTTTCATCTTGAATTCTACTACTCTGCTTCTTCTATGCTTCTCTGCTAATTCTCAGGTGCCGCAAAGATCACTTATCCATCAGTGACTACACCTATAGAGTCGTTTCACAGACAGGATGGGCAATAAAACTAAAGTCATCAACATGGTAAACCCTAAACCCTAAACCCTAACCCAGCAAAACTTTCCCAGGCCAGACTGGCCGGAGTTCACATAACACGCTCCAGCTGAAGGGGAGGCTCCATGCTCCCAGTATAATCTTCAATCTTAACTGATGGCCCGTCATGACGACTACCATGTTGAAATGCTCTTAGGATCTCTGCCTGATACAAAGCCCGTGGCCTTCAAAGCCGACTCAGAGACGTCCGGTTCTAGAACTAGGAATTGCGCTCGGCAAGCCCCTATTAGACTGAGATTAAACCCTCTCCCTTTAATCATCGACAGTGTACAAGATCAACCTGATCTGGCCTGAGAGAGAGCGAGATTCACAGCTACAGTCCCTGCCCTGCTTCCGTCAGACCTCGCCTCAAGCAGGGCAAGAATAAATGCATCATCAAGCATTACAGGACGAAGCTAAATTCCTCCAGAAGTGCGGCTTAGATATCAACGAGGAGTGTCAGTTGGAAGGCTAGAGATTATACAAGTGCCTATGATGGAATATCTAGTATTAAAGCTTTATTTCTAGTTAGATGTCTAGATTACTATTTCCTTCCACTTTACAGTCACTTCAATTTAAGATTATGATTCAATGATGGTCTGTGCCTAGGCTAGAACGTATCCAAGTAACTCTTATCTCAATTCAATAATCCGATCAAAATCCCGCCGGGCCTCCGAGACGCGAGTCGTGTCCCTGTCTTTCATGCCTCCAAGCAGATAGCCCATATACGTAAAGGCAATATAATACGCTTGATACAATAGGATAGTTCGGCTACGAGTCTGCGCTTATCTGATGGAACTGATTGGTCTGGTCTTGGTGCGAGTCATGGTTCAACCTGCATCTTGTCATATGATGAACTGGGATTTAAATAATAAAAATTAGAAAGAAAGAAAGAAAGACAGAAAGAAAAGAAACAGAATATCTCTGTTCACCCAGGGTTGAGAATGTGCCTGTGGTGATGGATAAGAGATCAATAGATAAGATAATCAAGACTCTTCTGTCCATGTATCCTTGAACCTCTTGATCTCAAGATTTACAGGAAAGCGCTGGTCAGTGCAGAAATGGAGGTCAATGCTATTACTGAGCGTTACATTAAGTCAACAATGTAATACATATGATGGTGATATCAAGATTAACTTCTACTAACTCTAATCTGATCTGTATTGCTTCTCAAAGTTATTTATCTAATCTAACTTTCTATATTTTGGTCCTTATAGTATCTCTATAAGAATATAATATAAGGTGAGAATCTTAGAGAAATAGGCATACTAATTAAATATCAGTCTATGTATATATATATATGTAATATTCTCACTACTAACTATTGATTAAGTATCTAGAATAATAGATAATATAGAAGAGTTTAAAGCATCTGTCTCCACCAGTTCAATGAGGGGAAATTTGCCCCTCCTGCATCTGTTCCCATGCATCACGTCAAGCAGATCGACTATTTGTGGACCACCAGATTATATTCCCTTGGATTTATTTCATTTGACTTTTCTTTTATTTTTTCATGCAGATCTTGTCCTATTCCATGTATCTCGCTAGACGGCCGTATTCGGACATTATGCATGCTGCTGGACCGGGTGAATTAGAAGCGAAAGATCCATCAGATTGACCAGAAGTATTATTGGATAGAGAGAAATGGCCAGACAGGAAGCTACAGCAGCTACCTACCTAACCTGACTTTTGGGTATCAAGAGTGTCGAGTAAGTTTAGGAGAGGCTTGCTGTTATTGGTGCGCTTACTGTCTCCTCGGTACATAGTTCCCTGTACAGAGTAGTATCTATCTGAAATGCGGCGCTGCCTCGTTTCGATAATAAGCCTTTAGTGCATACAGGCGCATGTATGGCTTGATATGGATACTCTACTCCATGGAAGAGCTATCCAGGACCTATCAGGTATAAGCACCTAGAGGTGGTGTATTGGACTGCTGCATGTGGAATTATCCACCTGAGCATTGAATCCTGCATGTATGCTAATATTACATCAATACAGCCATTATAGTTAAGCAGTTATTAAGTATGTAGTAGATATCTAAGTTGTAGATGATAGCAGACAATAGGTGTCTGAATCCAGAATTAGATAGTAGCTTTAGCTGGTGAATCAATAATTTAAGCTAGGCAGGAATATTCATAGCCTTGATGGAATATACTACTTACTAATCTCTCACCTGGCTATTATCCATACTAGAGATATTTCTACAGTGCTCTAGCCCAATTTTCATCTCGCTTATTTTTCATCTTCCCTTACCATCTATGCATAGGGAACACTGCAATTTGATTTGACTATTTTCTGTGTACAAAGTCCGACGTCGGCGCCGTGCCTGTCCAAGGGAATCCACAGCATCATGCGATGATTGAAATTATTGCAGGACCTTCCCCAGTGGAGAAGGGAAAAAACAGGCGGGATAATGAGGCCCCAATTACGGCGGGTTGGTCACTTGCCTGATTTGGGATAGAGGACCGTGGGCGAGTTTCAAGCAACAAAGTTTTCACTAAATTAGTGCTTTTAAGCTGCAGATTACGGACCTCCGAGGTACTGGGTACGGTTAGTCCAGAGCCCAGAGGAGGTTAGCAGACTAGTTGCCTGCGGAAGGTGTCTGAGACTAGTGATGGTCTGGATCTAGGGTTAGATAAGATTGATACGGATTGGGATGTGTGATTGGCCAGGTGGCAGCTGACTCATTGGGGTCTCACATACTAGCCAATCAGGAGCTCCACTAGTAGTGACTAGTAAATGCACCACAAACTAAGCCTGCTAAGACTTTGGACTCGTAAATAGGGTAGCTAAGCAAAGGACTAACGTGCCGAGGAAACCCACCAACCCCATCAGGGAAAGTTTTAATCGGACGACGGAGTGAATTAGTATATTTATGAACATTATCACTGTATACTATAGTATTAGTATACCACTATAGTATATAGTATATGTACCTAAGTAATGTACGCTATACTAGTAGCTACTTCATCTCGACCCCCTGTTCAATAGCAGGCTCATTAAACAAGCCCTGGTGCACCTGGCGCATAATCTCATCCGGGTTCTGGTGAATAACGTCGAGTTTCTTGCCCGCGTAGCCCTTGAGGCCCGGGACCTTGACGAGGACACCCAGGAAGCGCTCGCGCAGAGTCTTCTTGCCCGAGCGCTCCTCCCACAGCATGTACGAGACGGCCAACATGATGAACAGCCAGTAGATGTTGTAGGAGATGACGGAGCCGTAGGTACCCGTGTTCTCCCAGCCGAGAATGGCGTTAAAGACGTCCCAGCCGTTATCGGTCTCCGGGTTGCAGCAGTTGACGTGCCAGACGGTCTCGCGGATGTTGTAGGAGCCCGGGCCGTTGCCCTCCTCGGCGACATCGGAGCCCACGGCCAGCTGGAAGCGGTAGTACTGCAGGCCCCAGACGGCCTTGGAGAACATGCCGGCGGCGATGAGGTACAGCACGCAGGTACTGGCGATGAGGAACAGCTGGATGGACATGGCGTTGCCGCCGCGGTACAGGAAGAAGCCGACGGTGAGGCCGGCCAGGATGCCCGTCACGACGGGGATGGGGAATGCGGTCGCCGGGTATCCCAGGGAGACGCCGCCGACAAAGACCACCGCCTCAACCCCTTCGCGCAGGGTGGTGATGAGCGGCAGGATGAACATGGCGTAGCGACGGGCCCAGTCGCCCAGGAAGCGCGATTTCTTGTGGCCCTGGCTCTTGGCGATGAGGGCCTGGGCGATCTTGATCCGCCACTGCTCCTTGGTCTTGTTGATGCGCAGCAGAGCCAGCCCCATGATGGTGATGATGATGGTGGCGATCAGGTAGAAGATGCCCTCCCACAGATCCTCCGAGTTGGACCAGATGTCATGGCCCAGCCCGTAGAAGACGCCGATGAAGGCGCCGCCGATGATGAGGCAGATGCCCACGCCCAGGATGGAGCCGACCCATACCTGCTTGACCAGTTTCTTGTATATGGCTTGGTCCTGGTGTGGTTGGCCCAGGCACTGCTTCAGGAAGGACAGCAGCACCGAGACGATAATCACCGCCTCGAGACACTCGCGGAAGACGATGAAGAAGACCTGGACAGCGAAGACGTTGACCATTGTGGAGGGTGGAAAGTGAGGGTAAAGGAGGATGAAAGGATGGGATGAGGGATTTATATTAGTTTTAAATACTATAATATTAAAATTTTATTATAATATTTTAATGTCTCATCTTATCTGATTATTGTCGCCAAGCCTATCACAAGACCACCCTCAGACAGCTCTTGGCGCACGGACCTATACGAGGCAGCCATGGCAGCCACGGCTAACCGGTTCAAGCATTTTTAACCGTGGGAAAGACAAGACATTCCAGGTAGGTTTAATTAATTTTTCTCTATTTTATATTTTCCGGAAATTTCTTTTCTCCTATTATTCTATTATTTTTATTTTTTTTTATTATTTATTATTTACTATTTATTGTCTGTTTAATCACTTGATTTGCATATTTTCCATCTGATATTGGGTGGGGCATCTGATAGTCCCTGTCCTCAGTTGCTCCTTCCTCTCTCGTATAAAGCGTCACTTCCAGCAACAACGACTTCCCTCACCATCTCTCCTCCCTCTCCCTCCCTCCCTCTCCCTCTTTCTCCTCTCTTCTGGAGATGCTCTTCCTCTTCGTTCTCGCCCTGCTCGGGCTCTGTAAGCCCCTCCTGGCCAAAGATGTCGTCTACAACTTCAACGTCTCCTGGGTGACTGCCAACCCCGACGGTCTGGCCGACCGCAAGGTCATCGGCATCAACGGCGCCTGGCCGCTGCCCGTCATCAACGTCGACAAGGGCGACCAGTTGATCGTGCACATGTACAACGGCCTCGGCGACAAGAACACCTCCATCCATTTCCACGGCATGTACCAGAACGGCACCAACGACATGGACGGCCCGTCGATGGCGACGCAGTGCCCGATCCCGCCCGGGTCCAGTTTTACGTACAACTTCACCGTCAACCAGAACGGGACGTACTGGTACCACTGCCACACCGACTGGTGCTATCCGGACGGCTACCGCCAGGCGCTGGTCGTGCACGACAGCGACGCCTACTTTGCCGGCGAGATCGAGGATGAATTCACCGTCACCATGACCGACTGGTACCACACGCTGGCCGAAGACATCAAGCCCGAGTTCATGTCGCTGTACAACCCCACCGGCGCCGAGCCCATCCCCAACGCCTTCCTGTTCAACGACACGCTGGACACCTCGCTGGCCGTCAAGCCCAACAAGACGTACATGCTGCGCCTGATCAACACCGGCGCCTTTGTCGCGCAGTACTTCTACATCGAAGACCACGAGTTCACCATCGTCGAGATCGACGGCGTCTACACCGAGCCCACGACCGCGGACATCCTGTACCTCGGCATCGCCCAGCGGTACTCGGTGCTGGTCAAGACCAAAGACACGGCGACCAAGAACTACGCCATCGTCACCATGGCCGACTCCACGCTGCTCGACACCATCCCCTCGGACCTGCGTCTCAACCTGACCAACTGGCTCGAGTACGACGCCTCCGCCAGCCATCCCGAGGCCGACATCACCGTCTCTGTCTCCTCCGATCTGGATCCCTTTGACGACTCGACGCTGGTCCCCTACGACCACATGCCGCTGCTGACGGACCCCGTCGTGAGCATCAACGTCGCCGTCGTCATGGCCAACCTCGACAACGGCGAGGGCTACGCCTTTCTCAACAACATCAGCTACACGGCCCCGAAAGTGCCCACCCTGTACACCGTGCTGAGCGCCGGCGACCTGGCGACCAACGCCCTCGTCTACGGCGAGTTCACCCACTCGCACGTCCTGCCGCACAACGGCGTCGTCGAGATCATCCTCAACAACAACGACACGGGCTCCCACCCCTTCCATCTGCACGGCCACAACTTCCAGGTCCTGCAGCGCTACCCGTCCTACGGCGCAGACTTCTTCGACTACGCCTCGGGCGACCCCCACAACTACAACGCCGCCACCAACGGCACCAGCGGCTTTCCCACCTATCCTGCCCGTCGCGACACCCTCGTCCTGCCCCCAGGAGGATACTTTGTCATCCGCTTCGTCGCCGACAACCCGGGCGTCTGGCTCTTCCACTGCCACATCGACTGGCATCTGATGCAGGGGCTCGCCATGACCATGGTCGAGGCCCCCGACCAGATGCAGCAGCGCCTCACCATCCCGGACGACCACTACGCCGCCTGCAAGGCCGCAGGAGTCAAGACAGAGGGCAACGCCGCGGGCAACGACGTCGATTTCACCGATCTCACGGGCCAGAACGTCCAGCCCGGCTGGCTGCCCGCAGGCTTCACCACCAGGGGTATCGTCGCGCTGGTCTTCTCCGTCGCCTGTGCCTTCCTGGGCATGGGATCTATTGTCCTCTACGGCCTGTCGGATCTCAAGTTTGTCAACAAGGACGATGCCATTGCCACTTCGGCGCCGCAGGAGCAATACCATGACGAGCAGTAGTTTTTCTTTTCTTTTTTTTTTTTTTTTTTTTAGAAAAAAAAAAAAGAATCAAAGTAACTAGTTAGTTATATACATAATAAATCTTTCTCGTTCTGATTCACATTCACCGCAAGGATATAGTCCACTCCATCGACGAGTTCGCCAGTAGCATTCTCTCCATTCAGAAGCAATCGACTCCCAGATAATCCAGGTACAGCCCGCCACAGGATCCGTCCACTCCCGTCCTTGCCAACCCATGTTTCAGGAGTGCATTCCATTCCATGACCGAGCAGTAAGGGGTTGAACCCGTTACACAGCGCCAAAGGGATATGCAGTACATTCTCCAGCAGTATTCTTCTTCCTTTTCCTTCTCCACGGTTATCACTTCCCTCCTGTCCCTCTCCCACCTCTAAAACAACCGTTCCAACTCCACAAACCTGCAATCCATCGTTCTCGCCGGGTCCAGAGGTATAAGTGTTCGCAATTGCTCCTGTTCCCAATCCTCCTCCTGTTCCCAATGTAACGTTCACAGGCCTGTAGGTGCTGAACCACGCCCGGTCGCGCGCGTAGTGGACGTTCCCGGTGACTACCATCCAGGCCGCTGGCGGTTGATTCTGGCGGGGGGGAGGCAATACACGCTGCGAGATGTCTTCGGAGAGAGAGCGTTTCTAGATAGTTAGTAGGCAGTACCTATAGTACAGTGGTATACTAGGTGCTTACCATCTTGTGAGTGCTGAGTTGTTGAAGTGCAGAAGTTCAGATTTGAATCCGGGATGACATAATCCATTACATAATCTGCTGCACTCGGAATAAGCCTTTTTCAGGGTCCGCCGGCAGAGCGGAGAATTTGGCATTTTTAGGCTTTCTTGGCGGCGGAGAGCTTGGCAGGTTCGAAGAAATTACTTATTGTGGTTAGATCGTTGTTTACTATATTGCTTTTATCAGTTATGTATGCTATACTATTTCCAATCCAACATTTTACCTCGGCCAGAAAAAAGACAAAAATATGGGAAACACGAGAAAGAACCAAAATTTGGGATTCCCCACCCATGCAGCAACTCTATCAAGCCAACTTCTGATCTCTTTGATCTCTTGTTTCTTCATTAATACAACCCAAGATAGTCGGAAGATCAGCTCCAGCTTGATTCTGTGATAAAAGCTGATTGGCATCTCCATTTGCAATTCGGGAAAATCGACGACAAAGTGTTGAGCACGAAAGTAAAAGATATATCTGCTGCTGGACCTTTCCTTCAACATGTGCTCATAAAAGTAATAGATCACTCGCCAAGGCATATGTGGCAGTCGGTGGTAGAAATTCTCGTGTCTTTCTAACACATTCATCGTGTAAAATCTCCGTTCTTCGTCTAAACTCAGCATCGGCATAAGCACATTGATGATCTCATCGGGAAGAGCTTCCTGTGAGCGTAGAACCCACGAGGCCTCACAGGGCGCTCTTCGAAAAACCTTAGTCAGATTGTAATGAGTCGTACTTGATAGTGATGATTGACGTGACAGTATTATGTTAATGAAAGTGGACCTTATTCGCCCAGTATGATGTCTCAAGCTCTGCACAAGAGAGTCAAGAATATCTATGGGTAAGCCCGCCTGCTGACGTAACAGTTCCATCAAGTCATTTTTATATTCATGGCGAGTCATTGACCACACTGAGCTCAACGCCTCTAGTGATAGATGCTGGTATTGAAGAATTCCTAGAATGTGCTCGACAGTGACCGCCTCCTCCTCTAATGATAGGCATCCAACCAGCCGGTCAACCAGCTCTGGTGGCAAAGGTCTTTGTAGAGCATATGCTGCCTGCTTCCTGACTTCCTCATTTTCATCTTGAAGTTGATCGAGTAGAGCATTGAGAGCGTCGTGCGGCAGGTCTGAATGCCTGTCTAGAGCTTTTGCCGCCTCGATCTTGACATTGCAAGCAGGATCTTTCAGGAGAATTGCTAGAGAATTTATGGATATGGCGCCGTGCTTGGCTAATGCGGATATTACTTCTCCCTTAATCTCTCCATCACTATCTTGCCGCATGATTTCTTCGAAACGATCCAGAATAGATTGTGACAGCTTCGATTGCTTTCCTAGGCCTATAATGACCTCTTTTCTCAAAGCAGGCTCCGTATCAAGCTGCGCTGCCATCATATCCACAATCTCCTGGGATAGATTGGGTACAAAACCCAGAACAAAAGCAACCTGTCTCTGTACTACTGGTTTAGGCTCATTCAACCTATTCCCAGCAAGATTCACAAGTTCTGGAGAAGAACAAGAAATCATAGCTGCGATATCGTCAAGTACGTCATCGTCAAAATCCCCCAGCTTCCGGATGAGACGCTTAGTGATACTGGAAGATAAGCTGGTCTGCTGACGTAGTGTTGATGCGGCTTTCTGTCTCACGTTATAGTTTTCATGGTTCAGTAAAGACACAGTGTAGAGCAGGATCTCTTCTAACTCGGGCGTTTGTTTTCCCAGTTGGGTATCGGCGTTAGTCCGTCGACCATCCTCCTTCTCTGTCATCCCAGCAAGCAATTGGGATACCTGCAGAGGTAGTTCCAGGTCTTGTAGGAATTTCGAGGCTTTTTCTCTAATCTTTGGATCTGAGTCTAATAGTCGACAAGATATTGGATCGATAATTGTCTGCAGAGTAAAAGGTGGTTGGGAAGATAGCAAATCAAGGGCTGCCATCCTGACTTGAGCCGACTCATCATCCAGATGTTTGATCACTGTCTGAAGAAGATTCTGGGTCAAAGGTTTCATCCTCCAATGGCGAGGCTCCTTCAAATAGGCCATTGTACTATTATCTAGAAGACACGTGAGGAGGAAATTGGAAGATCTTTGGGACAGGAAATGGCAGTTATTGAGTAGATTCACAATATAATTTGAGAGAGATGCCTGATCCAGATCTTGGTGCATCCAGGAGGCAATCCAGTCGGTAAGTTGTTCGGTGGTCCTTGAGCGTACCAGGACTGAATTTAGGACTCGATTTCTCATATTATAGGGTTGATCCTGTAACAAAGAATGAAGAATTTCATCTGGAAATTCTTTCTCTTCCGCCAGTTCACTTTCACGATGTATATCATACTCGAAAATGACCCTGGAGGCGAGCTGTTTGTGTAGTTCATGACGCTGCAATGTCAGGCCGACAGGCACTTCATTCCAACAGCGCATAAGAAGACGTAGATGAGTCGGACCTAACAGATCCTGGGCTCCCTGCTCCATTTCCTTGAAGAAGTGGCTCAAGACCTGTTGGTTTTCCCTCGGATCAGTCCCTTGGATGTGCAAAAGACCGGCCACAAACCGCCAGAATATCTCGTAGCGGACGCTGTATTTTTCTCGATTCATGAAGCTCCGGAGAGATACCTTGCTCTTCTTTTGTTCCTTTGCTTCGAACATGGAGATCGGGTCCTGTTTAGTCCATTGCTTTGCAAAATAACGGGCCGCGAAGAATTCCTGAATGCTCAAGTGAAGGAAATGGAAGCTTTGTTTCCCAACATCGCCGTCCCCGTCTGACGTACGTAGAAAACTTAGCTCTTTGATCACGCTGTCAAGAAGCTTCGGGACAGGGATATCGTCGTTCTTGAGATGTTGATGGATTCCCCCTCGGGTCCTGGAATCAAACTCGATGATGTTGTTGTGCATCCCATGAAACGCCAGACCTTCGAGAATATTGAGTTCCTCGCGCATTGTATCTTCTAGGTCAGAACTTGACATCTCGTTCGCCTTCTGTCCCGTCACAACTTTGTCATCCATCTTCTTTTCCCTCCGACACAGGTCCTTCCGCAACAATTCGACGCAAATGTCCTGGTAGACGGTCGTCATGGTCTTTGGATTGTTGCTGTCTGTCGATGACTCCCTCCATGTAAAGCAAAGAGCGTCAAGTTGAATGGGAATCTGCGCAATGTCCAGAATTCAAGGATGTTCCTGAATGAAGAGCCATATCCTGCTCGCTGTTTCTGCATCGGACTGGATTTCTGGGGCGTGGACGTATTTTTTAATTTGTTCCGAAGAGAATCCTACCGTCCTCAGCTGCAAGTCGAGTGTGTCCTTGTTGAGTTGTCTCATGCTGTAGGGCCGTGAACTGATGATGACTCGAGACTGCCCAAGAAGGGTCTGGAGAAAACGGTCCATTGAGGTTTCGATATCCCATTCTTGAGACACTTCGTCGAGGCCATCCAGGATAAAAAGGACTCGAGCTCCCTCTTTCTGGACCAGTGAAAATAAGGTATCGGCGAGTAGCCTACCATCAAAGTGTTGTGAAAAGTACTCATCATAGAACAGGTCCCCCAAGGAATATGCATTGGCCGATTTGCCTTTGAGGTGTCGTAGTGGAAGCCACAGGATGCATCCAAACAGAGCAGACCATTGATTCTTGTAAATGAAGTCATGCACCATCTTCTTGCAGAGTGTCGTTTTCCCAACGCCTGCCTGCCCCTCGATGAAAATCCGCTTAGGATGGATCACTTTACCGTTTCGCTCTCGAGGACTGAAAAGGTCAGTGAAGGAGACTTCATCATCCGACGAATCGCCCAACACTGTAAGGTTGATATAGCAGTGATTCATGGGCAGTGTGTCCCCAGATAGACGCTGGATCTGAAGTCTTTTATTGTCTTGTTCGGTATAAAACTGGATCAGAGCGTTTTTGGTGTAGTATTCCTTTGCTGCCGGACACTTCTGATAAGCGACATAGAGGAAGTTATTGCTGTGATCTGTGAAGTTTCGTCGAGAATCTTCCCATCCACAGGCCTTGAATGACCATTGGAATGTCTTGGACCTCTTCAGATTTCTAAATCTGCGGTGGTCCGACTGACTGTGCTGCGATTCCTCTGATGATTCCGAGCCTAGATAATTCCTCCAGGCCTGAACGCGATCGTCTTGACTGCGTGGGATACACTTGAGAATTCCTTTCTGGTGCGTTTCGGAAACACGATCCAGTTGGGCATACAGACCGCAGAGAAAATCTGGGTTGTTCCGGCTCTCCGCCACTCGGATGAAGTGCTCTAATTCAGTCCAAGATTTGGTTCGGATGAGAACGCTTGTCATCCGCAATGCCGTATACCAGGACTTCCCCGTGCGGGTCTTGAATGTATCCAAAATGAAATCTTCCAGGCTTGCGACGGCGCCGAGAGTCGACTTTGCTGCCTCCCATAGCGCGGCCAGGTCGATCGAAGTCGCAGCACTCGCGAGTGTCGTTCCTATATCGACCGCACGAATCAGCCCGCGCAAGGATGCTTTACCGATAGTATCGTCATCTGGAATTCCACGCAAAGCTTGTGCAGCGTAGTTTGCCGCTTGGGCGACATGAAGCTCCTTGTCTTTTGAGAATTTATCGAGCAGATCGATCAACGGCTTGTACAATTGTTCGTGGCTGATATTGGAGACACCGATGTCAACCATGGCATCGACGACCACACTCAACACGCAAAGGAGCTCATATTTCCTTTCCAAGCCCCCCTGTGCATCCGCCTGTTCCAGCCGCGCTTTGAGACTTGTGAACAGCGACGCGAGAACCTCGGTGCTGTCGAACGACCATCCAGCCTCCCGCTGTCGGATTGTGTAAGCGAGAGACTGCAGTAGAACAGGGTCGAGAGATGTTCCGTCTGTGGTTCCCTCGATGATAGCGTTCACCAACTGGCGCAGCAACCTGGTTGACCCACGGGTATCAAGGACTTGGGAGAGGCGAGCAGACTCCCAGGCGAACTTTCGGATGGTATCCGAGGTGAGGCAGTAATCGATCGCGGTGGTGGACCATTCTTGCAGAGCAGCTTTTTCCGCTACTCCGATGGAAGTATCTTGCCAGCGATCGATGAAATCGGAGAGCTCGATCGGACGAGAGGAGATAGAAGTCATTTAGCAATATTTTTGTGATCGAAGGGTGTGATAGAAGTGTGAGGTGACGGTGAATGATGCTTTCTGTCTCGATGACAGCGCCAGACGGTCGGAGGTGGGCGATTCTTTGGCGCCTGCCAGCTGGCAGCTGCGGGTTGACCGGATCCCTGTCCCTGTCAGTCAATCAGATGCCGGATTGAAGAGACAAGGCTGTGCTCTTTGATCTGTACCTTTTGAGCGACATGCTGCGGCTGTCGTGATGGTGGAAGAGTTGGTGAGGGAGAAGAGGGAGAAGAGGAGAAACTCGCGATGGTCGTTTCTTCCTTTTACAACTGGGAGGGCATAACACTACCATTTTACTGTACTCCTACTTACTCTTACTGTACAACTAACTGGTATAGTATATTGTACTACAATTGTACTACTTTAAGCCTCATAGATATGTTGTACATGCCACCTCTCTCTTCCCTCTTCCTTCAACTCCCTCTCTCCCTCTCTCCCTCTCTCTCTCTCTCTCCCTCTCTCCCTCTCTCTATCCCTTTATTCTCTATTATCTGACTTGCAAGATTCATTCACAATGACAAACTACAAAACAGATGCGTTACAGGCCTTCCAAATCCTCTCATCTGGAGGCATCGCCATCCTCCCCTTCAGCGTCGGATACGGCGTGGTGGCCACAGATCCAACTGCTCTGCACCGCATCTTCACCACCAAACAGCGGGGATCGCATAAACGCCACGCAATGCTCGGCTCGTACGCTCTCCATCGCGAGATCCACCTCCTCCCTGATCTCCAGCTTGATATGGTTCGCACCTTGACGGTGGATCTCGATCTACCCCTCGGTGTTGTTGCGCCGTTTCGAGTTGATCATCCGTTGATTCGGAAGTTGGAGGAGTATACCGTGGAGGTTCGGGATACTTCTTCCTCTACTGGAGATATAAAGACTACCCCTCTACTCTCCCTCAGTTCAATGAACGATACTCTTTCCATGCTGGTCAATGCAGGCCCCCTTCCAGACGAACTCGTCCGACTCACCTCCCAAGCAGGTCTGCCTTTAATGGGCTCCTCTGCCAATCTATCCGGTCAAGGCACAAAAGTGCGTGTCAGCGATATCGAGCCTGAGATTCTTGCCGCCGCAGATATAGTACTTGATTACGGGCTATGTCCGTTGCATTGGCCGCGAGCGTCGTCCACCATGTTTGACTTTAAAACCATGCGTGTCATCCGGTTCGGGGCTTGTTATGATGTCGTGCAGGATGCTTTGCGACGCTTCTATGGGCTCGACCTTCCTGATGATCCGGGAAAGCAGGTGTTGTTCTCTGGAAGGACGAACAGTATGTGATATAGTGAAGCAAGTATAAGCAGGTACACGTCCAAGTAGATATTCGCGTCTTCCTCGTGCTGTCTTGTATCCGCATTCAACGAGGCCGGCGCTATCCGGTCGGATTCATCTGTCAGGCCTGTGCCTATCTCTTCCGTTAGTTTCATGAATCAATTGATGTTGATGAGATGTGGAACAGGAGAATGACTTGCAGAGTCAATGCATTGCAATACGAACGACCCCCAACATGCACAGCCTCAGGTCGGGCTTAGACCTTCAGAGGACATGTACAATGAACATTTGTGACTTGTAGATTAATAGAATAATGTTGAATCAAGACAGAGATGAAGAGGCGATTGCAGGGAAGAGTCGAGAAGGAGAGGTTTTTCTTATCTGGAGATGAAGTCGAGTCGAGGTGAGGTGAGGGGCAGCCCTAAGGTTGTGCCCTAATTTTCGTTTTGGGATTGGAGCCTGAGGCATCATCTGTCGCAAGGTTCCTGTCGTTCCAGAGGAATTGAAAACATGGAGATTTTCTGGTAAACACTGCTTCTATTCTTTCTCTGATTTACTGAAACACAATCTGAATGTCTCTATACAGAAAAAATCCTATTTATGCCAGTTTGATGCAATTACGGAGCGATGGCGTGCTTCAACTCATAGACTCTGGATAAATATTGAGAGTATTGGGATAAATTGCTCTCAAGGTAGAAAGAATGCTAATACTGGGGCTTCTATAACTAAAAGGATATAATACTATAAATAGGCTGGTTTATAACTGAATAGAGTCAATTGTTCTATGGTTAGAAATAGTAGTAAATACTAAGTGATTATCTACTATCAATCCTTCTATACCATTAGTTGTGGTTTATTCATAAGGGTCAAGCAGGTTATGCCATGAAGCCCTACAGCGACTGCTGGACTGGACACTCGTTCACACAGGATCTTCCAGCTATAAGGATCAATATTTGCAACCCAAAAACATATATATATATATATACATCAAATAGAGGTCATAGAGATAAATTGATAGAGCGTACCGTATTTATTATGGTGTAATTAGGACTAACTTGAAGCTCTTCACTACACAAGGAATATATTATTTAACCATCATTGGGATGATTATGGCTCCGAGGCAAAATAAGACAGACTATCAGATAAGATGAGCCCTAAAACTGAGCCCTAAATTCTGTTTTCGACATTACTCTGCAGCAACGCGATCTTTACTACGAACACAGCCTACCACCACCAATTATCATCTACAATTCTATTAAGAACTGTTCTGTTGTTACCAAGTAAATACCCAAATAATAAGACTAAATAATTATCTACTGTAAAGACTCCGATGCGGAGTGGCAATTCCAAGTAAGTTTCTGCCTTTTCACCGCCTGCCCTTTCGATAAACCCCTCCGGGCAAAAAAAAAAAAGTTTTGCAGGCAAAAGAAATCAGGCATCCATTTCTGCCTGATCTCAATTCTCTCAATTCCCTCACAAAAGCCTCATCCTCTCCTCACCAATTCTCTCCTCACCAATTGCTCATCGCACGCCATAATACTCCGTATCGCATGATGCCTGCAGCCATAATGCCTGCATCAAGGCTAGAATGTCAATTTGCCCCGAGGAATCCACAGACGGTCGATCTTGACCAATTCCTTGTCGTGAGTTTCCCCCAGTGGGCCCTGGCCCAGAGGCGGATCCCCCGATGTCGTTGACCCAAAGTTTCAGCAGGAAAAAATTAATAAATAATAAGTCGCGTGTCCAGACGAGCTGTTGACCTGTCGTTGCAGTCGCCGTTGCTCATTCCCCCCTCACCTTCGACTCCAAGTTCGAGTGCCTGTCCTTCGAGTCGAGTTCGAGCCCTGTCCTTCGACCACCATGGCGGTCCAGTCGGAAAAGACGCCGGAGATCGACAACGTCGTGGACGACTACGCGGACGAGACGGCGGCGAAGAAGTACAATGACCTGCAGCTGAATGTCGGCGGCCGGGGAGCGACGCAGCGACGCCTGCGCAACTACCAGGTGACGATGATCGGGTTCTGCGGCGGTCTGGGAACGGGTCTGTTCGTGGGAACGGGTTCGGCATACGCGGACGCAGGGCCGGCAGGACTGTTGCTGGCGTACGGGATCGTGGGGATCGTGCTGTGGTGTGTGATGCAGAGCATCGGCGAGCTGGCGACGCTGCTGCCCACGGCGGGCTCATTCCCGCACTGGGCGACGCGCTTCATCGACCCGGCGGTGGGCTTCTCGCTGGCCATCTCGTACGGATACTGCTACACCATCTCCATTGCCGCCGAGGTGTCGGCCTCGGCGGTGCTGGTCTCGTACTGGACCACGCTGACGCCCGCGGTGGTCATCACCGTCGGGTTGGGGCTCATCCTGGCCATCAACCTGATGAGCGTGCGCTTCTACGGCGAGACAGAGGTCATCGCGGGCTCCATCAAGATGCTCTGCTTCATTGGCCTGGTGATCGTCTCCATCGTCATCACCGCAGGCGGCGGCCCAAACCATGAAGCCATCGGGTTTCGGTACTGGCACAATCCGGGTGCGTGGACGGACTACGACGGCATCACGGGCCCAACAGGACACTTCCTGGGCTTCCTCTCCTCCTTCGTCAACGCCTCGTTCAGCTTCATCGGCGTCGAAACCGTGGTCATCACCGCCGCCGAGGCCATCGACCCGCACCGCGCCATCCCCAAGGCCACCCGGCGCGTCACCTACCGCATCGGCTTCTTCTACGTCCTCGGCGCCTTTCTCATCGGCATCCTCGTCAACCCAACCAACCCCAACCTCGTGTCCGGGTCCGGCAACGCAAACAGCTCCCCCTTCGTCATCGCCATCCAGGAAGCTGGCATCTCCGCCCTCCCCTCCATCGTCAACGCCTGCATCCTCATCTCCGCCTGGTCCGCAGGAAACTCCTACTGCTGGGTCGGCTCGCGCATGATCCTCGCCCTCACCACCGACCACCAGCTGCCCCAGTTCTTCGGCCGCGTCAACAGCAAGGGTGTCCCTTATGTAGCCGTCATTGCGTCCTGGCTTTTCGGCCTCTTCGCCTACCTCAGTATGCCCCTTGTCCCTTTCTTTACCCTATATCCTTTTCTAATGTGGCTAGGTCTCGGCTCCGGCGGCCCCTCCCAAGCATTCACCTGGCTTCTCAACCTAAGCACCATCGCCGGGCTGATCGCCTGGGCAACGCTCTGCTTCTGCTACATCCGCTTCTACGCAGCTCTTAGAGCCCAAAACGTCAGCCGCGACACCCTCCCCTGGAAAGCCCCCCTGCAGCCCTACGCCGCTTGGGTGGGCTTCATCGGCTCCACCATCATCACCCTCGTCGCGGGCTTTCCCGTCTTTCTCAAGGGCGAGTGGTCCACTTCCGACTTTCTGGCTTGCTATATCGGTATTCCCATCTTTATCATTCCCATTCTCATCTGGAAGCTCGTCCATCGCACAAAGGTATTCACTCCCGTCATCTTGGCCTTTCTTTTTTTTCCTTCTCATATACTAACCAATTAGTTCCAACGCGCTTCGACTATAGATTTATGGTCCGGTCGTCTTGTGGAAGGCGAGATCGTCGAGGATCCGAACCCGCGAAACACCATTGGGAAACGTATCGTCGATTGGCTTTTTTGAGCATTTTCACATTATATGTTCCCTAGGAGTAGAATACTTGTAATTACCATACTTCTCTAAGTTCAAGGAATGACTATGAATTATCATTGAAACAATACCGCAGAGATCCATCATAGCATTCAAGGGTATCCATCTACTTTACTTCTAACAGGAGGAAAGGAAAGAGTATAGACATGATGCATAAGAGGGAGGGTGCATGGGTCAAGAGCCCAGGGTCTTGAGAAGCAGCTTGGGATCGCCCTTCCAGAAATCGATGGGGACAGCCGTCGCGCTGGCGGGTTCAGCAGGGTGTGGCGGGGAGAGACTGATGGCGTCAAAGTCGTTGACGAGTCTCTGCATGGTGGCGAGCTCTGGATCCGTCAGCGCGAGGTCCAGGTCGATGATGTAGCGGCTGCAGATCTCGCTGGGCTGGAAGAGCGTGTCGACGTCGCGCTCGAGGTCCTGCCGGATGGTCTGCGCGTCGGCCAGGGTGATGATCCCGTTGCGGACCGCGATGGTCAGGATGCTGCGGGCGATACTGCCTGCGATGCGGAAACAGCGCATCAGCCGCTGGTAGCCGCGCAGACAGAGCAAAAAGTAGAAGCGGGACTCTGGGTTCGAGGCGTCTTTGAGGATGTCGTTGGCCACGTACAGCATCGCCGTGTGCCACAGGATGGACGTGTTGGCGCTGTCGTACGACGATCGGTAGACGTACACAAGCCGCTGCAGCTGCTTGATCGACGCCGTGAAGATGTCTTCGGGCCGCGTGCGGGAGGATTGAAACTCGCCCAGCTTCAGGTGTTCCGCGGAGCGGATGAAGGGGCGGAAACAGTCGATAATCGCGGTGTGGAACCAGATACTAAAAATGAGCGTCAACGGCATATACTAATCGTATAAGTAAAAGGAAAAAAAAACGTACTGCAAGTTGATGACGTGATGTGGACTGTATTTGCTGCGCGTCAGGTAAGAAGGCAGAGTGTCTGCCCAGGTGACGAACCGCTGGTAGAGGGTTGTGGCGTCGGCGAGGGTGGCCTTGCTAGCGACAGCTCCGTCCTGGTAGAAGATCCAGACCATATCATGGAGGATGAGGAAGAACTTGCAAAAGGCGGGAAAGGTGTGACCCATGTACGGCGGGGATGACCGTTGGGGAAAGGGAGGCGTGCCGCTGCTTGGACTGATGGAGACCTTTTTGTCATTCCGTTCCCAGTCTCCCGGGATGGGTAATGAAGGGGGATTCAGCATCCGCGGGGGTTGGTGAAAATAGAAGGAATGCACGCTGGGAGAAGGAAAAAATCCCAAAGAAAGCCGAGAGTCAGTGGCGTGGTCTCGAGATCAGGGTAGCAAAAGACAACAACCCACGTCTGCCAATTGAACACCCCCCAAGCCGTGGCGGCGCGGGCGCGCTGCATCGCCGGGTCGAGGACGTGCTCCTTTGAGTCCTGGTGGGGAGGGTCGAAGAGGTGCAGGCGCTGGGCCATCTGGCCGCTCTCATGCAAGAAGGTGAGTCCGGTTGAGTCGATGCCGAATCCGTTGCAGGCGATGCTCAGCAACATCGTTGCGGCGACTGTTGGAAGGGAGTCCCATGTCCTCTCGTCACGCCAGTGTTTGATGGCCTCGTTGTAACAGTAGAAGCTAATCTTGGAAGAGATGGACTCTACGGCTGCATAACATTGCTTGAACGGTCAGAAAGGGAGGGAGAGAGGAGAGAAAGTGAACAGAGAGGAGACATACGCCGGCGTAGGCGAGAATGGAATTGACTAGAAGCCTGGAGCAGTACTTTGTGCGCAGGGCAACGAGGTCGTCGAGAAAGAGGTCGGCGTCGAAGAAGCCTTGGACGGGGTGTTCGTTGATAAAGAAGAGGGAGAGGATGTTGGCGGCAAACTCGTTGCTCATGGGGACGTTTGTCCAGGCGGCGATCTGCAGGCGAGTCAAGCGAGGATCGGCATAGGCATGGTTGCTGGGGCCGCTGTACAGACGCGAGAGGCTCTGGGGGTTGAGATACATCATCGGCTGGATGGGAGGGGTTTCGGGGCTATCGATGGTAAATGGTTTATTCTCTCAAATTCCCCGGGTATACATCCTGCACATACCTCGAAGCCGGCTCGAGACTCGGTTCCGGGGGCGACCAGCGGACGTCGAAATGGGTGGGAACACCGACCAGACTCAAGTCGACGTTGGTGACGGTCAGCGGCTCGAGGGCCGGGAAGGCGACGGGGTGGACGGAGAGCAGTTCGAGCTCGTAGGCGGAGCTCATGGGGGGCAGACAGGCACGAGCCGAGTGTGAGACGGAGGGCGAGTGTGTAGCGAGCAGGCCGCCGCGGATGGAGGCCAGGGCTGAACTGGGGCTGGAGGAGGTGCGCAGGCGGTGGAGGGCGTCGATGGCCTCGTCGTCCGGGATGGACTTGAGCAGCTGGAAGAGCTCGAGCATGTCGCGCGAGTTGCTCTTGAGCATCTCATGTTCACGTTTGAGGTCTTTTGTGCGACGGCCGTCGGTCTCGAGGTTATAGACGCACTGGGTGCCGCGGCGGGCGCAGGCCGAACACTGGGGGGTAATTCCATCGCACTCGGAGATCAGTTGCGAACCAGCACGATAGAAGGGAAGAAGATAGATAGATTAGATACCTTGACTTTGATCTTGCGGCATGCATCGCAGGCATAAGACACGTAGGTGCGCGATCTCGAGCGCGAGATGACCCGGACGCCCGCAGGAATGGCCGGGAGGGCAGGCGAGGCGGGCGCCAGAGTGGGCAGCGAGACGGAACGAGCAGCACTGCTGGCGGTGGGCCGTTTCCTGTTCATGGTGGACAGAGCAAGGAGGTGAGGCTCATCTAGAACGATGTGGAGATCGACCCGATGGGTGAGAAACGGTTGTGCCGACGGTCGTCAGGCCTGAAGAATGGCTGACCGCCACCCAGCGATCGATCGATCGAAGCCGTCCGATCTCTCGATCGCCAGGATAGCAGGGGGGGGTGGGTGGGCGAGAGCGCCAGAGTGCGGAGTGTATGGATGGAGGACGCCAGAGGAGAAAGGAGGGCTCTGTCGGATGAAGTGGTTAAGCAGGCCTGGGTTTGAATCGGGGGGGGTCAAAGTCGAAGTTGAAGTCGAAGTTGAGTTGAGAGGATCGTGGCCTGAATTGTCAGGCATGACGGAGACGGGAGTATGTAATCCCGGCGTTACGTCAAGTCTTAAATTACCAGTGTGAAATTACCAGTATGAAATTACTACAGTATGAGAATTGCAGTATAGAGTATACAGTATTAGAGTGTTACTATTGTATTATAGTTAATACTAGAGTATGGAGAAAAATAAATAGTAAAGATATGTTATTCTATTGATCATCTATCTATCTATTGATCTATCTATTGATCTATTGATTGTCTATATGCAGGTTGCATTCATGCATTCTCTGCATGATATGACTCCGACTCCTTGCGGCCTGTACGCGGCGAGAGAGTCCCATTCCGCGCCCAGGTATCGGCAGGAAGCTGGTAGGAGCTGCTCTTCCAGGGAGGAACACGGTGAAGGTACATATAATCGATTTCCTCCAGGGTGCGGCCCTTGCCCTCGACGACGCCAAAGTAGACGACCGCCGCGGCGACGAGGAGACAGCCCGCAAAGACATAGCCGTAGGCAAAGTCGATGGCGTCGGTGATGAAGGGGGTGAAGAAGCCGATCAGGAAGTTCCACAGCCAGTTGGAAGCGGTTGCCAGAGCCATGCCACGCGCCCGGTATTTCGATGGGTACAGCTCGGCGGTGATGGTCCAGATCATCGGGCCCCAGGTCATGGCGAAGGAGGCGATGAACAGACACGCCACGACGATCATCCCCTTGCCCGCGGCAGGGGTGTTGGCGGGATGTTCCTTATCCAGGGCAAAGTGGCCGACAGAGGCGAAGATGAGGAAAAACACAAACATGGCGAGGGCGCCGGTGATGAGCGACTTGCGCCGGCCAAAGTTCTCGACGACGTACAGGCCGCCAAAGGTGGTGGCGAAGTTGACGGCGCCGAGGATGACCTGCGTGACGAAGCTGTTGGAGATGCCTGCCCCTTCGAAGATGGTGGTGCCGTAGTAGAAGAAGTAGTTGGAGCCCGTGAGCTGCTGCAACGCCTGCAATCCCATCCCCAGCAGGACGCGGTAGAACATGCGCGGGCCCGTCAGGACCTCATGCCACTTCTGCTCGCCCTGCGTCTCGGCGGCGAGCTGCTCGCGGATCTCGTCCAGCTCGCGCAGGATCTGGCCGTGGTTCTCCGGCACGCCGTACAGCTTCGCCATGGTGCGTCGAGCGGCGTCGACGCGACCGTGACGGAATTCGAACCGGGGACTCTCCGGGAAGAAGGCCATCCCCGCGGCGAGCACCAGAGCAAACAGAAAGGTCAACCCGAGCGTGATGCGCCACTGGGCAGTCCCCTGCAGATGATCGGTGCCCAGGTTGATGCAGTAGGCCAGCAGGATGCCCAGCGTGACGAACAGCTGGTAGCAACTGATCATCGCGCCGCGGATGTGTCGCGGCGCGCTCTCCCCCTGGTACATGGGCACCAGCAGCGAGCAGGCCCCGACGCCCAACCCGGTCACCCAGCGGCCCACGACCATCTGGTACCAGTGACCGGAGGGGGAGGAGATCTGCACGACGAGGCCGACGATGAGGATCAGACACCAGAAGGTGATGGACCATTTCCGGCCCACGCGGTCGGCAATAGGGGCCGCGACCAGAGCGCCGATGAGCGTGCCGATGGAGAGCTAATCGTGAGAAGAAAGAAGAGAAGAAGAAGAGAAGAAGAAAGAAGAGAAGAAAAAACTTACAATAGAGACAATTAGACCGGATCGGACGTTGCTAAAGTAATATTCGCCGTTGTCCAGTTGGCCGTACCGTTGGAGATAGTCGGACATGGCTTCAAACCCCGAAATCTGCCCCGTGTCGTATCCAAAGAGCAGGCCGCCCATGGAGACAAAGAGACCCATGACGACGGAGCGAAAGGTGAAGGTGGGAATGGGCGAGTCGACGGAGGGGTCTTGTTTCTGCATGGCGACAGAGTCTTGGGAGTTGGAGTGGGAATTGTCGGAGGGAGTGATACAATCCATCTTGAAAAGAGATGATGAGAGGGGAAAATCACACTTATATATATTCCAATAAACAGTAATCTTCTATCCAAGGCTCAAACAATCTGCAATGACGCCTTGCTGGAGCCACTTTGGCAGGAACAATACTTGATGTGAATAGATGGGTTAGTTACTAACTATACTATCTATACTATCTATACTATACTCTATACTATCCTCTATACTATCCTCTATACTATCCTCTATACTATCCTCTATACTATCCTCTATACTATCCTCTATACTATCTATCTATACTATACTATACTCTACACTCTACTCTACACTCAATCAGCGTCACTGTGGATCTTAATTAGACATGCAGAGAAAAGGTGGAGATGAAGGATCTTGACGCGTCAGAGCCGGGATCTTATTCAGGAATTGACGTCATTGTGGAATAAGGAATAATGAATTTACCCTCCTAGTCAGACAGGCCTCTCGTTCACGCCCACCACCTCGCGCAGATGCGGCCCTGTCACGGCCCCAGACTTGATCAGACGAAACACCCCGACTGTACTGCCCGCCACGAGGCGACAATCAAACTGCACACTCCCCTGCGCGACAGGCACCGCCGGCGGCGCCGCCAGCAGCGCGTGCGACACAGGATCCTCGACTCGGACAACCATGAGGGCGTCCTCGGGACCGGCAGCGTCCGTCCATGTCAGGCACCATGTGCTTCCCTCGTCATCCGTAGGCGTAAGGCGCGTAGTACCCAAAGCCATGCTGCTGCTGCTGCTGCTCTTGGGCGGGAGGACCAGCGGGAATCCTTCGCTCTCCGAGGCCTTGTTATCGCCGAGACTGATCCGCAACCGAGCCGGTTCCGTCTGCAGACTGGCGACGGGCACCTCGGCACGGATCACCGCCGTGCGTTCCCAGACAGTGCGGGCCGAGAACGTGCCCAGGAAGACGGCAGGCGAAGTTGTCCCCGCGACCAGGGTCAGCTTGAAAGATGCCGGCGGATGGTCAAACACTTGGTCGCTGGCAACACGTACAGACAACACCGAGAGAGCTGCATCGTAGTCGGCGGCCGTGATGCGGAGAGTCGGAGGGTAGGCGATGGTCAGCTCCTGACGCGCGGCGAGACGCACCGTCGTGGGCGTGGCAATCGTGCGTACCAAGACTCGCACGCGATCCCCCTGGCGGACGTCCGCTGCTGCCATGGACAAGCGAACCGAGTGACGCGACTTGGGCGTTGACCGGTCCGAAGCCGTGGCCGCCACTCCGCCGTCCCAGAGCCGCTCGACCGTGACGACAAAGTTGGGCGCTGGCGAGAATCCACTCGCTTCGTACCATTGGGCGAGAACAGCGCGGCCCTCCATCCTCGCTACCAGACCTGCGAGGGCCGGGAGGACCGTCAGCCCTTCCGTAGACACCGCCGCCGGCGAATCGTGCTGCTTGGGCTTCCAGGCCGCCTGCCGGGCCACCTGCCGGGCGCGTGCCCGGAGGAAGTTGAAGGTCGCCGATCCTGCCGTCTGTGCAGGCAAGGCGTTGATGGCAATCAGAACCTCCTGTGGCCCCGGGTCCAGGGCCGAGAAGAGTTGGTGGTACACCACCACCTCTGGGCCTTGTGTGGTGGATGAATCTCCCGCATAACCAACAAGCTCAATCGAAAAGTCACCAGCGGCAACACCATCGGCAGGTGGTAGGCCCACGACGACATCGTCCCCGCGCACAGTCAGGGTGAGGCCCAGCGGCGCGCGCAGCCAGGGGTCGTGCACGGCGTCGACGACGGCCCAGTTGCGCGCCCAGAAGACACGGCCCTGCGTCTCGAGGCGCGCTCGCACCCAGACAGTGACCCGGCGCCTGTGGCAGAACTCGTCGAGCTGCAGGGTGCCTTGTTGAGTGTCGCACCCGGGGAATTCCCAGCCCATGCTCGGCCAGTCGGCACCGACATGATCCTTCTCGGCGATACCTGCGCGCACATCCCAGGTAAGCACGGCAGGCTCCCTAAAGTTCTCGAGGTCAAGCGCGTTCCCCCATGGCTGCGGTGGGTGATCGCCCCAGCGCACCAGGATCGTGGACTCCTCGTCGTTGCCGGCCTGGAAGATCGCCGTTGGGGGCTTCGTCAACATCAGCCCGTCGGCGATTTGGTCTTCCAGAAGCTGCTGTCTGGCTTGCAGAGCCGCCAGCTCATCTTGCAGCTTCTTCACCTTCGCTTCCATCTTTCTCTTCTCGTCCTCGTCGTCAAGCGAGTCCAGCAGTAACCTTTCCATCGTTCTGGCAGTCAGCAACGCGAGGATCTCGGGGCCAAAGGCAGTAATGAAAGACCCAATAGCGGTGACGCCGGTGACGGCGGCACTGATATCAATGATCTCTCCTACTTCTTTGAGCCCGTCTTTGACCTTCTCAAGCTTGTCCTCCAACTGTTTTCTCTCCTCATTGTGCAGCTTGCGGCCGCGTTTCTCAACGTTCTCCGACTTGGCCTTGCGGCACAAGAGTCCCTTGACCGTCTCCTTGCCAAAGTACTCGGCGGCAAGCAAGAGCATCAGAGCAGACAGTTTGTCTGCGTCCTGCAGGATGGCGCGGCCCAACTCCTCCCAGTTGTCGGCGCGAGTCAGCGTTTCCCACACCTTGTCCACGAGATTGCCCAGGGTAAAAGGCCCCTTCAGCGCCACCTTGACCTTCATGGGCTCCTTGGGGTCTCCCTCGATCGTGACAAGATTAGCCTTGCCCACGACGCTCAGGGTATACTTCCACGTCAGCGTAAAGCAGAACTCGCCTTGCGGTCGTGCCTCGGCCTTATTCTCGGGCAATCCCAGCACCAAGCTGAACTTGGTCTTGACCACCTCCTTGACACCTTTGGCCAGCAGGTCGACCAATGCACCACATTTATTGTCCTTATACGACGCCTTCTCGATCGCATCCAGGAAGCTCAGCGCGTCCGACAAGTCCAACCCCAGGCTCCAGTGATTGAAGCTCCAATGCCCGTCACAGTACCTAACAGTCAGCGAGTGTCCAAAGCTGGAGGCCATGAGCGAGTCACTCGCCGGCTCCTTGGCGGGCTTGTATGACGCGGTGCCCTCAAAGTAGCGCGCCTTGGGGTCTTTGGCGGGCGTGTACGTCAGGTCAAGACGGAATCCAGACTCGCCAAACAGCTCGAGGTCTGTGCCGGTAGTGAATGCGAGACTCCTTCCGGTGGTGGCCGTGGTATCGATGCCGATGCTGGGCCGTATGAGTCGCGCGAAACCCAAGTCGATGCCCTCAACGTTCGTATACGTGCCCGTCAGCTTGACGCCGGAGCGGTTGCGCGGGAACAGCGCGGAGATGTCAAAAGGCTTGCCAAAGACATGGAGTTGAGCCGTCAGGTTCAACCCGTCCGGGTAGGCGATGTCTTCGATGCTCACGACATTCTTGCCTTCGTCGGCGCAGGCGTAAGTAAATACCGCACCGTCAAACTCGAGCAAATCGACCTCCTCGGCAGGCCATGTCGCCACCGACGACGATTCCGCCGGCGGAGGGTTTGGCGCCACCACATCATCGAAGATGCGTGCCATGTTGAGCTTCTTGCCGGCCTCCGTGCTGTACTTGAGCACGGCGACGCGCGGCACGCCGTCAGCAAACATCAGGGACGCTGTCGGTTCCTTTGCGTCTGCGGCGCTGCCGAATCGCGCCCTCCCCGAAAGAACCCAATCGCGCTTCACAGTGCCGGTCTTTGGATCTTTTGTAGAGCTGCCAGAGACACCCACTGCAGTCAGGCTGACATTAAACATACCTGGCAGCGGGTTGGCGATGGTTTGTTCGGTCTGCGCACCCTGTACTTGAAACCTGGTCTTGTGTGCGAACAAGGAGAGCTTAACCATGAACTGCAGCGTGTGCGTATCGTCAAGGCGCAGGTAGAGGTCTGCATCGACGTCAAAGTACGGGGTCAGGGAGGGATCTTTCGGCTTGGGCTCATAGGTGCCAGTGCCATTGTTGATCGTCACAACGCCGCCAAACAGCGTCAGATTCTGCACGGAAATCTGGTAGAGCGTCGCGCCCTCCACCAGACGGGCGAAGACCGTCACTGTGCTCGCCGTACGTGCCGTGTCCGACACATCGAGCGTCAACACGTCCTTCATGGCACCGCTCTTGTCTCGAGATAGGTCGACAGATGCCAAAAACCAAGCGCCGCTCTGGATCACGGTATCCTCCTTCAAGCCCTGGAGTACAGCAAGCACGCCCGCCGAGGTCGTTGTGGCCTGTTGATGCTGCTGCTGCTGCTGCTGATCCTGACCATCTGCATCGGCCGATACCAACATCAGGTCCTTCTTGATATCCTTGACCGTGCTCTTGTAGCCCTGGATATGCGCGGCGACATTCAAGATAGGGAACTGCTCCCTGACGGTCTGTCGCAGCGGCTCCCACAGACTGGCCACGTCGCTAGCCACCAGACTGACCATGTACAGGTTCTTCTTCTTATTGTCCTTCTCTTCCTCCGTCTTGACTAACAGCAGCGCCGATGCCTGGCTACCGATTTGCGCAGCCAAGATCAGCTTGGGCTGCGTAAAGTTGGCATACAGTGACACTCCCGTCTCGCCGACAGCCAGCGGCTGAAATCCCTTCGGCACGATCTTATCCCAAGACTCGACAGTGTCTTGTTGTTCATTAGATGTCGCGACCGTCTCCGCCAGCTGGTCGAGGCTCACTGACGGCGCCACTTCATCCTTCTTGACCACGGCTGTCAGCACCGTGTCCTCGTCAGTCTTGATGTACAGCCACGCCTCGGCCGCGACAAGTCCCTTGAGCCGTAGCTTGCCTGCCAGCCACATCTCGTACGACGTGGCGGGCTTTTCGTCAGCGCTGTCTTGCGGCTTCTTGTTGTCTGACGATGCCTTCTTCTTGGCTGCGAGGCGTTTGCTACGAGGACGGCCCTCTTCCTTCTCAGAGATCTCCTCAACGGGGCGTGAATCGATCCGTAGCAGCGCCTTGAGCTCTTCGAGACTGAGGTCGACACCGCCAATCGCGTTGCTGCACTGCGCCGTGACCGACGCCGTCACCTCGATATACTTCTTGGGGATGAAGACGGCTGAGAGCTGCTTGACGCGCCATCCTTCCTCATTCTGGTTCTCATTCTTCGTCTTGGGCAGTGCGTACGTTCCGTCCATACCCAATAGCGTTGCCAGCTCGCTCACCTGTGTCGTCTTCGTGTCGAGCGTGCTGCCCACAAAGGCGCTGCTGCCACCAAGCCCGGGGATGTTGTGCAGGTATGCCACAACGAACCGTACGTCCTGGTTCACCTCAAAGATGGCGGACAGGGTGCCACTGAGACCTTCTGGTTCTTTATCCTGTTCCTTCTTGCTGCTGCTGCTGCTGCTGATGCCCTTGGCTCGGTATTTGACCAGCAGTGCCAACTCGAGAAGCTTGATCTCAGGCGGTCCATTGAACACGGTATATGTCCACGGTGACAAGCCTGCCCCAGTCCGGGGTGACTGTGCCACGAACTCGAAACTCCTAAACTCGAGTTTGCCATCCACCACAGCGACCTGGCCGCCGATATGCGTGATCCCGACATCGAAGCAGTCGGGCGCGTCCTGCGGGATCCCTTTCTTCACTGAATCCGCCTCATCCCCGAAGCCGAGCAGACCTAGGATGCTACGCACCACGCGATCTCCTTCCTGCGGCGTGATCGTGATGGCCGCGGTCTTCTCGCCGTCACGGCTCATGCAGTTGATCTCGACGTCAGCTTGGGTCAGTCCAGAATCGACTCGGGCTTTGATATCCAGAGTTGTGGCAGGCCCTGGCTCTACAGGAGGCGTATCTGGCTCCTGGGTCGGAGCAACAGCATCATCGGTGTTGTCATCGCCGTCATTGCCAGCGCTTTGATCGGCAGTGCCTGTTTGAGGTTCCTGCGGTTTTTCATCGCCGTTTGAACCATCTTTTTCCTTCTCTGGTGAAGGAAGTGCAGGGTTCTCGTCTGCCACATCACCACCTTCTGGCTTACTATTGTCGACAGGGTTGCGGTACTCGACCTTCAGGCTTTGCAGTATCATGCCGCTGCTGAATGTGAGAGTGCCTGTGTCGCCACCTTGTCCACCGGCATTCTTCTTCTGTGACACTTCCAGAACAAAGTACGAGATGGGATGACCCTTCCCTAGACCCATGTGCAGTTCGGCTTGATCCAGACCCAGCCCACCCAGAATAGAGTGCAGGATGTTATACTGCCTGAAGTTCTCCGAGAGTAGGAGATCCACCGTCGCAGCAATAGAGATGTCCTTGAGCGAGTGCAGGCGAGCTGTGATTTTGTCGTCAACGGTCGAGTAGGTAAAAATGGAGCCCAGGGACCCTTCGGCAATCGTCGCCTGCAGCGCAAAGCTATGCTTATGCTGATCCTCACCATCATCGAGCTTTTGAGCGGCCGAGTAGCCAATCGACACCCACAGGTAGTTGATCTTCAAGATGCCCAGATCCAGATTCTCATAGGTGAAGTTGCACCGTGCTGTGAGAATGCTGAAGCCCTGCTTGTCGCCGGTGTTCGCGTTCGTGATGGTGAAGTAGGCTGAATCCAGCATGACGCCAAACATCTCGCGGATGACGGGAATCTGGCTGATGTCCGGCAGCTCCAGCGCACCGTATACTTCCTTGAGGCCTAACGGCCGCGTGCAGTCAATTTCCAAGCTTCCAGGCACATTCTCCTTGGGCGTGCGGATGGTGAGACGGACTCCGGCTGACACGTCGGGGAAATAGACGACTCCCGTCACGACAGCACTCAGCTCGCGGTAGCTCTCCATGATGGTCACATCCACGTCCTGCAGTTCCAGCTTGCCGTTCGGCAGGAGGATCAGCTTCGGCACGCCCAATTGCAGCATCCAGTCACCAAATTCGAAGCCTTTCTTTTGACTGTCGGCGATAACTGCCACCGAGACCTTTTTGATGTACATTAAATTCAGAATCTGCTCGAGAATCGGCACGCCAGCCAGGAGGTCGGCTTGCCCGACGGCCATGCCAATTTTGTCAATCACATCAAAGACGGACACCCCCTTTTTCCTCGCTGCCACGCACACCCGGTACTCGTAGTCACCAGCGAGAACCAGGGGGGCAGCTGAGAACTCAATATCCATCGTCTCATCCCCGTCGCGGAGCTTGAGCGTGAGTGCAGTCTTGATATGCACGGCCACGGCACGAAACTCGCCCACAGGGTCAACCACCATGACCCTGATCTCGGGGGCCAACAATTCTTTGGGGAACTTGACGGGCAGGTAGTCCTTCCAGCCGTCGAGGTTAGCCGCGAGGAAGATTTCTTTGACGACGTAGTGGTTGGCACTCCTCACTGGTTGGCGCAGCGTAATACCCACCTGCTCCGTCTTCAAGCTCCCAAGCTTCTGCAGCGTCTGGGTCGTCGTCTGCTTCTTGTCCTCCGGAGACAGGTCCGGCTCGCCATTTTGTGTCAGCGCTTTAGGCCCCTTGGATAGAGGCACGTCCATGGCGAAGAGGTCCGGCTTGTTCGGCAGAAGGTTACAGGCGTCTGACAAGGGTGTGTCTCCGCCGAGCGTGAGGGTGATTTCCATCTCCTCGTTTGCGGTGGCAGGGAGTCTGGCCTCTATAGATGCTGTGGCGTGGAAGTCGCCCATCTTCAGCGAGGCCTCGCCCTTGACGGTAATGGTCTCGACCTTGGTTCCGACGTCGGTCACGATGATCTTCACGTTTTGGACCTGAGCCTCGATCAAGCCAAGCTGGAGCATGGGATCCCAATCCTTCGTCTCGCCGGGTGGCGGCTTACACACAATCTCCACCATGTCTAGTCCCGTCTTCCCCGTAATGCCAATCCGCGCCTTGCCCGTCGAGGCGTACGGATCTGGTACGAGAGTGTCCAGGCCGGCGGTGAGAAACACGGCGGGGATACGGAAAGAGAGGAGCGTGGCCGCCTTTTGAGCGTCACGGAAGACGATAGCCAGCAGCGACGCCAGTGTCAGGCCTTGCTCAAGCTGGTCTTTGAAGCCCATGCCAACGAGAATCTTGGCCAGTGTGGGAGGGTCGCCCTTGGCGGCCATGGCTGATTTCGGCGCCCGCAGGATTTCGCCGTCCGCGGTGCGCACGAAAATCACCGACACCAGCGTGCCATCGGCCTTCCAGCTCAGCCAGAGCTCTGAGTTTGTCACGTCAAGATTCTCGCCATCGATGGCGATCTTGGACCCTTGGGGAGGGGACAGGACCAGCCGAGCGCCGCTGACCTCGGTGGCCACGATACTATCGGTGTATGCAGCCAGGGACTGCTCCACATCTACTGGGTAGTCCAAAACGCTCTGTTGATACTTGGCCCGGTATCCGAGGCGGTCCAGATTGCGCTGGCTGATGAGAGACACCAAAGCCTCCTTGGTCGTCATCTTCAGGACCGAACTCGCAGCGGAGTCCTGCAGAAATTGGTTCAGAGACTTGGCAATGTCAAGGAAAGCCGTGATATCGGCCAGTGGCAGCTGCTGCTCAGCCTCGGACATGATGACCGAAGGCATGACAAGGGCTCGCGAGCCACCCGCAGTATTTGAGATCATCCGAATTCTCGGTGTCGATATTAGTGCATCGAAGTTGTTGGCAATGGAATTCATCGCCATTAGTTGTTGCTTTTGGTGCTGGTAAAGCACCGCCGGGTTGGCCGCGACACTAGCATTGAACAGAACCAGGGGGGATTTCTTCTGAAATTCAATTTCTTCATCAGGGAGCCATTCAAAATCCCAGCTTTTAGTGATGCAAAGATTGAGACTCCGCCACTGAAGCCTCCATTCTTTTCCCTTTGCAGTCACGAACCGGACGGCGCAGGTATGCCCAGCAGCATTCGTCAGTAGAACATGGCCAGCACCAGCTCCGGAAACTTCCCAAGCCTCCTGGACACGCAAGGCGGATAGAGCTTGGTCCTCTTGAAGTTGGTCCTTGCGCACAGGTAGCGGCCTATAGGCGGTCCCAACCCTCTCCAGTTGTAGAATCCATTCTTTGTGGGCAAGTTGAGTCCGGAAGATTTGCCAGATCTCGTCGCCGAATGGCTTGAGCTTGAGGACCCCTCTGCTCTGTGTTTCCAGCTTGCTGTGCCTCTCCAGAGTCGAGTCCGAGACGAAGGTCCGGAAGTCGACCGTGGTAAAGTTGGTCAGGCCACGCGACTGGCCGTTTGGAGCTCCCGTCGGCGGGTTGACAGCTCCCGCTTTGAGGTTTATGCTCATGTAGATATTGGCGTTCATATAACGGATGGTGAGAGCGCCGGTACCCGGGGTGTTGGCATCGTCAGAGCTATGGTAGAACAGCTTCTTGAAGGTGGTGTCAAAGGCTAGATTCCGGGACGTGGAATATGCTTCGGTCAGCCGAATTAACTCATCGACATAAAGACTGTAGCCGCTGGTTAAGAAGAGCTCGGCGGTTCTGTCAAGCTCAAGCAAAGCCCAGGCCAGTCCAAAGATGGTATTGGGAGTTGGATGCCCGTGCTGAGTGTAGTTGGCGCTGACAACATAGGTGTCTGCCGTAAAGGACTTGAAAAAGTCGCGAATGGAGACGCATCCGTAGTACGCCTGCCAGTATTTGTACCACATCGTGTCCTTGACGACATCTTGCCGATCCGACATCCACTGGACGAACCAGTCCAGCCACTTCCTGTCCTTCTTCGATTCGAAAAAGAAATCCTCATTGCCTGTAGTTTTCCAATGATTTCTTTGCTCGGCGGCATACGTCCTCAGGCTGAGCCAGATACTATTGATCACACTTTCTGGGATATCTATCAGAGGCAGGTCTTTTGTGTCCAACCCAAGACGATTTAGTTGGTGGGAACGGTGTCGATCTCTGAAGAGGATTCTCGCCTCGTCAATGGTGGTAAGGGCTTGTAGTTCATCTATCTCGCTCGTTTGGAGCAGCTCCAAGGCTTTGCCACGCATCAGCCTCAATCCCTGCGGGCGGTACTGGTCTTCAACGGGTCTGCCGGCGAAAAACTTCTCACGGTAGCTGGTAGTGGTACCGTTGGGATCCTCATACTCCAAGAAAGCCAGGATTGCCGTCTCCTTCACGAGGACGTTGGGGAGCGGGTCTTTCTTATTATCGAGTCGGCAGTCAATGCCGCTTCCATGATGCTGGATCTTGTAGACGGAGTAATGAGGAATATTCCCTCCGGCATCATTGCGGATGCGAGCCACTTGCTGTTTGATGATCCAGCCGGAGCTGTCGCCCGTGAAGAGAGCTTCCCCTTCGCCATTAGCATTATGGACTGTGTCAAAGCGGGTGTTGAGTAAGATGCTCTTATAATTCAGGTTATCGGTCAGCTCAGACACTGTTTGGAAATGGGCTACCGTTTTCACAGTGCCAGCGATGGCCCTGCGAGAGAACACCGCCAACCCCGCCGTGCCCGGGTATTCAATGTTGAATGAATTGCCAATCTCTCCGGTCTGAGGTTGGTAGATTTTAAAGGCGCGCGGCTCTGGGTCCTTTTCGTCTTTCTGATTCCATCGCTCATTTGTCAGTAAGTCGATGAACCTTTTTATATGATAGTCACCAAAAGTCTGCTGGGCCGGGAGATAGACGGCGCCATCAAAATCGATGGCGGAATCGCCGTCTCTCCAGGCCTGGATCAATGCTAGAATGCCGCCGACGTGGTCTTCATGGGCGTGCGAGGCAATGACATTGCTAGGTTTAAAGGGCCGAGGTTTCCTCAGCCCCTGTTCCCAGATCTGTCTGCCAGCCGAGAAGAAGTATTTCCAGTACGGGGCAGTCGAGGTATTGCCATGACTTCGAGGCCCATACGTTGCCGGTCCACCGTCCATGATCATCAGGGACTGTTCGTTGACGCCGGTCGGGTACTCGATGTACATGGCATCTCCCCTGCCGCTGTACACGATGTGCAGTTTCCATCGCGTTTCATCGTCCATTTTCGGTTGTCAGCAACCGGTCAGTTCTCTCGCGCGTGGAGGTGTTGAGTTGAAGAGAAGAGTGGAGATGAAAAGATGAAAAGATGGAGAGATGAAAAGATGGAGAGATGGAGAGATGGAGAGATGGGTTGAAGAGAGAAAAGAAGAGAGAAGAGAAGAGAAGAGGTGAAGTTGAAGCTGAAGAAAAGGGAGGAGGAAAGCGCTGAACGTGACTACGGACTAGTCCTGATGTGACCTCGACAGCAGTCAATATAAGGAAAAATAGCCGACACAGCTGAGGATATGAGAAGACAGCATTAAATAAGGGGTTTGATTGTAAATAATTTCTATGGATATGGAATGTTCATAAAAGGGTCAATTGAACTAGAATAGGGCGTGAACTAGTATGCTCTAATCGATAACCACCATCATTTTCTTCCACCAGGTGTCGCGCACAGGCGGAGGCCGCTCGGCCGCCTCGATCTCCTGCAATCCCGTCTGCAGATCGACGTCCTCGGGTCGCCAGGCCCACGGGTCGGACCAGTAGATGATGCGGTGCACGGCGTACAGGATCAGAAACGCCGGGATGCCGATGTAGGCGGTGAAGAAGCTGGAGACGGACCACTGGGAGGGGAAGAAGACGGTGAAGCCGTTGATGAGGCACAGGGTCAGCGCGCCGCCGAAGCCGAACCAGGACCCAAAGGGTTGGATGCGCGAGCGATAGGGCAGCTCGATGCCCTGGGTGCGCGCGGCGGTGCGGAAGCGCCAGTAGACGATGCAGCAGCACATCCACGAGATGAAGCCCGAGGTGTTGGTGAAGTTGACTAGCCAGGAGAAGACGGTGGACGAGGAGTTGCCCACAGACAGGTAGGCAAGCAGCGAGAAGACGGCCGAGGCGGCGACGGCCAGGTAGGGGACTCCCCAGCGGTTACAGGTCTTGAAGACCGAGGGTGCGTTGCCGGACATGGCCAGCCCGTACAGGGAGCGCGAGGACATGTACAGGAAGGAGTTGCCTGCCGACCAGGCCGAGGTGAGCACGGCGGCGTTGACGATGCTGTCCAGCACGGGGATGCCGGCATTTTTGATGCCGACGACAAAGGGGGAGGCGCGGGCATCTTCGTGGCCGGAGGTAAGGATGGGATCGTTGGACGGGCAGATGACGCCAATGGCCAGCACGGCGAAGATGTAGAAGAAGACGAGACGGTAGATGTACCGGCGAGCGGCGCGGGGGACATTGCGGCGGGGGGACTCCATCTCGCCGCCGCTGATGATGATCAGCTCCGGGGCGAAGATGAAGGCGATGGCGCTGGAGACGACCGACTTGAGCAAGCCGACGAAGCGGCCGGCGTCGCCCGAGACCAGATACGTGTTCATCGCCCCCGGGTCCTTCCAGTAATGGAAGCCCAGGCGCTCACGGTTGGGCCCACCGCCCCAGAAGAGGATGAAGGACAACATCAGCAGGCCGAGGAGGGTGATGATCTTCAACCCTGCGAACCAGAACTCGGACTCGCCGTACACCTTGACGGGGAAGAAGTTGAGGGCGACGATGACGACGAGCATGATGGTGATCCAGACGGCGATGTTGACATTGGGGTTCCAGTAATCGATGACCAGCGAGGCGGCGGTGATCTCGTAGGGAACCAAGATGCCGAGCGAGTACCAGTAGAGGTATCCCATGGCGAAGCCCAGGCTGCGCGAGACGTAGCGGTAACCGTGGTAGCTCATGGTGCCGCCGTGGACGGGCATGTAGGCCCCCACCTCGGCGATGGCGGTCACCAACGAGTATACAAGCACCGAAATGAAGATATATCCCATCAACAAGCTGGCCGGCCCGCCGACGGCCAGCGCGGCGCCCGAACCGACAAACAAACCGGTGCCAATCGTTCCTCCCAGAGCCATCATCTGCACATGGCGGTTGCTGAGGCCACGCTGGGTCGGCTGGTAGCGCTCATCGAGCAGGTCGGCGGCGACCAGAGCACGGATCGTGCCATATTTCTCGTCGACGAGGGGGGGAGAGGCATCGGAGAGGTGTTTGGAGTTTTCGATGGTGTCGGCCATGGCGAGTATAGGGTATACTCTAGTAGCCAGATTAGTATAACAACGCAATTCGGTATAAATTAGGGCTGTAGAGGCCAGCACGCGACTTATACCCCGAAAGACAACCAGAGATAATATTCTGCAGAATTCATTACGAGTTCTTTGTACCTCACGAGTACCCCGCTATTGGTAGACAAGGATCGACAACGTTGCATTGATAAGTAGCCGGTCTGCGCCCGGTGAGGCGTGGCGATCCCTGTCAGATCCGGGCATCGCAGTTTCAGCTTTCCCGTGGCAACTGCGCAGATGCATTCCTGATCAAGAGGGGTTTCTCAGAAGGAGAAGAGAAGAGAAAGGAGGAGGAGAGAAGAGAGAAGAGGAGGAGAGGAGAGAAGAGGAGGAGGAGAGGAGGAGAGGAGTTGTCCCTGACGTTACGTAATCAGTCCCTGCCTTCCTAAATTGTCCAACCGTCAAACCGCCAAACAACCCAAACGTGTCAAACTGGTCAAACCGATCAAACTGGTCAAACCGATCAAACAGGTACTTATTCTACCGGCCCGGTCACGGTCATGATTATGACCACCGGACCGGTGAGTGAGACATGACTCGGTATAAATTGCATGTTGTTGTGGTTCTGTTCTGGGGCCGAAGATACTACCAGCCGCTAATAGGATAGAATAGAGTATCAAGTTAACCTTATCTCTAACTAACTCCACCAAAAATTAGGCTAGCAATTGGGGGCTATCAGGAGCATGCCGAGACAGAATCCTCCCAAACTGAGATTCTTCGGACAAAATGAGGTGGAAAAAGGTACGGAATGGGTGTCTTGGCCATAGAATTACTGGTGATACTTATATATATGGAATACCAACGAGGGTGAGAGTCGCAAGGAACAGCTGGGGGCAGACTAGGGTTAAGGGTTTGCTGGTATTTCCACCCCTGGTAATTATGGTACCTTGGAAGAAATTTCGGATGTGTTCGATATTAATACTTCCCCAAGCGTCAGCAATAATGAGGCTTGAGTCAATAGGAAGAAAAGAAATCTGAGATTTACTGTTTAATTGTATGAATCTGATATTTCTAGAAATTAATTTATTATTGTCTACATACGGAGTACAAGAACTTTCTCCACTGTCGGTTTGTGTTCAAAAAGTTTACCTTACAAGATGAAAACTTGCCTTACATAACAACATTGCCCGGGTAGTCTAGTGGTTTATGATTCTCGCTTTGGGCTTACAACTCAACCTGCGAGAGGTCCCGCGTTCGAGTCGCGGCTCGGGCCTTTGTCTATTTTTTTGCAAAACATATAGTTTTTGAAGATTTGAGCTGATTTTTGTATTCTCTTGGGATTCTTGCACTCTTCCTAGTTGCTTATAACTACGGTAGTCGAAGACTAACTGCTTAACAACTCCTGATTCTCTGATGTTACTATGATGACATACCTACCCCTCATGCCTGGTTCTGCCTCAGGCATACAACATCCTGAGGCACGCAACAGGAATGAAGTTTTGGCCTCTCAATTTCTCTTCTTTTCCACCCCGCGGGTCTCCAGGATTAATCCCTGCTGCGATACACCTCTGAATGCCAACACCTCCACGCCCTTTAGTCACAGCCTCCCACTCCCAACCATCACATCCTTCTGACCTGATAACGCAGAGACAGAGATAAGCCGCGTATCGGCGCGCGCCGCCCACCGCGGGGGGGATCTCCGGTAGGAAACGATCATATAAAGGGAGCCGGAGACCCCAGATTAACGACTGGATCCGAACTCTTAGAACTTGGCAGACTTGAAACACATCCATCATGAAGCCTACCATCTCCATCCAGCCTTTGACACACCCCAACTCCGAGGTCGACTTCGGCGCGGAGATCCGCTATGCAGACCTGGAGAATCTGAGCGGTACGCATTTACCAGAGGATCCTCGTGCCTATAAGAAGAGAAAAGCTGACTGGGGTAATAGACGAAGACTTTGCCCTCATCCGGGACGCGCTGTACAATCACCACGTCGTGGTGTTCAAAGACCAGCAGAGCCTGTCGCCCCGGGCGCAGTACGAGCTGACGAAACGCTTCGACCCGGCGTCGGACAACTACGGGCACGGCAAGACGCTGGACGCGAAACGCAGCATCCTGCACCCAGACCTGAAAACGGTACCGCACCAGCCGCAGGTGCAGGTGATTGGCAACGGGTTCGTGGAGGAGTACGAGGGCCTGCAGAACGTGCAGCTGCGGCATCCTCACCACCGGACCTTCCACCGCGACCACATCCCCGACGAAGAAGACTACGACTTCACCCGGTTCTACCGCTGGCACATCGATGCCGCGCTCTACGACCTCAACCCGCCGCGGGTGACCACCCTCATGGCCGTCTCGGTGCCCAAGGGCCGTCGCCAGACGCTGCGCTACGATGATGGGTCTAATGAAACCCTCGACGTCCCGCTCGGCACCACCGCGTTCGTCAGCGGCCAGCGCATGTTCGACCTGCTCTCCCCGGAAGACCAGGAGTTCGTCCGTACCTCGCGAGTAGAATACGCTGCTCATCCGTAAGCACAGAAGGAATTAAGAATTAAGAATGCCCACAAGAAAAAGCTGACGGTCTAGGTACATCTGGATGAGTCCCGCCCGCTCCCTCCCCACAGGATTAGGCCTCTACACTGAAGACCGCGAGCTGGCCGAATCCGACCTCCCCCCCATCGACGAATCCAAGATCCTCACCCTGCCCATGCTGTGGAAGAACCCCGTGTCAGGCAAGTTCGCCCTGCAGGTACACCCGTCTGCCGTGCGGCGCATCCACCGCGCAGACGGCACCGTGATTGATGACCTGGCGACCGTCCGCGAAACAGTGTACAGACTGCAGCGGCCGGCCATCTCGCCGCAGTACGTGTACGCGCACGACTGGCAGGAAGGAGACCTCGTCCTCTTCAACAACCAGGGGGTTCTCCATTCCGTCGTGGGGGCTTTCAAGCCTGACGAGCTCCGTTTGTTCCGCCAGTGTAACCTTGCTGCTTCGGAGCCTCCAGTGGGGCCTTAGTAGACCCTTGGTATATCACATTAGTTACTATTTATATGAAGCTATGGCTATCTGACAATATAATATCCATTTCGAACTTCTTTGTCCCCCATTTCATCCGATCGAACCCGTACCCCCAGACGATGCAGCGGGATCCGGTCCACCTGGCGCCGTGCACTCGTGTATCGCTCTTTCGTCCTATCAAGCCATCCCCCCTTCTCCTCTACCATCGGGCCCCAGGAAGGATGTGTGAGGATCTGTGCAGCGAGAATTGCGTCCTCCTGTGCTTCTGTCGCGGAGAGCTGGCCGTCCGGCCGGAGGAAGCCCATCAGTCGGATCTGTATTTCATTTGTATTCAACCTTCTATCCTGGCCTAAATCGTCAATGAACCGCAGGGAGGTCCGCGTCCGGATCGCATTGGCCATCTGGATCTGTTTCTGTTGAGAGAGGTCTAGCGAGAGGATAGACAGAATAACAGGTGCCCATGATTCATTCTTTCCAGTCTCCTTCTTTCCACTGTCTCTCGCCCATCCCAAATAAAATAGTATCCTCGTAGTCTCTGCGGAGTCGTAATGCTGAGATCTGCAGTCGTAATTCTAAGATCTGCCACGGAGCCACGCACAATGCAATCCATAGGAAAGGGGGGTACCGGTCCTGCTTCGGGGGTATCTTCTATATACAATTCCCTTACTGCTGCTGGAGTATTCTCCTCATAGCCCACCATCCGGTCAACCCTCTCCTCCGCCCCAGAAAGCGAATACGCCGTCGTGGCCGCCGTCTGTTCCGTCCACGAGGGCGCCATGTTCTGCACCGTATTCGTCAACGGCGAAACAACAGTCTGCAGGGTACTCGACGCATAGATCCCCGCGGCCATAACCCCCAGCTCGAGCGGGAGGGTCCGTAGACTGGCACCACGGAGCGAACTGGGACTCGTCGACGCAGAAGCCAGCCTGAACACGGGACTCGTGCAGAGCGTTCGTTTCCCGTCACTGCACAGGACGAGATGGAAGTATCCGTCTCCTGCTTCGACGGGGATGCGAAGCACATCGGTTTCGCGGAGGGTATGAGTGCGAGCATTTTGGGATTTCATGGTTTTCTGGAACTGTTCGATATCGCGCTGCCAGGCCCGCTCGTCTCGAGGGAGGATCTGCTCCGCTCGTACGGCCGTCGAGGGAGTCACCTCCACCCAGGAGGAGTGCAGATTCAGCATCGTTTTGGCTCGCATCCCTGTCTTGCCTGTCCATCCTTTGCTTTGGAGCCAGAAGGTGCGCGTTGGGGGTAACGGCCTGTCGGAGAAGACCGAGACGGCCACGGACGTGCTGCTGCCCCGGTACAGGACTAGGCCGTGAGAGTGGCGCAAGATAGAGACGTGTTTGGTTGAAGTAGAGGGGTGGTGTATTAGTCCGCCGAGGAAATGGCGCGTCTCGTCTAATAGAGTGGGTGGTTGAGCTTGTGCTGGTGGTGGTGGTGGTGGTGGTGATGCTCCAGCCGGTACCTCTGGTAATAACTGTGGTGTTTGTACTTGTAATGCCTGCGACGGTAACGGCTTACGTTTGACCGACATGATGATAGATGTATAGATAAAACAGTTCTTAAGAAGAAGCTTAAGATGAATCTTAAGATGTCTTCTGGTGAGGTGTGACGTAAGCGTCGTAAGTTATTCTCCAATCTTATTGAGCTATAAACGACCAATAGCCGAGGAACATGATTACACTTCAAAATCAAGGCAAACACACTCATAAACAGTCTGCCAAGTGCCACTCGCCGGGTCGTGCTTGTTGCGCGAGTACCGTAGAAAAGACTGATCCCGGCTGCGGTCCCAATTGACCAGCTCTTCATTCGGGCCTGGCGGACAACCGTCTCGCAGCCAAAACACGTCGAGGGGGCCGAAGCGGGCTTCTTCGGGGATGAGAGGATCTGGCCTGTCATTGTTGTCGTTGTTGTCGTTGTTGCCAGGCAACCTCATGCTTTTCCCATGCCGCTCTTCAAGAGCCATAATGCGTTCACCCAAGCTAGCCGCAGGGATACACTGGTAGAACCCCTGGACTAGTGGTGCTCGACGGAGCAAGGCCAGCGCTGCGCGTCGGATTTGAGGCTCACGGCATCGCAGCGAGGTGAACCAGAGCGGGAGACTGACGCCGACGTCCAGCGAGAGCGGCGGTTGGGTGCCGTCCGGCCGCATCGAGGCATCGAGCGCGATGCGACACTGGTCCACGATTGTCTGGAAACGGGGGATGTATGCATCTGTGGCGGTCTGGAGGGGTGAGACGCAGGTGGCAAGGCTCACCACCAGCATTTCGTAGTACGCCAGCAGGAGGGCGCTGGTGCTCACCATAGACGATGGTGACAACGATAGAATATCCCGTTTCCTTCCCGCCAGGTCGGTAAAAGCTTTGTGCCAGCTCTGGAGGCTAGCCGACAGGATTTTCTGTCGATCGATCAGTTCCGGGGAGAGCCGCCAGAAAGAAGATTCTCGCTGACGATAGTCATTGCAGGCAGTTTGCAAGATCTGGGCCTCGTTGGCCAGGGCAACTATGGTCTCCCGAGCGGCCTTGAGGGAGGAGAGAAACGCTGTGGGCGTGAGCAGCAGTGTGGTCTTTTCTTTTTCCTCTTCGCCTTCTTTCCCTTCCTCTAGCCCCTTGATATCCTGCCGTAATCCCCCCGCTGGAGCAGTCGAGGTGGCAAGAGCAAGCATTCCCATCCGGGTGAAAATAGGGACGATGGTCTCCTCCAGCAGGGAGGCAGCGTTGATAGCCGACCCGGAAACACCACGGCCAGCGATTTGAGCACGCAGGGCAAGAATAAGACGCACTCCCTGACCGTACAGCCGGACAGCCGCCTCGATACCCCCCTGGAGGGACTCGATACAGATGAAGAGGGTACAGCTGATCAGCCCGACGAGGAGATCGAGCCCGCCACGTTCGAGACGCTGCCGCACCGCCGAAACCGAGCGCGCATACCAGGCCAGCGCATCTTGGGGTCTTCTTCGCTGCTGCTGCTGAGAGTGTTCGGGATTCTCTATCAACACACTCATCGCGATGATGGCATCCCACACGGCCGGCTCCGTCCGACACACCTGCGGCACAACCGTGCGCCAGAAATCCACGTCCAGCTCACCACCCACATACTGGGCAGCGCACTGGAAATAGTAAGCAAACGCCCGTCGCTCGCGCCACACCGTGTTGGGCGAGAGCGAAAGTCGCTGGTCAAGCAGCGAGAGAGCGCGGGCGTTGTTGGTGTCGGAGTACTCGCATGTGCGACCGGTGCTGGTGCATCGCACACAGTGCGGCTTTTCTTCTCCGCACTTGACTCGTCGGATTCTAGAATTAATAAGTAATTGTCTCTTTTATTTCAAGCTCTCTCCTTTCAAAAAATATACCCACTTGCACGTCTTGCACCCTGCTCTGGATTTCAGAGACCTGCTCGTACCTGCAGACATGGCAACGCATATCAAGTAGGGACAGACTGCATTCCATCAAGCAGTCCAACACCCACTGCCTCCACAGATATATATACGGAGTAGATATTTACTACTCCGTACTGAAAGGAAAGAAGATCATTTTCAGGAGTGATAACTAAAACGCTTGGCATCACATGATAGTGTCGATCCACTGCCAACTGGCAAACTATTAGCATTCATTCATCAAAATAAGGAGATGTGGATATTTCCAGTCTCACCAGTCAATGTCCTAGCAGCAAGAAAGATGGCGTCTTCCCCCTGAGCCGCTCTTGTACCCGCTGAAGAAGTTCCATCGGGGGGAGACAAGGTTCTATTGGTGTTTTAGTATATAAAAGCAGTATGGACTACTCCTTACCTATCATTGTTGCTTCAAATCAACAGCTGGGAGAGGTTTTGTTCGACAACACCAGCAGCCCTCGTGTGCATCTCCCTCGCGTGAGAAGCGAGATAAGCCCTCCCCGCTCGACAAGATCACCCATGGTATTTCCCAACAGCACGGGGCGCTCCGAGGATCCTGGGTGAGGAGGGCATGCCTAGCGACCGAGCAAAGAGGACATGGTTGACCTGGCTGTCGACGAGAACGATCGTCTTGTCTGTCGAAGGCTGGGAGAGAACATCAAGCGTCGCCGTGCAGAATGAACGGCTCCCTATCGTCGAGAGAGGAGAGTCGAAGAGGGAGAAAAAGTGAGGCCACCGTCGGTGAAGGCCCAAGGCCAAGGGAGTAGCATCCACGTGACGCGGGGTTGCTGCCGGCAAAACAACCCAGTCTTTCTTCCAGAGTCTGAGAAGAGACGCCTGGGAGAGCTTCTTGTACAGCAGGAGGGAGATCGAACTGGGCTGAGAGGGCACTAGTGGCAGTGTCCTTGAAATATATATAAATAGTCACTCTCTAGTACAAGGAATGATTATAGGAGTTTATATCCTTTATGAGTTTATATCCTTTATATAGATATACCCATATACTCGTATACTCATACCGTATCTCATATTATGCCCTGTACTCCCTCGTCTCCTCCTCACAAAACCCAACAAAGCGAGTCGCCGCCCCCCCCTCAATCGCCCGAACGATATCTCCCTTCGGGGATGGATGCCTCCTCCCCCAGGGAATGATATACCCCCCTCCATCCTCCAGCGACAGATCCGTCGACAGACCAGCCCACAAAGCGGTATAAGCACCCATTTTGGCGTGGTAGAGGAGCGGCGCCACCAGGAAGGGAACGATGGCAGGCAAATGGCGGGTGAGGGCAGTCTTGAGATTCCCCGGGTTGAGAACCAGGAACGTCACCGCGGGATTCTCCCTATCCAGCTCGTGAGCGAGGAACCAGTTCCCGATCTTCGAATGGAGGTAGTTCTGCTGCTGGGCGGAGGGGTGCGGAACGTGCAGAGCGAAGAGTTCCTGCGTGGGGAGAGTCTGGAAATCCACCACGATAGAGGAGGTGAAGGTGACGCGCACCGAGCCTGGGGCGGAGATGGACGCTGTGTGGTTCAAGGTCGGGAGCAGGAGTTGGGTGAGCAGGTAGGGACCCAGACAGTTTGTTGCGAGCTGGAGCTCGTGGGATTGCGCCGAGACCGATCCAGGCGGGGGGTTGGACACGCCGGCGTTGTTGAACAGCACGTCGAGGCGGGACTCTGTCGCTGTGAAGGCGTCGACGGCCGGTTTGATGGTCGACAGATCGGAGAGAGAGAGGTATAGAAAGGTGATTTCTCCAGATGAAGAAGAAGAAGAAGAAGAAGACTGTTTTATTGTTTCAATGGCGGCTTCTCCCTTTTGTTTATCGCGGCCGGCAAGGTAGACTCTCCCCCCGGCGTGGTAGAGAAGAGAACACAGCTCCAGTCCAACACCAGAATATCCGCCTGTAATGAGGAACACTTTGCCCTGCTGGTTAGGAAGGGTTGATTCAGTTAGCTGGGGGGTGGGGGGGAAGAATTGCGACCAGGAGGTGCCCATGTTTATTTCTAGATGGAGATATAAATAAATGGATATCAGATTATAGGGGGGCAAAGCCGGTATTAAATAATAAGCCTAGCGTCATTAAATTGTAGCCTAAGTATGTGTAGTACTGCATACCTATTAGAAGTACAGAATCGAATGAATGAATCAGAATTACTGCTAAAATCTCACTGGGAAATACTACCGGGCAAATAAGTGAAGCAGAGCCAATGAATACTTCAAGATAATACTTGGGAGAGTAGTCTGGGTTATGTAGCACTATTTCCACCCTTCCTACATCAAGGCAAGATGGCCGAGTTGGTCTAAGGCGCTGGAGTAAGGTTCCAGTCTCGAAAGGGGCGTGGGTTCAAATCCCACTCTTGTCATTTTTTTCTATTCTCATTTTTTTTCTATTCTACTAGACAAGTAGTAATTTTATCACCATCCTACGATGATATAAGCCAGGTTTTTACGAAATAATGTCTTATACCTAGTCACATCAAGACGCCTCTCTCACTCTTGCAAAAACATGGAATCGCATATGCTCAGGAGCTCCCCCCCCCAAGTCCCGCGTGAAGCGAAGATCTTCCAACGACGTATTGACCAGGTCCAGATCGAAGCGACGAAAGACAGCCGCAAAGGTAATATATAACTCGGCATAAGCGAGGCTGAATAGGAGTAAGCCGGTCATCCATCTCCAGCTGGCACTAGAGTACTACTCACTTCATACCCAGACAATTGCGATTCCCCTTGTTGAAGGGAACGAGGAATCGCGTCAAGGGAACGTCGCCTTGAGTCGACGGACGGAGCCAGCGCTCTGGATCGAAGGTGTGAGGGTCCGGGAAGATGTCGGGGTCCATATGGACGAAATACTGCGATTGACTCACGGGGGTCTAGTCGTTAGTCAAGAGAATATAAAGTACAACGCAAAGAGAGGCGTACCCCCGGTGGAATCACGTAGTCGCCATATACCAACGGGTCAACAGGCGACAGACGTGTAAGACGAAAGACAACGGTATGGGACAGTCGGAGAGACTCATTAATAACTGCCGTCTACTTTATTAGCAGACAGCACAGATGCAGACAGAGGCAGACAGAGAGAGAGAGAGAGGTACCAAATAAGGCACCTGTTCAAGTTGAGACCAGGATGGTTTGCTCGTTGGATCAGGCATCACCTGCATCAGTTCCTGTCTGAGCTTCAAGGCGAGAGCCTTGTTATTGGCAAGATGTAATGATCCAGTGCTCAGCACTCGCGCAGTGGTGCCCATGCCTGCCAACAGGACGACGACCGATTCATCTTCCAGTCGGGACAGGCTCTTTTCCTCCGCGGGCACAGAAGACGCCGTCAGGGCTTCGAAGACGGTTCTGGCTGTTTTGTCCTCTGCACGGTGATCGGTCTTGTTGAGGATGGCCTGGGACCTTTCTCGAATCATGCGCTGCAGTCCGAAGAATTTGGCTGCCCGCGGCTGCAGATTCTCCATGACCGAGAGGGGGATCCCTCTTAATATTGTCGACAGAACAGGCAGGAACCATATGATATGGACCAAGCTGCTGAATCCGTCACTTGCCTCGAGGATGCTGTTCACCCCGTTCTCGTCCAGACAGTCCATGCTCTGCCCGTACGTGTACTCTGTGATCACGTCGGTGGTCAGGTTCGCATACAGATCGTGGAGCCGGATTGTATCTGCAGCAGTGGTACATTTCTCTGCCTCTTCTAGCCAGTGGAGAAGCTTCTCGACAAACAGCCAGACGCGAGGCTCCAGCTTTGCAACGGCCTGCTTGGAGAAGAAGTTGTTCAACACCGCGCGGCGCGTGCGGTGTTGGGTATGGCTGACGGTGCCGATCATCGAGTTCGGCGACATGAAAACCGCCGCGGCGCTGACGTCTTTCTCTTGTTTGGGAGAGCGGTAGATGGTGTCGAAGTACTGGGGATCCTTGATGTGAAGTTCGTGGGGGTTGATGCGGACAATGGGGCCTTGTATAATTAGCTGCTGGTGTAGTACATATTATCCTAGGTAACTTGGGTAGTCTCTTCACGTACCGTATTTCTCGTGCATCTTCTCGACTTCCCAGAGATATCGACCTCCTCGGATGCCATCGTGGAAAAACTGGTATAGAGAGGTCACTGCTGCAATTTTGGGGCCAGGGAAGACATGCAGAGGGTGGAAATAGAGTCGGTAGATGGCCTGGGCGAGGGAATACCCCAGCAGCCCGGTAAGGAGGATCCAGAGGTACATTGTGTTTAGATGAGAAAGAAGAAAAGAAAAGAAGAAAGTAGGATGGAAGAGGATAGATCTCTTAAATAGATGGCTGGTACTTTTGTAACCCCGCCTGATCTTGCAGTATATCCATATCTACTCTCATCCCTGCTAGATCGTATATATTGGCCATATAAATTGCACCTTTACTAGATATATCTAATGCATGACCTTGCCTATTATCACATGTAGCACTGATATTTAGTAGAAATTACAAGATATATATATACATCTATCTATATCTATTTATTTTACATTCTTTTCTATCTATAATGAATGCTGTCTGATTGGCCACACTGCATGATGTCAATGGCACCCTCCTTCCTATCTAAGCCTAGTCTCTTCGTGTTCTCCATTGCGTCTTCCTGCATGAGAAACACATTGTCACATGAACTGCTGGATTCCAATTACATCTTCTCATCTATACTGAGTATTGGGTGATATATTACAAGGCAAAGTCTCAGGTAAAGTCTCAATATATAGTTGTAGTTGAGTTCTCCATCAGCAGGTTCATAATAATAAGACTTGTACTGGTGGAGGTTCGAGTCGATGTATCACTACTTAATGGCAAGGCTGGAGCACACATTACTCCCTACCCGCCCTTGTATAAGCCACCATGGCTCATCTGCACTTTGTTGAATGCCATTGGTTCTGGTTATCGATTCACATTGTGATCTCCCTAGGAGATTGGCTCGTCATAGGCAGGTTAATATAGTATTTGCTTAAGATGATCTCTCTGAATCATATTAAAAAGCAATAGACCCAGGATAAATGTCAATTAGTATTTAAGGAGGGTAAGAGACGGCATTCCACAAGGTATTCACTCTAATTAGTTGATAGTAATAGTAATTGATTTCTTAGCCATCTCATAACAAGTATCTAGTTAATAATATTGCAGTCTTGTAGTAACCAAGTATCTAGTTAATGTCTAGTTGCTGTCGCGACACATTCCCGAGGAGGTATGTTGTTATATCTAGTATCACCCAATACCTAAACCACGAGACTGTAACATATACCAATCTATTCAACATGTATCTATACGTACTGCTTTATAGCATCTTCGCAGTCGCAACAGCAAACAGCAGCAGCAGCAGCAGCAGCAGCCCGCTGTCCTCTGCCTCCTCGGCCGCCACAACCCTGCAAACCTGGTACAATGCCGAGACAGGCCTCTGGGATACCTGCGGCTGGTGGAACGGCGCCAACTGCATGACGGCGCTCGCGGATCTGGCGATGCTCGTCGACGAGTCGGATCCCCTGCGCCAGACGGCCGAGGAGGTCTTCAACACCACCTTTGTCGTGGCGCCCAGCGTCAACCCGGACCCAGGCCTCGAAAAAGTCACCGTCAACGGCCGTCCCGAGACGCGGTACCCGGCTGCCTGGCCCTTGCGAACGCATGATATACAAGAATCAGGGACGGTCAACGCCTCGGCCTGGCTTGACGGCGCGTACGACGATGACGGCTGGTGGGCGCTCGCCTGGATCGCGGCGTACGATCTCACGGGCGTCCAGGACTATCTCGAGCTGGCCATTGGGATTTTTGACGAGATGGTTAGACTTTTATTCTCGAATTCCTCGCAATGAATACCGGCTGATTCTTAGACAACCGTTTGGCCGACAAACTGCGGTGATGGAGGCATCTACTGGGACCATACGCGCTCGTACGTCAATGCCATCTCCAACGAGCTGTTCTTCTCTGTCGCGGCGCATCTGGCCAACCGTGCATCCAACCCTGCGGATTATCTCGACTGGGCACAGCGGGAATGGGCCTGGTTCCAGGCCAGCGGGATGATCAACGCCCAGGGCACCATCAACGACGGCTTGACGGCTGACTGCAAAAACAACCAGCAGACAGTGTGAGTGAGATGGAATTTTAGATTTTTTTTATATGAAGAAAAATGTGTCAACTGACAAAATAGATGGTCGTATAATCAAGGAGTCGTGCTGGGCGGCCTGGTGGAATTGAACCGGGCGGCGCCTAATGCCTCGTACATTGAGGCCGCGACCCGAATCGCCAAAGCAGCCATCACCGCGCTGGCGGACAGCAACAAGGTGATCCATGAGTCGTGCGAGCCAAACAACTGCGACGCGAATCAGACACAGTTCAAGGGCATCTTCCTGCGAAACCTGCAGATGCTGCAGGCCGTAGCGCCAGACGACCAGTTCGCAGCGGTGATTCGAGCCTGCGCCGATAGCATCTGGGCGAACGACCGCAACGATGCAAACCAGCTCGGAGTCGACTGGGCAGGGCCCGTCACAAAAGTGGATGCCTCGACGCAGAGCTCGGCGCTGGACGCCCTCGTAGCCGCGGTAGCCATAGCATAGATGGCATGTAGAATGCTGAGCGGTAGTAATTCAAAAAGCAGAGTCAATCTTCCTCCGTAGAGCGGCAATGTCTTTAGGCCCCGTACGGCAACAACCTCCTATCATCACCCCCTCCCAGAGCCCCCGCTGGCGGGCGGCCTGGACGGTCTCCCAGAAGACATCCTCCCACGGGCGGGTGACGGTGTCGGCCACATCACGCTTCACCCACTGCTTCGTCGAGGGATCGTAGCGTTCGCCCTGGGTACCGTCCGGATAGACGACCAGCCACGGGCGACCCGTGGCACTCGCCTGCCACTCGTCGACAAAGGTCCCCTCCTGCACCATTCTCGTCACTTCCTCCTCCATGATCTCCATGATGCGCGGCACGTTCTCGATCCGGGTGCAGTTCAACCCCACTCCCCAGGGACGGGGCAAGGGACAACTATCTTCTCCATTGGCGGTGGTGTTCTCGAGCGACGCCCGGATCCATCGTCGGACCTGCTCCTCATCGACCTGATCGGTAGGAAACACACCACAGACCCACCACTTTTTCCTATCTTCCGCCGAGGGGAGCGAGGCAAAGACATCACCGACAGCAGCCCGAATGGCCGTCACCTCGTACACGCGTTTCACCGTCTCGAGCGCCACAAACTCGACCTTGTCCCACGAGTGTGTCTCGGTATCCTGGGCAAACAGCCGCAGACGCGCCGCATGCCAGTCCCGCAGCGCGGGGATCTCGTCCATCGGAGCAGGGTAATCCCCCGCATACTCTGCCGAGACTGGGTGCATGACTGCTCCATAGGGGCCCAGCGAGAGCGCAACTCGCGCGGCGTGGGAGGGCGGGAAGGCCTCGCGGGCCAAGTCGACGGCAGCACGCATGTAGCCCGTGGCCTGGGCGGGGGTTATCGCCGCGTCGGTGTTGAGAAAGCCCTCGATGCTGGCCTGGTACGTGCCTGTCATCACAATGTCGGCGCCCGAGGCAGCAAAGGCAGCGTGGACGGCTCGCAGGACGGAGGGGTTGGTGATGAGCAGGTGCGAGGACCACAGCGGCGTGGCGGGGGAGAATCGGATGCCATGGTCGGCTTCAAGGGTCGTACCGAGGCCGCCGTCGAGGAGAAGGACGGGAGACATTGTCTTGTGAATTGAGGGAGATGGAGAGGGGAATTGAGGTTTTGGTGGGAGAAAGTGAGGGAGAAAAAGTTGAAATGAGGGGAAAGTCAAGGCGGTCGCAGAGAACATGACAGTGGATTAGAGAGTAATGAGTTATTCATTTGGTAATAACAAGAATAACAATAAGAATAGAATAGATATTGATTTATTCAAACTGCTTCAATAGTATAAGTGTATTAATATTCTAAAGATCTAGAATATTACTTTACCCAAGGATGCTGGAGGTAGTTTTATAGACTAGAATTTGGAATTAGAAGGATGAAAAGACACCCTATTAAAGACAGTAATTACTAGTAAGACCAAATATAAATAATCATCAATGAATTAGCCATACTATTTCTATTTATTCTTCATATTATTGACCAACTTCTATTTAATAAAGTGAGCCTTCTGTCTTCCCTCTCTTCCCTCCACCTTTTCTTCCCTCTTCCTCTTCCCATGAAATCCCGCCTCGGCTGCAAAACATGCAAGTAAGACATGGCATCCTTTCATTAAAGCTAGATTAATGATTCTAACTGAATAGAATACGCAAAGTCAAGTGCGACGAGGAAAAACCTCGCTGTCGCCGCTGTGCCCAGACCGGACGTGCCTGTGAATACGACCAGCTCCCGCCCGCCCATCCTCTGTCCTCCTACCCCGGCACTGTCTGGCGCGAACGACGAGCGTTCGCCTATTATTCCGAACACGCAGCTGTTCATGTAGCCGGCGCGCTGGATGGCGACTTCTGGCGAGGCGTCGTGCCGCAGGTGTGCCGCCGTGAGCCGGCTGTCTGGGACGCGATCAACGCCATCAGCGTGCTCTTCGAGAACCCCGAGCAGTGTCTCGACCCGATCTTCCTCAGCAGACAGCCGGCCTCGCTTTCTCATACCCATCGGGATGCGTTGGTTTGGTATACTCGCTCGCTGGCACGCGTCCGGGACCGTCTCGCCCGCGGGGACGTCGACGCGACCGTCGCCCTCGTCACCTGCGTGCTCTTCGTGTGTATCGAGACCTTGCAGGGCCGGATCGAAGCTGCCCTCCAGCTGTACCAACAGGGAGTGAACTTGATTCTACAGATGCGGGCGGCCTCGTCGTCGTCGTCGTCGTCGTCGCCGTTTCGAGAAAACACTATCGTCCCCTTCTTTCTCCGTCTGGGCACGGTGGCTCTCACCATCTCAGGTGTGCCCACCAGCGCCTTGTTGACGGCCATCCGACATCTGCCCGACGAGAAACAGGACTTTCATACTCTACAGGCCGCCCGCGAGGCTCTTGTACCCCTCGCCGCCGAGTCTCTGCTCTTCCAGCGCGAGGCCCAGGCCCACCTAGCGACTGTGGCGGACGATTCCCTCGATCACGCCCTACTCGTTCGACAGCATGCACTGCAAGACCGATTAGCAGCGTGGAAGTCCTCACTAACAGCTTTTCTCAAGTCGGACGAACACCAAGGTGTCCTTCAGGCAGAGAATAGAAGCGATCCCGCCGTGAAACTACTCCAAACATACCACGCCGCCGCAGAGATCTACGTCGCAACATGCCTGACCGTGCAAGAAACAGTGTACGACACTTACCACGCCCGCTTCGCAGAGATAGTCGCCTACGCCGCCGCCGTGCTCGACGCTTCAATTGACAGTGCAACCGGTGCGGCGCCCCCCTTCACCTTCGAAATGGGCGTCGGGCTGCCCCTGTTCATCACCGCGCTGAAATGTCGGCATCCGCTTCTCCGCCGTCAAGCCATCGCTCTGCTTCGTCGTGCCCCGTCAGTGCAGGGGTTTTACAAGTGCCCCCCTGGCGCTCTTATGGCCGAGACAATCATGACGGTAGAAGAGAAGCTGGCCGGCCTGACTTTTAGTAGTAGTAGCAGTAGCAGTAGCAGCAGCAGCAGCAGCAGCAGCAGTGATTATATCCCCCAACAAGCAAGGGTTCATGTCTTTGGCATCTTCCGCCCCTGTGATTCCCCGGATATACTCGGCGACCATGATCTCGGCGCGTGGCACAAGAGTCCAGACTCGTTGTTCTTGAAATATACGAGGTACGAAGGGGCAGGGCCGTTCAATCGGATAGAAGATATAGTTCCATTAGAATGATTTACTAGGTAGTAGGTACTATGGAGATTAGTGCATTATAGTATCATACATCGTATGTCGTGAGATGATGAGCCTTCTAGAAGACTCTTCTGGAAGGCCCTTCTAGAAAGCAAGAACAGCCTCCTTGAGTTTCTGGAAATTAGGCGTACCAAGACCAGTCACAGGGTCCCAGCCGACGGTGGCGTTCCAGTGGGCGCCCGGGATGGCCAGACTGCCGTTGACGTACTCGCCTGTCTGGGGGTCGACGTTGTCGCAGCCGATAGACGTGCCATTGATGATGTCGTTGAGGGCCTTGAATCCCTCCGAGTACAGCCAGGGGTTGAGGAAGCCCAGGGCGGGTTTGCCCGCACGCAGGCGCACGTCGTTGAGCAGGGCGACCACGCCGGCGAAGACGGGCGACGAGGCCGACGTGCCGCCGGACCCGTACCATTCGCCCTTGTACACGATCTCAAAGTCGGGCGTGAAGCTGTGGGCTGCCACGTCGGGGAACCCGCGCCCGCTGAAATCCGTGTATTGCCCGTAGTATTCCTTGGTTGCTGCCGACACGTATGTGTCGAGGTAGTGGTCCACGGCAGATGCCTGGTACCACGCCCGCGGGAAGTAGTACGAGAAGCCACCCGAGGAGTCGGTCCAGCCCACCTCCGGGCTGAAGGCCTGCGTGCCGCCCACCGCCGTCACGTACGGGCACGTCGCAGGGAAGATCGGGTTGAACTGGGGGGTCACGCCGTCGGAGGCCTGGCACGCAGATCCCACGCCCTCGTCACCGGACGACTCGAGGATACTGATACCGCGCAGACCCATCAGGCCAATCAGGTTGCACACGCGCTTGGCATAGTATTCGGGGACGGTCTGCTACTGTCAGCGAACCTTTCCTCAAGAAATGAAAATAGAGAGCTATTCTACCTGCTCATCGTCACCGTAGGAGTTGGTGATGACCTGGGGAACGGCCGAGTTGGGGCGGCTGAGGAGGTACTCGTAGTAGATCAGGTACGGCTCGTTCTCATCTTCCGTCGGCTCATCGGCATCGGGGATGTAGGGACTAAAATGTGTTAGTTTATTTGGGTAAGTGGTAGGTAGTGTATAAGAGAACTCACGCAGTGCTGCCGGTGATGTACTCGTGGATAGGCAGCGGGTGGGCGAGGGTTGCGATGAGTTCAGCGTCCAGGTCAGCCTCGTCGACATCGTCGATACCGGCAGACTGGTTGTTGACGCCACCGTTGATCAGCTCGACGGAGAAGGTCTCGACGGGGATGCTGAAATGCTTCTCGTACTGGACGAGATCGGCCTCGTTGGCGGTCTGGTTGAGGAAACTGCCGAAAGCGATGCGGCTGCCGGAGTTGGCGTCGGCCTCGTAGCCGCCCAGGCTGTACATCTCATAGATGCAAGACGGGGTGATGGAGGTCTCGCAGGGGGAAGCGACGGTGGAGGAGCTGCTGCGGGCCTCAAGGGAGCGGGTGCGGCTGGGGAAGTGGACGACCGGGGCAGCAGCCGCGACGGTCTTGCCGAAGTAGACGGTGGGGGAGATGAGCTCGATGTAGTCGACGAGGTCATCTGGGATGGAGTACTCGGTGGTGCGCAGCTTGGTGGAGTCGCCCTTCTGGTACCAGTCAAATGTGGTGTTGAGCATGGCGTTGACGGTCTCGACAGTGGCGGAGAAGTGCAGCAGACTGCCGCTGCGGGTGTAGGCCGTGACGCCGGCGCTCTTCAGCCAACTGACGACGGCATCGTCGCTGACCGTGGGGAACTCGGCCTCGATCTCGTCGATGTCGAGGTACTTGCCGTAATCCGCGGAACCGGGGGTCGACACCTTGGCCAGCTTGGACTCCAGCTGGTCAATGTTCTTGCGGGCCAGAGCCACAGACAGCGCCATGGTCGTGCTGTCGGAGGGAGTGTCGACGTACGACCAGCCGGCCGGGACACCGTAGGCCAGACTCTCCAGCACGACACCCAGCGAGGGGCCTGCCAGGGAGCACAGAAGTCCCGCGTAAAGCGTTGCAGAGACCATGATGAGCTGTGTGAGGGTAAGATCAGCACGCTTGAGGCGGGGAGGGGCAAGACGAGAGAGGTTTCCCAGGGAGTATTTAAGCTGCAGAGAGCTGTGCTACCCCCTCCTCCAACCCCCCGTTCAAAGGCCGACGGCGTCTCCGGAGCACGCATGATGAGCGATGACGATGATGAGGGCAAGGAAAGCATCCGATCTATCACAGTGGGGTATCATAAGTTAAGTCCATAGACACCCCTACCCATAGTAGTTAGTTAGCTGGAGAAGCTATTTAGATACTCCATAATTAATATACGAAGCACTTACTAGGAATCCTAGCCCGGTAGCAACCCGTTGTCCCGCTTAATCAAGCCGAGTCCATTGGTCGAAGCTCGCAGGCCATAGCCACAGACCAAGGCAAGGCCGGCAAGGCAGGCACAGCAGTCCTCCAGCTCACTCAGGAACGGCGTTACACCCAGGGTGGAGCAACCATGCTATCAGCAGATATGCAGCAGTCGGTACCTAAACGAGATGGATACACGAGATGAAGATGGACATGATGGCAGGGGCGGAGCAATCAGGGCGTGGGGTGGCGTGCCTGTCGGCATGCCTTGTCGGCTTGACGAGTGGGAGGAGATAAGCGTCCCTTGCAGCCTATTGCATCAATAACAGTCAGTACTAGTCAACTGCTAGTTAGACAAAGTACTTCGGCATACTTACTAGTTTGCCTTCATAATACTCACAGATACCCTCTTGAAGCTGAACGGGGACTCCGTACGGACTCCTCCGTACGACTCCTGTTGGGCTGGGTGAGACTCGGATAAGGCGCCGAGATCCTGTCCTCAGAACCTAATCTAGTCTAGCAGACGCCAGGAATTGCGGAGGCAACAAGAACCAGATCAAAATGCAGTATAACCCGCGTTCTTCTCTTCTTTTCATCGTGTCGGACGCCCGTGGGAGTCCGCAGGGAGTCCGTCTGTCTTGGAAGTTACTTCAAGTTAGCGTGTCAATCACACGACCTTCCCTTTTGGGCATGGTTGTTGACGATCTGCAACGGATGCAAACAAGCTTGAAGGAGTTAAGCTTGGCGGAACGGGAGAAAGTATCGGCCGGCCTCGAAGTTACAATCACAAATAAATATGACTAATACCTGACTAAGTGACTGACTCATATTTGACTAAGCTGGGTTGACTAATATATGACTAAGCTAGGTCAACACAACTGTTTTCTCTTCTCAAGTCGAAGTCGACGTCGACGCTTTAACATGTCCCACGCAGTCGCTGTTCTTCGTGGCCACCGCCTCTGCTATCGTTAGACCGGTGATCTTCTTTTTGCATGCAGGTATTGAATATTCACGTACCGTCCAGAGCAGACTGCGTGCAGATCGACTTGATGCAGTCGGTCGAAGCGTTTTGGAAGTCGCTGCTGTTACACATGCAGTCCAGGTCGTCTGCGCTGGTGCACTTGCTGTACTTGAGCGCCTGGTTGAGACACGACCACTGAGGGCGTTAGAAAGAGGTCAAAAGGACAATTGAGAAGACCACTTACAATGCAATCGTCGTCGCTCACTTGCTGCGTTGCAACAGTGGCCCCTGCCAGGGCGGCGACAAGGAGGATCAAGGCTGATTTCATGATGAAGTATCTGACTGAATTAACAGAAATAGCTACCAGGAGTCGAGAGTGAGCAACCGACTTGCTTTATACTGTGGAGGAGAATGGCTTCCCCCGGATGCGTCAAGAATGTGGGTGCGTTCGATTGCCCCTCGCATTCCTCCCAATTAATACCTGCAACCAACACTGAATCTGCGAGGAATGGACCATTGAACTAGACCATGACCATCGAGCTTGCAGTATTGGACCGATGGCCATCTGACACGATCCAGTGAATTTCTCGTTATTTCAGTCTAGACATCATTGTCGACAGACGTGTCGAATCATCAACTTTAACTATAAACATGCGATAAATCAATGTGCAATCAGATGAACCATGACAATAACACCAGAAGACAACACTTCCTACACCGTACACCGTACACCGTACACTCCTATTTATTCTCCTACTCCGTACCCCTTAATCTAGCCCGAATACTTGATGCTCAACTCCGAGTCGCTGTCAACCGTCACCTGGGTCAAGACCTTGTTGTTCTGCTTGATCTCGAGGATGGTGGCATCTGAAACACCATAGGTCTTCCCGTCTGCAGTGCTGGCCACGGCGCCCGTGAAGACCACGCTGTTGAAGTCTGCGAGGGCGACCTGCGTGCCGTTGCTCTCAAAGTCCTCGAGGATCCACTCGGCATTCTGGCCGCCCAGTGTGGCCGTCGCCGCCGAAGCGCTGAGCGTCTGCGTGGCCTTGACGCCCGAGCTGCGGTTCTCGATCACCGCGACTCCCTGGCTAGCCGAGGTGGCCTGCACGATAGCCACGATCTCGTCGCCCGCCTGGATGCCCAGGGAGCTAAAGTCGTAGGCGTAATCCGGGTACCATTCGTACCAGGCATCGTAGTACTTTTCCCCCTCGTAGATGTAAAAGTCCACGCCCGTCTGCAGGATCGCATTGCTGTACGTGTCGCCGTCGATGCCCACCCACGCCGACGCAGCCTGGTAGCTGCTGCTGTCCCCCGCGGCGGCGGTTGGTTCGGGAACAGTAAACGTGGCCGTCACCGCCGTGTACGTCGCGGCTGCAGACGGCGGTTTCTCGCGCACCGCCCCGGCCCAGTTCTTGCTGTACTCGACCGTCCCGGCGCTGCCGACCTTCTCCAGCAGGTTTGCATTGGCGATCTCCTCCCGGGCTGCAGGTTGGGACCCCCGTTGTGCTCGAGCGGCAATCCGGGCATCGACGCGTGTCTGCAGGGTGCTTTTGTGCGGCGCTGCGATAGCTGTGCCCAGGAGGAGAGAGAGAGTCAGCGAGACCTTCATTATAACGTCGTGGAACGAGAGATTGAGAGGGAACTAGAAAGATTGAGAGAGAATTAGAGAGACAGAGAGAAATAGAGACAGAGAGACTATGAATGAATAATAAATACCTTGAAGCTGTTTTCAACTGCGCGTGATGAGCGATTGCAACCGGCTGAGGGCGCGTGTCTATGGCAGCTGTCATGCCGAATTGGGAATCTGGATCCCATGTTTACCTGATGACATCGTCATGTATTTGTCAATAAGTGCCTATGGTAATCAGTAGAATAATGGTCATTCTGTATGTACATGTGATTGAATTGGTTATTATGGATAGTGTACAGTTGGAAAGAAGAATACCTGTAGCTATAGATGTAGCTGTAGCTGTAGATGCAAATGTAGATAATAGATAAAGAATAATAGATCCTAAATTACTACCAAGTGCCATGCTTATCTTGTATTAGACTTGAGGAATGCTGACTTCTGTTCTAACTGAGAGTGCCTATACTACATGATCAATGCGCTTCTAGTTGAAAGTTATACCTCTATACTACGAGTACATTCTATTTCTTACTATTTTCCTAATTTAATTCCTTACTCTGACCAAGTCTTATTATTTTGTTCTGTGATCTTGAGTAGAAGAAAGCCACCTATATAGTGCTGACCTAGAGGTTACCCAAGTCACTCAGTAAATACCAACTATCTGCCTATTATTTACCTTATAATACTAATAGTACTACTAGTAATAATACTAATAATACTAATACTAATAATACTGCATCTGCTGGACTCCACGTGCTGAAAGCGTCTCCCCTTGCCTCCTTCCGAAAACGGAAATCAGTCAACTTCAAGTCTATTCTTAGGCCAGGACTGGTTGCATAAAGTCATCTGTGATGTAATAGAATGTCGATCTAACAAATAGACAGGATAGATATGGGAGCTGGTAATTAGCTGGTCTTGAGTTGATTATCTTGCAAGACTAGGGTTAGGGTTATTCTACAGCAAGTATATCTCCATGACTGGCTTATAAATATAATAAGAAGAATATGTTTATTTATTATTTAAATCCTTCAAGAATAGTAATACACACTCTCTGTCTTATAATATTCTATGAGCAGGAGAGTAACTGCAGTAAAACTATTTCTACAGTTTAGTTATTAGCAGGCGACAGTCTAAGCACTATACCCAATACTTCTGTAGCATTACACGTGACTCCCCCCCCTCCCCTTCCCACGTCGAACCTCACAACAGACAAAAGAAAAATAAACACACCTCGTCATCTCCAGAATGGAGTCACCACCCAGCCGGGTATAACGCCACGATGCGGCTGATTCAATCCGCCCGGCTTACCCCAACTGAGCACTCGATCTGGAGAGCCTTTCTGGACGAAGCCGTCGACCCGGAATACGCTGCTCAGTATATCTGGGGAAGGATCCACGATCATTCCGGTCGCCCTGCGGAGCAAGTATTAGAAGAATTAAAACTTGACTGGAAGCAAGTGGTGAAGAAAGGTCAGTTGAGTCAGAATCTGATCCCGAGTCTCCGCTAACCACCAAAGTAGTGACCCAGAGAGACCAGGTTTCACTCGAAGCACAAGCTCTAGTCGAAGAGAGGGACAACTCGCATTGCTTCATGCTGGATCAGAAGCCATTGGATACAAGCAGGCACATTCGTTTCGATCATGCCTGGGTGATCCCACCGAGCCTTTTCGATGACCGTGACATGGATTCGCAGGTGGGTGTTGGTCTGGAATATAAATCTAACCAGAGATTGAATTCATCATGCTACTAGGGTCCTCTTTATGCCCTCCTGCAAGCGTTCTTAACCCCTGCCATAACCTCCGAGCTTCGGACCCTTCTGCAGACTGGCACCTCGGAATCTCGACTAAGAAACTTGTTCTTACTCTCTCCGAGCATTCATTCAGCCTTTCGAAATGGACATATACAGGTTTTCCCTCCAACCGATACGGCCGATCGTTGGAATGACGAGACCGAGACTAGAATCAAAACGGCGAGCAAAGTTTACGTCTGTACCTTGACTCTACACAACGAGTACTACTGGCTGACTTGGTCCTAGTATTTCGTCTCCAGACTGTTTCCTGAGCCCTGTCATTCGCTCTTTCTCAGCGATGGCAGCCCATGGGACCGGACAACGCAGATGTTGATCATGGAAACCCAGGACGCCAGTCTTCCTCTTCCAGATCCATTTTTATTCCGAACACACTTTCGTATTGCAGCCTCCTTGCATCTATTTCATGTTGAAGAACGAATCGCCGAGGGCTGGCCCTCGCCCCGATTGTGTATGGGTCCCTCTGATTCATACCATGACTCTCTACATATCACCTAGGACACCGAAGGCTGATTAATTGCTTTGATAGTCCACTTCGACACAGTAACACAAAAGACATTACGCTGTCTCTGGCATCTCGTCCCTAAGTTGATACGTGTCCAGTGTTACCGTGTGCTCCTGAAGTTAGGCAGCCACCTCTACCCGCGGTCTTTCACCGGCCTCGTGCACCGGTTGCCGCTCGGACTGTATGCGAAAGAATGCAACCCCTCTCCCTGCGACGAGGGTGAAACATTGCGTCTGGTGGAACAGTACACTTCGATCCCATCGCCCCTCTGGGTGGACGATTACCAGGGGACGCACCCCGTTCTCATCATGACGGCCGTGCCCGGACAAACGCTGGAGGCAGTGTTTCACCGACTCTCATACCTAGAACGGGAGCAGCTTTCGAGAGACTTGAAGACTGTTTTGTCACAGCTGCGGTGCGTCCCAAACCGGACCTCGTACGTCTTCGGCAACAGTCATGGCGGCCCGCTGAAAGATCATCGTTTCCCCTCTGGCACATGCGGTCCGTTCCACCTCATCTCTGAATTCAATGCTTTCCTCGTCCATAACTATGTGCGCAAAGAGACAAAGGACAAGATTTCTGCTGTCCACAGCCGTCAGTACCGATCTGTTTTTACTCATGCCGACCTCCACCCTAGCAATATTCTGATTGATCGTGGACGCCTGGCTGGAATTGTGGACTGGGAATGCGCCGGTTTCTATCCTGAGTACTGGGAGTTTACAAAGCTGATGTACGGGGCAGAACGATTCCCAGAAATCCAACAGATCATTCATGATGCGTTTACAGAGGATTGCTATGAAGAGGAGCTTGAGGCCGAGAGGCTACTATGGAATGACACACCGCCGGGCCTTTAGTTAACTGGATTCAGCATTACATAATTAAAGTATTCATACGCGACCTCAGACTGAAGGAGTGGAGCGCGAAACTTGTGAATCAATCAGTGCAATCGTAGATGATGAAAGCGGCGTCGAGCCAAGGCAAAAGTGAAGCTTTTCTCTCCTTTGAGATAACACAAATAACCATAGCAGACAGCTAGAAACGAGATAATTGAGGTGCCCCGTGAGCTGGAGGAGAGGAGAACTTGGTCTGCACAAAGACCTTCTGCATGCCCGGGGCACGCTCGTCGAAGAGCGCATACACCGTATCCATATCCTCGAGACGCACACGATGAGTGACCATATCCAGTGGATTGATTTCCTGCCTGCGAATCATTTCCAGCAGCTCTTCCCAGTATTTGTGCACCGGAGCCTGGCCGTTGCCGATCAAGCGAATCCCGGTCTGCATGACGGCGCCGATATTGAAGTGATTTGTCTGAAGATTAGTAGGTGATAGCATGGATATCATGACACCTTCTTGTACTTACATAACCTGCATAGACTCCCGTGAGACCGATTCGACCGAACGATCTCACGGAGGTGACCATCTCATTCAGCGTCTCCGAAGTGTCGGTCTCCAAACCTAGCATGATCTCCAGGGAATGCGTCCAGCCCTTTGCGAACTCGCCAGCAGTGCAATCCAAGCACACGTCGGGCCCTGCTCCCGTCATCTTCTTCAGCTGAGACGTCACCGATTCTCCGTCGGGGAGAGTGCCAAAGTTGAGGGTCTCGAGCCGCGGCAGTTTCCCCTTGACGAATCCCAATCTCCAAGCTGCGTCGCCCCCGTCGATCAAGATAACTCTGCCGGCGCCCTGCTGGAAGGAAAACGTCGCCACCATCTGTCCTATCGGGCCTGCTCCCCAGACCGCCACGGTGTCTCCCTTTTGCACGCCAGTGTCGACTACACAGTGGTACGAGGTGGCCAGCACGTCGGAAAGATACAGGCCTTTTTCGTCGGGCACATCGTCGGGAAGATGCAGCAGGTTTTGCTCGCCGTGAGGCACTCGAACGTACTCGGACTGGCCGCCGGCAAAACCACCAGCAAAATGCGAGTACCCAAAGATGCCTGCCGCAGATTATCAGCTTGTCTGGAAAGAATATTATTTGGCCTCTAGGTAGGCTCTATACATACCAGCAGGTCTATTGCCGTACATGACATTGGCGATCTTGTTGGCGTTTGTCCGCTCACACGCGGTGGTCAGCTTCTCTTTACAGAATCGACAGTCACCACAGGAAATAGGGAACGAGGCAACGACTCGATCGCCGACCTTGACGGTCCCGACGCCAGGACCAACGCTGTCGACGATACCGCAGAATTCGTGGCCTAGAACATCTCCTTTTTGAAGCTGCGGAATGACGCCTGAATCGTGAGCCTCTCTTCTCTTTTTCTTCTTTTCTCTCTAACATACCATGGTATAGATGGAGGTCACTTCCACAAATTGTGCTCCCTGTTACCTTGAGAATGACGTCGCCATCATCCACAATCTTGGGCTTGGGAGCGTGCACTATACGTGTTAACAGAGAGAAACCAGCGGACCAAAGAGATACTCACCCACTTTGATGCTCTTCTTCCCCTCCCACGTGGTGACGAGGATCTTTTCAGATGGATCTCCATGGCCAGGTTTACTATAATTGCTGATATCCGTATGGATATCGGCCGTGTCGGTGTGGCCAACGGCCTTTTCGACCAGGTTCGCAGCTTGAGAAAGGGCCATACTTATCAGAGGCTATATTGGACGATAGGTTCAGGCAAAGCAGACTTGAGCTCACTTAAGTAGATGGAATCCAGTTTAGAAAGAATTCAAGTATTCTTTGTCTTATTCTTGGTTCTATACATCTCACGATGATGTCATAGAATTAACTCTGTACCAGAGTATACAGATATACGATCTACCAATAAAAGCATATATATACTCATATTAGACATTCTTCTAGAAAGGAATCTTCCGAACCTCCTCGACAGTCCAGTACTTGCGCATATTCTCCGCCCTCAAGGCATGCACCTCATCATCCAGATGCGTCCAGAGCACTTTGCCAAACCCATCCATCAACCGTTGGACCTCGTCGCGCTGCAGATCTGCCTCTCCACACCGGCACTCCTCCAGGTAAGCCTGCAGCTTGTCCATCCCGGCATGGATCTCGCGGTGCTGTTCTAGCAGGGTCACTTTGGCGCGGAACTCGGGCATCCTGCGCGCCAGCACGGGGAAGATATGTTCCTCTTCAATACTGTGGTGGAGGTGTAGTTGCGAGCAGAACCCTAGCCCCGTCATGATCAGTTGGCGGGCAGACAGCGTGCCGGATTTTTTGCCCTTTGTGTCGCATGCATTCAACATTTGGTTCCACGTTAACCGGAAGTGATTGTGCTGGATAATTAGATAGAGCACTAAGGATACTAGATCTTTCTCTCGAATCTGTTTTTTATTTTTTTTTCTCACGTACGAATTGTTCCATCCCATCTGCGAGCCGGTTATAAGCTCGGAACTCGCTCGGAGAAAGCTTGGGCAGCTCGGTAGTCTGCTCGGTAGCGTTTGAAGCCATACCGATGGACGAAAATCGTAGTGGAACAGGAATGATCTGTCTACCGAGAGGAAACCGGCTCAGCTGGGGAAACCGCACTCGCATCGACTGTTTCTGAAGCCCAGATGATATAGAAAACAATGAAGAGCAACAGATTTCAAAATAGCAGCAGATCTCTGACTTGACAATAAGATCGGTTCTATCGGTGGTGGCAGGCCGACAAAAGCGAGAATATCTTGTCTGTGATTGGTCAGGTGATCGGTCAGCATTATAAAGCAATAGTATGGAGTACCCAGTGGTTACATACATACATAGGGATTTACTACATAGAAATGGATACTGGCGATAGCTCTTTACAATATATTTACAAATAAAGAGATTTGCATAAGGTACAAAAGATCAAATCAATTATTAGAATACATATTTCCATCGCCCGTTGCAAAAAAGAACCGGCCAGTACAGAAGATAGATAAATAAGATAGGGGCGAAAGGGGTAACAGTAGTGGTAGGTGGCATGGATCAGACAATTTATAACTCATAATTCCGTGACTCAATTAGAGCTCTTGGTGCAGAACCTGGCCGGCCATCGCGGCATCGCGCTCAGCAAACTGCTTCGGAGGGCGGAGATTGCCATTCCTAAGCTCTTTCCACGCGAGATCGAAGCGGGCGCCCATAGCCCAGGCGACACCAAGCTAAAAGGTTAGTAAAAAGAAATTATTGAAAAGGAGAAAGGGGGGGGGGGGGGGGGGCTTTACCATGACGGCAACAATGACAACCATGATGACAACCATCAAAGCCATCATGAACATGATCTCTTTGCGGGATTCGGCGTCTTCCTTGGCCCTGGCCTCGTCTTTAGCCGGGTTTTGGCCTTCGACGCGGCGCTGGGCATCCGCAGCGTTCTGAGAGGGGAAGATGACTTCGATGAACTTCTCGATCTGGTATAGTTGGTATCAAAAGGGAGTAAACAGGTAGAGAATGGGGGAGGTGTACCTTGCCACAGACGATGCTGATCTTCAAAAAGTTGGGGTCCTTGGGGCTGTTCTTCTTGTGTATCCGGCGGGCGTAGGTGCGGAAGGTGTCGCAGGCGACACGCAGATTCTGGGTCGACTCGAACATCAGCTGGCACGCCTCGCCCTTGGTGATCTTGACGTTGCGCTCGAAGATGGCGGGGTTGCGGAAGCACAGCTCCAGCGTCGCAATGGCCATGGTCTGGGGAATGCAGCAGAAGTTGAAGACGCTCTGCTCGCGCAGGCCGGCCAGATAGAAGATGCACTCGTCCATGTGCTCGAGGGCGTTGAGAACCATCTCGGAGCTGCAGTTCAGGGCCGCTTCGCGGTTCTCCAGCTTGAACAAATCCTCAAAATTGTCGACGTGCTTGGACCAGATCTCCTTGGGCCAGAACCGGCGGCCATCGTCCTCGTCCTCCTTGATGTCCCGGATGATGTTGGTCTTCTGCAGGAACAGACCCATGGACTTGTGCAGGCGCGGGCGCTTCAGCAGCGCCGGGTTGCCGAATTCGGCCTCAACAAAGAGCCGGGTCAGGCCCTCGCCAACCAGACCCGCGACGTAGTGGCAGTACAGGTCATACTCCTCGATCGTCTTGACGCTCGCGTCCTCCAGGGCCGCCTTGCGGCAGTAGTCGGCCATTCCGTTGCCCATCTTGTCCGTGATATCCTTGATGATCTCGCGGTAGGCGGGCTTGGTGTTCTTGAACTCGGCCACGACGTTGTGGAACTGAACCAGCAGCTCCCGGTCCTTCTCCTCCGGCCTGTTGCCCGTGAAGTTCCAGCCATCCTGCTCCAGGAAGTCCTTGAAGTTGCGCAGCAGCGGCTCCTTGGTCTCGAGCGGGATCGACGTATCGTCTTCGATCGTGTCCAGACCGCGCAGCACCAGGTAGAACAGACACACGGGCAGCAGGAGCTCCGGGTGCAGCTCCTTGATCACCGCGCTGAAGCTGCGGCTCGTCCGGTCGAGGAAGTGGAAGCACGCCTTCTGCGTCTCGGTGTCGTCCTTCTCATTGCGCTCGTGCACGGGATTATGCCACACCTTCCTACCAGCGCGAAAAACACGCCAGTTAGCTTTTGTTTACTCTCTCCTCCGTCCGTTTAAAAACCTAGTGGAAGAATTGTTGGGGAAAGGGGGGAAAGAGGGAAGAACCGCACCATTGGATGATCGCTCTCAGCTGCGACGGATGGAACGTATAGTAGATGGCGTTCGTCGCAAGACCCATTGTGACAAAAGCGGCTCTCGACACGATTCCAACAGGTCCAGGAGAGGAGAGGAGTCGGCGAAAAGACAGGGGAAAGAATGTGGGGGAGAAAGACCTCGCTCGAGTCTCCGGGACGGACACCGCTGGTGGGCCCAAGCTGGGATGTGCTGTCCACGGCCGGAAAATCAGTAATTCCCTGGCAATTAAGCGGTAGACCAGGATCAAGCCGGGGCCTGAGAGGGGATAAATACGGGGTGGAGGCGAGGCGAAGGAAGAAAGAGGCGTCTCTCGACTCAGGAGCTGGTGGCTAAACAGCTGTTCGTTACTTCGTACAGGATGGCTGATTTTCCCAGCGGCGAGGGATTTTGCCTCCAACGGCTAAAAGCAGCAGCATGGCGGCCTGAGGCTGCCAGGGCTGCCCAAAGGGGGATAGTCAGGTTTCGGATCGAGAGTCGGAGCGAAGCTTGGGCCCGCGTGGCTGCGGAACAGGATGGGACGGTATGTTACATGATCTTTGCGTGTGGGTACGGTAATCTAATCAATATATTACAGAACATGACCATACAGTATTGAAAGGTATTGAAAGAGAACCAAGAAAGCAACTCCCCGCCATGACGAAAGAGAATTCGTGGTCTGGCGGAGGGTCAAGAAATCGTTGTTTCCAGGCAGAGAAATTCCCTCTCTCGTCGGAATCTGGATCCCACGGGCTTTGTCTTGTCCTGTTGAATAGTTCTCGGACCTGAGCAGAGGCCGGGATATAGCGGTTTCGTGTGACTTTATTCCCAGCGAGCTTTGTTATCGCCCACCATGGTCGCCGACACCAGTTACTACGATGCCTTGGGCGTGCCCCCGACAGCCACCGAGCTGGAGATCAAGAAGGCGTACCGCAAGCTAGCCATTACGACTCATCCTGGTGAGAAATCGCAGAATTGTCTTTGGTTGAAGAACACGCTGTCTAATGTCTTGAATAGATAAGAACCCCGGTGACGAGACGGCGCACGCCCGATTCCAAGCGGTACGTGGATGGTCATTGAATAGAATCAGGATGTGAGGGGGGTATTGACTGGCTGGTCAGATCGGTGAAGCCTATCAGGTTCTCAGCAATGAAGAGCTGCGGACGCGTTATGACAAGTACGGCAAGGAAGATGCGGTTCCCGGTGGTGGTTTCGGTAAGAATGTACAGTTGCAGGGGAGATAAGAAAGATCGCTAACGAGACGCAGAGGATCCCTCGGAATTCTTCAGCATGATCTTCGGTGGCAGCGCGTTTGTCGATTTGATCGGTGAGATCTCGCTCATGAAGGACCTCACGGCGACCATGGACATCACGATGGAGCAGATGGAGGAAGAGGAGCTTGCTCAAGCGGCCGAGGAAAAGCTGCACATGCATGAAGAAGGCGAGACACCCGAACCTGCTTCTGCATCTGCTTCTGCATCTGCGTCTGCGTCTGCGTCTGCGTCTGCGTCTGCCGAAGCATCGCATGAGACCACTACGACTGCCGAGACCAAGGCGCCTGCTGCTGCTGCTGCTGCTGCTGCTGCGGAGAGCTCCGGGCGGACATCTGGAACCAGCACGCCGCGCCGGTACCTAGGCCAACAGGCGATCATGGACAAGTCCGAGGAAGAAGCGCGGATGGAGGCAGCTGGACTGTCTGCGGAGGAGAAGGAGCTGCGCAAGAAGGAGAAGAAAAAGGGGGGCCTGTCGAAGGAGCAGCAGGAGAGGCTGGCGGCGTACGAGCTGGAGCGCAAGAAGGCGCGCGAGGAGCGGGTGAGCACTCTGGCGCGCAAGCTGGTGGACCGGATCAGCGTGTGGACGGAGACGGACAAGGGGCCCGATGTGACGCGGGCGTTTGAGGAGAAGATCCGGCTGGAGGTGGAGAACCTGAAGATGGAGTCGTTTGGGCTGGAGATCCTGCACGCGGTCGGGGCGACGTACACGCAGAAGGGGACCTCGTTCCTCAAGTCGCAGAAATTCCTGGGCATCTCGGGCTTCTTCTCCCGGCTAAAGGACAAGGGCACGCTGGCCAAGGAGACATGGACGACCATCTCGACGGCAATTGACGCCCAGATGACCATGGAGGAAATGGCCAAGATGGAGGAACGCGGCGGCGACGACTGGACCGACGAGAAGAAGGCAGAGTACGAACGCAAGGTGACGGGCAAGATCCTCGCCGCCGCCTGGCGCGGCAGCAAGTTCGAGATCCAGAGCGTCCTGCGCGAGGTCTGCGACCAGGTTCTCGGAGACAAACGCATCAAGCTTGAGAAGCGCATCGAGCGCGCGCACGCTCTAGTCCTTGCGGGGAGCATTTACGCCAAGGTATTTTCCTTCATCATTAGCTCTTCTCTCCAACATTCTAACTATTGACAGGCCGAACGCGACTCCGAGGAAGAAGGCGACTACATGGCTTTTGAACAGCTGATGGCCGAAGCCATGTCCAAGAAGGGCAAGAAGGAGAAGAAGAAGCACGAGCATAAGGAGGAGCAGTAGTAGCAGCGTATAGACATAGTACAACTTTATTTTCATACATTCAGTAAATGCCAGGTGTCGAACTACCACTGTAAAAGGACCTCCCGACCAGCATCCAAACCATGCGAACAGAAGTAAACCATGGCACTCCTCCGGTCGGCATCGAACATGGGGTAAAAGTGCGTCAGACGCGCACAGGAAGGGACATCGGCACAGGTGTGCGGGGAGAGGACCAGTCCCTCCTCCTCGATGGCGATCCATTGCTGCGCCATCTCGGCCACGACGCGACTGTTCCAGACTCCCTCCTGGACGGCGGCTGCGCGGAGGACCTGTACGGCGCGACGGCGGATGGCCGGGTCGCGACAGCGCGCGGCCGCGTTGAACATGCACCCCGTTATACCTAGATCGAGGGAGAAGCTCGTGCCCGACTCCGTGGTAGCAGTAGTTGAGAGGAGCACGATGGATTCGCCGATCTGCACCATCTGGTCGAACAGCGGACAGTACCTGTCCCATTTGACTTGGTCGGCGTCCGTCGCATCGCTCAAGTCATCGCTTTCCCGCAAGATATCTAGCGCGATGTAGCAGTCTATTTTGCGCATCTGGAGGACCATCGCGCCCCGGCGGTCCCGGTCGGTAAGGCTCTCTCCGCGCTGGCGGAGGAAGACGTCCAGAGCTACAGACCATTTGGCCAGGAGGGCCAGCGAGGTGTCGCGGAGGGTGGCTGGCGAGACGGCACAGCTGGGGGGGTGTAGGCCGCTGCCGCTGCCGCCCTTTTTGTCGTTCTGGAGATTGGTGTTGTGGACGCGGTAGTGGTAGGTGTACAGCTCGAGCATCTCGCGCGCCTCGGCGAGCGAATGGAAGACAACAGGGCGGGACAGATCGATAACCAGCTCGGGCCAGAGGTTGGAAAAGTTGGATCCGTTCATGTGTCGGACGGTCTGAAGTTCAGAAAGAGAAGAAAAAGAAAAAGCAAGTCCACTGGATATCACTTACCACCATCGCTTGTGCTTCGAGCCGGGTAAAAAGTCCGCACAAGATATCGACGGGCACGTACGGGGTACGACTCGCGCCCGAGACGGCCAGATACGAGGACAAACTGGGCACCGTGTTTGCCTTGAACTCGCCGAGGATCTTGAGGCCGCTGGTGATGTGTGTGATGGCGGAACCGTAGTACCCTCGCATTGCCTGAAAAATTAGCTAGAAGAATGGAATGTTCCCTCTGGTGTGAATGAATGAATGAATGAATGAAGAAGAAGACAGAAAGAGGTACCTCGAAACAAGCAAACAGAATACACGAAACCAGACAGACATCAAGAGGCTGCGAAGCCCCGTGGGCAGGCATGAGACAACGCATGGCACGCAGGTACTGGCGCAGAGCGAAGGAGGAGTGGGCGGTCATCTGGCCGGAGCGAAAGGGCGCGCCCTCGTCGCGTTCAAAGTGCTCGTGCAGCGAGCCCAGGGCGACGGTGACATGGCGGATTGCCGGTTCGTGGTGAGCAGCCTGCAGCAGCAGGCGTTCCCAGAAGGCGCATTTGAAGTCGCCGGCGAGCTGGGGGGCGGTCCTGGAGAGGAAGAAGTGGAACGAGCGGCGTTCCTGGTCGGAGGTGAAGAGGGAGGTAGAGGGGGAGGGAAGTAGGAGTAATGAATTAAATGATGCTGGTGGTGATGGTGGTGATTGTGATGGTGGTGAAGATTGTGATGGTGAAGCTTGAGTCGAATATCCGTCGCATTTCCGGCCGGTCGACGTGCAGCGCAGACACGCCGGGCGCTCCTCGCCACACTTGACGCGTCGTTCTGAATAGCTTTAGTTTATTTGAGCTGTTTATTATTATCGGACAAGTTCTCACTCCTGTTGGTCAGTTACAGCCACTAATTGACGCGGAAGACGGACTTGCAGGTCGAGCAGCCAGTGCGTGTCTTGGGGCGAAAAGCCCGTTTCCTGTCTTCAGGCGCTACTCGGGGCATGAGTCGAATGGATAGAATACTGGAATGATAGAATGGAAGATAGAATGGAAGATAGATCGAAGGTAGATCGAAGGTAGATCGAAGATAGATTGAAGGTAGATCGAAGGTAGAATCGAATGAAGGTAAGGATGTGGGGGGGTTTGTAAGCAGATTATATGGATAACAGGATAAACTTGTATATAAATATATAAATGAGTACAATCTAAGTAATATATGGGTATCCAATCTAGGCAGCAATCAAGCAGTATGCAGAGTTAGGCAGCATAAGCAGAGTTAAGGAGTCTCGCGAAGCATCTGGCAATTCATCAGTATCTGGCTCACATCTTCACTACCAGACGTACCGTCTCGTCTAAGAGGCTCGCCTTGGTGGTGATGCCCATCTTCTTGCGCAGCTTGCGACCCGGCATGTCGCTGTCCTTGCCCGGCATGATGCGACCGGGATGAAAGACGTTCAGCAGGACGAGAGCAAACAGCATGGGCAGCGAGTCGAGACAATACTGGAACGCTTCGTGGCGGGGGATCGACGATTTGATTCCTTGCGAGTATTCGCACAGTCGGAAGACAATACGCAGCTGAAGTAGTCGTGGTTAGATAGGAGAAAATAATGGAAGAAGAAGGAAAATCTCACTGTGATCAAAGCGAGACAAGCGTAGAGAACGTATAGCAGAACCAACGCCTGTCGAGAATCATGACGACCCTGTCGGAGGATCTTGCGGTGGAAGCCAACCGCACAGCCGATAAACACCAGGACGAACAGCTGCTGGACTCCCACGCCGGCCATGTAGATGTGCAGGCCGGTCATCATTGTGTTGTACGAGACGTTATTTCCCGATGCCTGAGCGGCGCCATAGACCTGAACAACGAATGCTCTAGAGATAAGGGATGAGAGATTAGCGAGACCATTCAGACCATTCAGACTATTCAGACCATTCAGACTATTCAAGACTCAGACTTGGACGTACATGACATCCAGAATGACGAAGAACATGCCGAACCGCCACGGACGGATGCGCACGAGTCGCGCGTCGTCGGTGAAATTCCACACCATGCGTCCCATAACCATGTACACGAAGGCGTTGGTCCACAGCGGCGCGACCAGGATGATCACAAACCAGGCGGCGTAGTCGGCGTAACTGGCGGGGGAGAGGATGCTCAAGACGCGGAAGATATAGGTGACCGTCTGCATGATGGCGGACATGGCGATGACCCAGCAGTAGGCCTTGCGGTGGAGGATGGCTTGAGCGAGATGGGCGACGGCTGTGATGCCGAAGAGAATGAGGAATAAATATGCGGCGGCGATGGAGGGGCAGAACGCCCACATCGTATCGGCGGTTGAGAGGGCTGGAAATTGGTATTAGTTATGGCTTAATAATTAGATATAAGATGATACTACCTTTGCACTCTGCCATGGTGAAGTTGATGACTGGTTGGTAGTTAGTATATGGTACAGGGAGAATTTATACCTAGTATTTATACTATTGACATTGATTGTACATACGAGATGATGGCTTCCAATTGGCCAAGTCGTATGGACAGTCCAATCGTAGGTGATTACGTATACTATACGGAGACCATGATTAAACTGACGGCGGTAGATGGCTGCCTAGAGTCTCTAGTCTGGAGAGAGTATTTCTGACTGAAGAGAGTATTTTTAGAGGAGATACAGTACTATCTCCTCTGTACTATCTACTCAGGAACACCATCCCCCACTTGATGCCCCGTGGTATAATTCCCAAAACAAGAATACTGGTACTCCGCCTCCTCATGCAGCTGGGGCACCCCCTGCAAGAAATCCTGCAGCGGACAGAACCCCTGGCTGGAATTCGCGCAGCTGGCCAGCCCGTCGAGCGGAAGGGGAGCATTGTTGAGCACGAAGCGGAGGTAGTCGGTGGTATTCGGCGTTGCCGACAGGTCCGGGTTGCGGTAGAGCACGGGGGCCAGCTCGTCGAACGAGACACCCGCGGGACACGTCCAGACCTCCGAGGCCAGACGGGCGCCAAAGGGGGTCATCTCGTTGAGGTGGAAGGTCCGGGGTTCGGGGGCGTGAGCGACATCCTCGGGGAGGCCATCTGGCCCGTAGCGAAAGTACGACAGGCCCAGCGCGGTGAGGACGGAGAGGATGATGTCGTCGTGCGACATGTCCATGTACAGCGGCTGGTGGAGGGGGAACTGCGCCGTGTTGTCGTCGTAGGTGTAGTTGATGCTCGTGTCGCTGGCGAAGATCAGCTTGGCCTCCAGCCGCGCCGCCAGCTCCAGCACGTATCCGATCCCCTGCGCGCGACCGGAGGGCGACCCGAAGCCGTAGTCGCCGTAGAACTGCAGCTCGATCTGGTACTCAAAGTCGCGCCATTCCTGCTCCGTGAACAGGCTGCAGAAGGCCGAGGCCCCCAGCGTCGCGTACTCGTACGGGCACAGGTTCTGCATCGCCAGCACGTCCGCCGTCGTCAGGTTGAAGTCGGCCGGCAGCAGCGCCGACAGCCGCGCCAGGGCATCCTGCGTGTATCGCGGCACAAACACCTCCGCCGAGTCATCGCCCTCCGACATGTCGCCTGGACACGAGTCGTAGGAAGCCAGCGTGTTGTTGTAGGGGTCCGTCTCGGGGATGATCACCAGCTCGTACAAGTCGGCCGAACTGTTCGCTCCAGCATTTCCAAAGAAGCCGCCTAGACGCCTAGTATTAGTAAAAAACACAAGAAAAAGAAACAAGAAAAAACTCACTCAACCACCAGCGAGCACTCTCCAGAATTCTCGCCTGCGAAGTGGTGCGAAAGACCGGCTTGGGCCTCGCCGTCCCGTTGGGAAACACGTTCAACGACTCGTTCCACGCCGCCATCCCGGCCCCGGCCCGGTACAGGGCGCGCCCGTACTGATCCCAGTGACCGGCCCCCGAAGTGGCCTCGGTGGCCGCACCGCTGGCAAGCAGCGTGTCGGTGCCCATCACGTACTCCCAGTCCGCCAGGAAGGCCAGCGCCCCCCTGCCGACCGTCACGTTCGGGTGTGCCGCCGCGTACTCGACCAGCTTGGAGTTGAAGGCGGCCATCCCGTCGCCGTCCAGCGGGTACGCCGTCGGGTACCGCTGGGCGTGCCGGTGCAGGACGTGCACCTGCGACAGCTCGCAGCCCCGGGGCACGCCCTTGGGCAGTCCGAAGCCCGGGGAGTCCTTGTAGGGGCTCAGGTTCGCCCAGCTGGTGGTGATGTCGAACCCGGAGGCGTACACGGCGCCTGTCGGGGCGGGCGACGGAGACGACGGCGAGGAAGACACTGCGGCCGCCTGCAAGGCGAGAGCCAGCACAACAAGGAATTCTTGCATTGTGAGTTGTCAGTTGTCGATTGTTGAGATTTGATTATGATTCTGGCTGGGTACTCCGTATTTAAGCAATTAAACTCATTAATTAAAAAAAATTTAAAAAAAAAAAAATCTATGCAAGGGATGGACAATCAGATTACCCTGAACAGATAAGATGCGTCATTGGTGGAGAAAGCTAGTAGACTAAGAGAAAATGGAGGGGAGCCTTTCTCAATAGTGGACTGACAATAGACAATAGACAATAGACTCGCCGCTACTCAGCCACGGAAACGGCACAGAGCCCCAAATGCGCCCACACGTTGATATACACGTGCCATGGCAGGGCAGAGCCATTCGTGAAGACGGACCAGGCCGGACACGGCTCGGCAGGAAGTCGTCCAGATACGAGCACCAGAGTCAAGTATTCTAATAACTATGCCTAACTTGATCATCTGATAAGATCTACCTAATTCCTAGTAACTAGACCATGCATAAATCTAGATTCTGGACATCTTTACTGTCTGCAGGTAGTCTATTACTCAACAATAAAATTGAGATATTAAGCCATCCTATAAATGATGATAATTCATACAGATATATTTATAATAGAGTGTTGATTATATCTATAGTAAATAGGGTATTATTCAGAAGGTCTTTAATAGGTTTTAATTACAGACGGCTATAGTGGATAGTATCTAACATCAGATACAGCTTTATCCCGTACTCCTAAATTACTTATAATCAGGCCTAACTATAAGCTTCTCATTGCCTAGGCTGTACTTACCACCTGATTACTCTACTCTGAAGCTATAAGTAAATCAAATGAGTACTATTTGTACTATCAAGTCTGAACATATAGCTCCATAAGTCCTATATATTCACTATCACAGCCAGTCTCCATGAGAACCATGTGCCCTCAACAATTAGAAAACTCAAATTCAGATGAATTCCAGGGAGATACATATTAGATATCTCAGTTATAAATTGACGTGAGCCCATCGTAGTTGGCAATATCACGCTTATTGTAAATAGATGCCTTATGTTCATAAGGCTCCTCGGTCTCACGTTTGATGTAGATGGATGTTGCATGTTCATAAGGCTCCTCAGTCTCACGCTTGGCGTAGATGGATGTTTCATGCTCATAAGGCTCCTCGGTCTCGCGTTTGTTGTAAATAGATGCCTTATGTTCATAAGGCTCTTCAGTCTCGCGTTTGTTGTAAATAGATGCTTTATGTTCATAAGGCTCCTCGGTCTCGCGTTTGTTGTAAATAGATGCCTTATGTTCATAAGGCTCCTCAGTTTCGCGCTTGACTTCAGCAGCCGAGGGGGCATCACGGTTTGCAATTGGGGATCCGATCACGGATGTGGCCATGATGGCGGCGAGGAGAGTTATAGTAATCTTCATGATGGACTGGGAGGGCTTTGGGAGTAATGAAATTTTGTCTGATTCTTTACTTCTCAAGGAGACTCGGTTAGACAGAGAGGGTGTAGTGGGCAACAGATTATCAATATAATGTATACTTATATATATGATCACTTGAATTAATTACAAAGCCTGCAGTGCCCCCAGCATTAGAAAAATCCCATGTTGACCAGATTTTGACGATGCGTTGACCACTGATTCTTTGATTCTGGCCACAGATAAGTCTGACCCTGGATGATGATTATGTGTTGTTGACTCAATATTGACAGGCAATGAAATCATGGTTACCAGCACTCTCTTTTTTCTTTTTTTTCTATTTAAAATGTAATGTATAGAAGAGAAAGCACAAAATAGTTTATACGGCTTATCATGAGGGCCTCAACATGGTTCCGCAACATCTCAAATAAGCACAACATGATTCCCCAAGACGAAGAGAAAGATACGGAAAGACTCCTCAAGAGTGACCTTGATCAATTGTCTGACGTTTTTATCGCGGGCTCTCAGCGCAATGATCCATCTCTTTTCTGGTCCAGACTGGCGACCAATCTTCTCTGTGTGTTGATTGCGCTTGTCGCGTTTGTCGCAGTTCTGTTATTATTGACCTATACAAGAGGTTCACAATGTTTTGGCACTTATGAGAAAGGTTTCGATACTGACCTCGGTAAGAGTAACCCCTGCACACACCAGGTCTTGGCTAGATGATGTAAAACTAATTTCACATTTGTCCATAGCTGTTGCCAAGGGGGAGATCGAATTGCAAAAAGTTCTCTTCACTGGAGGCATACATTTTAATGCTGATGGAAGTGTTTATATCCAAGACGCCTCTGGACCAAAATATGTGGGGATTCCCGAGCCTGCCATTGATAAGGCATGGGATGAGTTACTGAAGGGTATGTGTATACCTATATGCTTTTTGGGCATTTTTTTGTCATACACTGACAGAAAGCGCCCCCTTTATATCCAGGTCAAATCGTGAATTTAGACGGGTCTCAGGTCCCAGATATCAAGGACAGGACCTATTTCAATCCACAGTACCAGGCCTACGAGACTGGACTGGATGTTTTCCATCAACTTCATTGCATAGTATGGCTCCTTTGGCGATCTAAAAAAAAATTCCTGGCGAATTGTACCTTAACCATCTATCTAGAACCGTATCCGAATGTCTCTGGATCAGGATTACTATGGCCCATTGGACAAAAGTCCGCATGGAGCTAGGGTTCACCTTGGTTTGCCACTCGATTTCCTTCTTCGTTTGTTGTCCATAATATCTCTCAATGAGGAGTAGCTAACCTTCTCTTGTGGCGGTAATTAAGACCATTGCCTTGATTACATTCGCCAAAGCATTCAGTGTAGTGCGGATATGACACCTGTCATCATGTATTATCAACCTCTAATCAATATGTCAATGGTAAGTTCTGTTTTTCTCCTTATTTAGGAACCTGAGATAAACAATAGCATGGAATTATTACTAAATGTAAACTGATTTTAGCCGGCATTTGAACAAGTTCATACTTGTCGAAATTGGGATAAGTTACATCAATGGGCTCACTCAGCGCTAATGGCAAGGCCTAGAGAGTGAAGGTATATTGGGAATTGTAGTAATTAGTAGTCTTCTCATCCCAGCCAAGTGACCCCTCCTGGTGTATATCTATATAGAAGGCATGCACTAGTGAAGTAATGAAATATATGGAGCAAAGTGCAAAGCACAAAAGAGGAAAATATAAGAAAGATATAAGAACAATGAAACAACATCTGTTCCTATGTAACTGGGTGAGATCTTCCAGTCCCTCTGGAAGAACCCTAATCCAGGTAGATTCCCAAAACCATCTTCAAAACAATGAGGATGCCTGCATGATCAGGGACCTTGAGTCAATCTACCAACAGTTTCCTGAAGCTATAATCGTTGTATATGTTTGTTTTCATGGAATAGACCTCTTAAGGCGCCAGCAGATGTGGCTTGGATCTTAGGTCATTTAGGGTTTGTCCCTGATAGAGCAACCTGCAGATAGATCTGCTGCGCTTATCATAAGCAAAACCCTTTAATATGCAATCCGGAAATTAATCATGGTATACTTACTAGGAATGGTTTCTAGGGCTCCTTCTAGTGGCGATGAAGGGAAACCACGCGGTGAGTGGTGGTGGTGGTGGCGGTGGTGGTGATATTTGAATGTGGCAGCGCGTTGGAGTTATCTAGCTCAAGACTACGGAGTATAACTATATATAAGTAATAGATCAACAAGAGCTGGTGTTTTAGCAAATTGACTCAATCTTTCCGCCTGACATCACAATTTATGCTGATTTTATTATGTGGAGTAGATTCCTTAGTTATTGCCTGGAGATCTATAATATAATACAAGCAGTGATACGGCGACACCCTCTCCTTCTATATAAGGGAACTCCTCTGCCATAGAATCCAGGTCTCAAGGCAGTTAGCACCAAGTGCTCAAAGCTATATAACTTTTATTATAATTTATCAACTTCTGCCTTAATTGTAAGGCCGGTACCGACGCCGCCCTACAACCCACCTGACTAAGCACACCTCGCGACTGTTAGTCGACGTTGGGCACCGGTCGGGCACCCGTCAAGTACCCCGCTTAGAGTTGGGATATATACCATTCCCCCAGATAGACAATAGGACCTCAAGCACTTCGTCTTGTTCTCTTATCAGACCTACCATAGACTTCTCGTATCCCTAGACCTTGCTGTTATCCAGTCGTACCGACATCTCACCTATCAACCCCCAAGCAGTGCGAGGTCACTGCTTACATTAATCCCTGCCTTAATTACTGCGTCGATTCCTGCGTCAATTCCTAGGTCATTCCCATGTTGATTCTAGGGCGGTTCCAAGGTGATTCTCTAGATGATTACTATATTGATTGCTAGGTAATTTTAGGTAATTTTAGGTAATTCCTGTTTAATCCCTATATCAATTCAAGTCCTAAGATTCCGTAGTTATAACTACAGAGTACTAATAGGTTAGAGAACTTAATAGATCATATAACTCTTCTAGCTGGCCCAATACCTTAATGCCTAGATTATAGGGCAGAGAATTCCCTTATAAAGAAGAGAGGTGTCGCTAAATCTCAAAGGGCGTCCTTAAATCCTTCAGGGCGTCCTTAAATCCTTCAGGGTGTCGTTAAATCCACAGGGGTGTCGCTGTAACACCAACAACACGGAGCCGCGAGGCCAGAATGTAGGGTACTCCATATAGAGGTTTTCAGGGAGGTGAGAGCTGTGATCTAGGTCTCGGTCGCCAAATTGGAGACTAGGTAGCGACTCTGAAAGAGCCTTGAACTGGGCTGTAAGAGGATAATTGCGAGATACATGCATACATACATACATTAGTATGGAGTACATGAGGTATCACTGTATCAACGCTAGCTGCTTATGTTCAATTGATCCTTGGAGTGATTTAACAACCTTGTAATCTACATATGTGTGTCTCACTTCTTGAATGTGTACAAGATAAGCGGGAGTTCTTTCATTGGGGACTGAGATTAAGGAAAGACAGGGGGGCATGTCCATGGAATCGTTGGTCAACCCCTCCATACACTTACACTTAAACCCAATTGAAATACGTCGTATTCAGCCAACGAATCCTTGAAATATAACCAGGGTCCGATTTGGTTGAGACATTTCGCGCTTGCAGGGGTGTGCAATAAAGTACTGATTTGATTTCGGGAATATAAAATTAATGGCCTATTATGTAGCAGGGTTGGCCTTTGATAATCATGTTATTTGGACTTTAGATTGCGTCAAGTCCACTAGATACTATTTGCATTTTATAATTACGATACCCTTGATATTACGGAGTATAATCACCTCATTAGTAACAGAATCTCAACATCTTGTTTTATCTGGTGCTTTTCTCCCCAGGGGTGGCTGTCATTCAGCCTACTAGGATTAGGGTATGGTAGTTACACTTCCTAGTGTACCTACTCCATACTCCGTACCGCCGCTGGCTGTGTAAATCTCCAACAGAAGAAGTACTAAATAAATGAGTACTATTGGCAGTCAATAGGGGGCTAGCTAGTGTAGGATTTCAGGTCCAGGGACTGCAATTCCAGGATCGGGGGTATCACGGAACCAACTTGCGTAAAGTAGTAAGCAAATTGGCAAAATTCGGCTTTTGACTAAGTGTATTCATCGAGTCAGTCTACAATAAACTCAATCAATAGGCTGACGATAGCTACTAGTCACCTGCGCGATGGCCGAGGTTACCACGCGGGGTGGCAAAGAAGGATAGACTGGTATAGGGAACGTTGCGTGTAATCTAATCACTGATGCAGGGAGCGAGTCATGCCTCGCAGTTCAATTCTTATAAAGGGAGTATGTATATCCTGTGGATAGATACAGCGCTGGCAAAAATGGAGTCTTCTGAAGTAAGTGCGACCCAAGTAACTCAGATGGATGGTCTTAACAATAAGAATAAGAACCAGAGCGACAAAACCCATCACCGACGAGCCCAATTACGAGACTCTCAACGTAAACACCGTCAGAGACAACAAGACGAAGTCGAGAAACTCAAAATACAGATCCAAACTCTAAAGAAGATCTTGCGAAATGTATATGCGCAAAGGGAAAAGCTACAAGGGGTGATCTCGGACTTCTTCTTGCTGGAGATCTCACGACAGAAACAGCAGCAGCACGGGGGGGGGGGGCGACAATGGCTGCTGCTGTAAGTCAACCGCAACAACGACTTTCGAACCGGAGAATCAGCTCTGGGGTACCTTGAGTATAGAAGATCTCCTCTCAGCGGCGACTGAAACAGCGAACTCTTCATACGACTGGGATGCCGATATATCAAGTCTAATTGCCTCTGGGCAATCAAACGATGGAGGGACCAAGATGAAGGAGACAACTTTGGGTGAGAAGGATGAGCAGATGATGACTGCAGACCAAGGCCTTGCAGATGATTATATAGATCTTTTGGGTTTATTCAGTGAACATACTTGATTCTATACCATCATATCAAATCATCTTTATTGCTGGTATTTAGTAGCGCTCGCTCTCTGAGAGGTCAAAATATGAATGGATCAATAGTTATCCCCAGTATAAAGGGTAATGCGGCAGACTATACCAACTTCTCTTTCTTTTCTGTCTTTTCTATTGTTTGTAGCAACAATTATAAGTATACCTAGGTATTCTATCCCAATGACTGATCAGTGTACATGCGCCATGTCATGTCTTTTCCAGGCATGCTGAGATTCAAATTCATAGATGGCATCAGTATCGCGGCAAATATGGGTCGTCCCCAGTCCATTCACTGCATAAAGCAGCTCTGGGCCCGAGTCATCGAATGCATATCGGTCAAGGGCAGTGTCGCCCGCACAGAGAATTGCCTATTATTGATATTTAGTCAATGAGTCAAGAATGGTCCATCATGAAAAGGAAGATCAATCTTACCTGTCGAATGTAATCAAAGCAATGATTAAGATGATCATTACTGATCATCTCCTCGGGCATACTGGTGCCCGCCACCACTTTCCCTTGGTCATTGACCCTCATCAGGGTGTCACGCATCATGATCTGTTCGCTGTCAGTTGCAAGATTCTACCGTTGATCTCGTTGGGGACTTGCAAGACAATGAAGTTGGTGAAACATTGAGATCACATAGATCTCAGTCTCATTTTCTTTGCGTGGCTCTCGGTATAGCTCTGGCGTTGGAGCATTGGTTTCGACATCGAGAGGCAAGCCACCCGTGATATTGTAATATCTTGGATTAGTGACTTTCACAAATCCGAAACTGCCCTCTGAACAGGTAGGTCATTAGATGAATGATTGGTAGACGACTCCAGGGGCTTGTTTTAAGCGACAACCTACCTGGCAGGAGTTTTGGCCACGGTGAATTCTCCTGGGCCGGTACACTGTGTTCGAATTCACCAGCTCGAAAGAATGTGACTCTTCGGTGCTTGACTGGAAACAAAGGTTATCTTGGCTATCAAAAACATGGTCTTGACACAGACAATTACTCACACATGGGAAAGAATCTTTCTGATCCCAGTTCCACTGGCTTGCTTCGAGGATACTGTACCATGCCGAAGATCAAACCGACTACTACAAAGCAGGAGAGAGCCCAGAATGCTCGTTTATAAGAAAAAACCCTGTTCCATGGACGTGGACTTATTTTTTCCTCCCAGTTCTGTTCATCATTATCATCTTCGTTCCCGGACAGGGGCCAGTATGTTGGCAGATTTTCCTGCATGGTCATATCATAAACAAATATATTACTAATCTACCGACCAAAAAATAGCATAAAACAATGAACAGAGCGTTTTTAAGTTATGTCTAGTCTATTGTTAGTTGACAGGATGTTGAGTCAACATTGTCCACAATCTAGCAAGGTCAGTTGATAAAGCTAATAGTTACAACTTACAGCTTACAACAGACGAACAGCTTACTAGTTGTATTAACCAGGGAGCTTCCTTTCTCCCCGAGTACCCCTGTCCTGGCCTGTCTGGTTCTTTAGCCGATATGAACTATATTAAGCTATAAGAAGTTCTTTGTTCCTGCTGCACCCCTTTACAACACAACCTCTCGACTTCTCTCGACACCATGTACGGGGAAAATTCTCTCTGTTTACCTTACTCGCATCGAAATTCAGTTGATGCTGGCCATGGCACTGACTGGGATTTTATCTTTCAGTCTTTGCTAATCTGTGGTCCCTCGGTTGTCTTTCTTCTTTGTGCACCATGGACATGTCTTCAGTTGCGCAAAGAAAGCATCAAAGTTCGCCAAAACTACAGAGGTTTCTTGAAACTGGTATGGAACTGGACCACCTGTCGAGAACACTTGCTGATCTTCTAGTTGACGTCCTTGGTGCTTCTTGCGTTGCAATTATCCCGTCTCGTACTCGAACTTCTCGCAGACCCCCATTCTATTCGTTATGTCTCGGCGACAGCGCTGGAGTTTGCGTGCTCCCTTGCCATTTCCTTCCTCTCGTTTGTCCATCACGGTCGATCTATCAGTCCTTCCGACCTGCTCAATGTGTATCTGGCAACCTCTATCGGCATCGACATCGCCAAAGCAGTGCTCTTATCCATTACTACTGCTCACGAGTGCAATGTTTCAATGCTGAGTATCGCTCTGATGGCAGTCAAGACGGTACTCTTGGGGTTGGAAACGCAGAGCAAACGGTCCATTCTACGTGAGCCATGGACCAGCCAGAACCTGTCCTTCGAAGAGACAGACGGTGTTTTCAGCAGAATCACCTTTTGGCGGGTCAACGCCTTGCTGCAGAGAGGTCGCAAGCAGTTGCTGAAGCTGGATGATCTGCCCACGTTGCATAGCGAGCTATCATCAAGCCTGCTGAGGGAGCGGATGAGGGTTTGTTGGGAACGTCGATGTAAGTCAAACATGGCCTTTCCAGTTGGATGGACTCGCTCGACATGACTCACAATTGTCCAGCAAAACCAGAGGGAAGATATGCCCTTGTGGTGGCGGTTTTCAAATGCACCTTCTGGCAGAATATGCGTGTTGCTCCTTATGTCGCAGTGCAGGTTTTCCTTCGCTATGCTCAGCCGCTTTTGATCACGTATATGATCACATTTGTCAGTGATCCCCCTCCAGCAGGGGATGCATACTGCCTCGAATCATTCAAATTGATCCTCTCAGTGATGGTGATTTATGTTGGATTGGCTGTAAGTGAGCGAGAAAGAGGGAGACGGCAATAATCCACCTATCTCTAACTACCATCACTGACATTGAATAGATCGTCGATGGCTTGCGATCAATTGCTGCTCGCAAAGTACGTATCGCAGTCCGAGCATGCCTGATCGGCGTTCTCCATGATAAGGCTTTGAAAAGCATTGCCAGCACATCGGATGATTCATCTGCAATCACTCTGAGTAGCAGTGATGTCGAGGATGTTCAGTGGTCGATCGGCTACATCCATACCATCTGGTCGTCTTTTCTTTCCCTTGGTTTGGGAATGTATATGCTCGCTTCAAGACTCGGTTGGGCGAGTGTGATTCCGATCCTTCTGGTGTTATGTGAGTGATAATTTCTCTCTCCCCATGCCATTCGCTTTGTCCATTCCGCCAACGTCAATAGTCACATCGCGAGGAGGAAAATACGTTTCCCAACATTTTGCAGGCAAGCAACGGGCATGGAACGATGCCACACAAGCCCGAATCGGCATCACCAAGACTGTTTTGGAGCAAATGAAAAGCATCAAGATGTGTGGCTTTTCTCGCGCCATGGAAACCAGGATCCAAAACGCCCGAGAGAATGAAATCAAGGCCAGTCTTATCACGTACTGGCTAGATGCGATTCTGATAGCTTGTGGTGAGCAGTTCTTCCTCTTCTTTTCTTTGATGCTCAGTTTGAATACTAAATACCTTATATAGTCACCTTCTTGAATGTAGTCGGGCCAGCGATTACACTTGCAATCTACGCCATCCATTCGAAACTCACTGGCGGAGCTCCCCTTGATACAAATACGGCGTTTACTTCCTTTGCTATCATTCAAATGGTCACTGCCCCTGCGAATTCAATTATCCTGAGCGTACCAGATCTTGTCGCTGCCCTCGCCGGATTTGACCGGTTGCAGAAATACCTTCTTGAGCCTTCCCATGAAGACACTCGGAGAATCCTGACAGAGGCAGGTCCAGATGGGGTGAACAAGATAGACAGCGTTGTGACAGCTACATCTATTGATTCACAGGACGAAGAAAACAATCGAACCTTCTCCATCGTCGTCAAGAACGCAACCATCCGGCCATCGCCAACAGCCCGAGAACCTGTCCTTCAGGGGATCAACATTCAGGTTCAAAAGGGATGGCTCGTCATCTGCGCCGGGGTCACAGGTTCCGGCAAGACGACACTGGCCAGAGCAATTCTCGGGGACGTGCAGCCTGACAGCGGTAGCATCTCCGTGTCCTCCAAAAACATTGCCTGCTGTACGCAGTCCTCGTGGCTAAGAAACGGAACCATCCAAGAGATCATTGCTGGGCCGCCAGGGTCGCAGATCACAGATGTGAAATGGTACCAACGAGTCATCCATGCGTGCTGTCTCGAGGAGGATTTCCAGCAATTGCCTCGGGGCGATCAAACAATGGTTGCCAGTGGCGGCACCTCGCTTTCGGGAGGCCAGAAGCAGCGAGTTGTAAGTTCCTTATTCCTATGATACCGCTGAGACTGACGATGGAGGCTCTCGCTCGTGCGGTTTACTCTCGATTGGATATTCTCGTCCTTGACGACATCTTCAGTGCACTGGATACTCAAACGGAGCAGACAATCGCTCAGCGACTCTTTGGACAACACGGTCTCCTTCGAGAACTTGAAAAAACCGTTTTTCTCATCACACATGCCAGTAAGTTGATTATGGTTAGAAGGAAACATCCGTTTATATTGTAGAATAACAGTTATTCGACAGCTCATTTACTCCCGCTTTCTGACCTGGTGGTTATTCTCAACAAGGATGGCCATGTTTCGAAACAAGGGCCGTGGGATGAACTGAAAGGCCAAGCTGAATCTATCAGCAGAATGATCGACTCGAAACAAAACGAACAGAAAGTGAGCTCTTCATCCGAAGCCAAGACACAGAACAAGGCAGCAGCAGTGGCTTCTTTACGATCCGCTGAACGATCAATGGAGATGGTGAGAAAAACAGGCGACAGCGCCATCTACAAACAGTACATCAACGCAGTAGGGAAACCGCAGATGCTAGTCACCACGCTTGTCATGGCGTCGTCGGCAGGGTTCAGCTTGCTGATCCAGAACTGGCTGCGATGGTGGACCGCAGATGGTCAGGCAGAGCAGCACACTTGGTTCTATGTCTCTGGCTACCTCCTCCTGGCTCTTGCCCACTGGGTGTCGCTGGCGGGGATCAACGCAACGCTGCTTCTGATTGTGCCCAGCTCCGGCCGAGCTCTACACGGCCAACTGCTCTCCACGGTGATGAAAGCTCCGTTGTCGTTTTTCACCTCCTCGGCAGAGGATACCGGCACCACCCTGTCCAGATTCAGTCAGGACATGAAACATATCGACCGCCGGTTGCCAACGCAAGTGGCGCGAATGGGCGGCCAGGCTTTCAAGCTGCTGGCGCAGTTTCTCCTGCTGTACACGGCCGCACAGTCCTCCCTGCTCGTCACGCTCCCCATCCTGTTGGCGGTCGTCTATGTTGTCCAAAAGGTCTACCTGTACACCAGCCGGCAGCTTCGCTGGCTCGACCTGGAAACCAACTCCCTCACCAGCACCAGCTTCCTGGATACCGTGAATGGACTGACGACTATCCGCGCATTTGGCTGGGAAACGGCGTACATGTCTGACAATAGCCGACGGTTGGATATGTCGCAAATCCCCTCATACTCCCTTCTTGGGATCGAGCAATGGCTACAGTTGGTTCTTGATCTGATCATCGCAGCAGTGGCACTGATCAATGTCAGCCTGGTTATCTTTCAGGGCCAATCTGGGGGGGGCTCCACGGCTGGCGAGGTTGGAATCACCATGAACGTTTTTCTTTCGGTGAACATCACCCTCCTAGTCACCATTCACTTTTGGACCAGCTTCGACGCATCACTCGAGGTTGTCTCGAGGATTGCGGCTTTTGCGAGAGAAGTCAAGCCGGAGGCTCAACCGGGAGAAGACCACGTACCACCGGAAGAGTGGCCTGCAAGAGGAGGGGTGGAAATGCAAGATGTGGTGGCTGGATATGGCGGCAGCAGCAACAGCAGCAGCAGTGGTATCGGAGATGGGATTACGACCGCCCTCAACGGGGTCACCTTGACGATTCCACCGTCTTCCAAAACTGGCATCCGCGGCCGCACTGGAAGCGGCAAATCTTCTCTCATCCTGAGCATTCTCCGTCTCCTCGACTTCTCAAAGGGGACAATCTGCATTGACGGCGTCGACCTGGCCACTCTCCCCCGAGAGACGATCAGACATCGGATCATCACCATTCCGCAAGACCCTTTCCTGATTCCTAGTGGCTCACTCCGCGAGAATCTGGATGTAGGCAGTGGAACTGTTTCCGATGAGGAGATGCTGCAAGTGTTGCATAAGGTGCATCTTGCGTCTGTTCTAGAAAGGAGAGATGCTTCCCTTCCACTTGACACCATGATGAAAGATCTCCCACTCTCGGCCGGCCAAATCCAACTCCTCTCCCTCGCCCGCGCCATCCTTCTTCGACCCTCGCGCGGCAACCTGCTTCTCCTCGATGAAGCGACAAGCAATATCGATCGGGAGACTGACGCGGTCATGCAGAGGGTCCTTCGGGAGGAGTTTCGGGGGTATACGGTTGCAGCGATTGCGCATCGGTTGGAGACCATCGAGGATGCGGATAATGTGCTTGTCATGGAGGGGGGGAGAGTGCTGCAGGGCATTTGATATCAATAGCTTATGGATTTATTCCGTACTTGGCACTGAAAGTGGCTTCTATAGATATTACGAAGGTATAAATCTAATAAATATACAACTTTATTGACTTCCTGATGACTCCAAGGACTCATCAGTCCAAGTCAGTGATACCTCTACAATCCAGGGTAGACACTTCAGTAGACCAGCACATCTCACCCTCGTAACATAATAAACAGGCACTCTTAACAAGATAGACTAGAATATTTGCCGAGTCTACCCAGTACTGCCGCCTCGATCTGGTTGTGAACATCATAAGATAGACCTGTTTAATCCTCCTCTTCTCCTTCCAAGCTTCCACTGTGGAAGATCACCTGATGAATCACATAATCCATCACATGACATTCCAGTTATTCCCATTTAGGCAGGCAGTGGTAGTCTCCAGGAAGGAACGAAAGTTCAGATTAATTCACTTACTCACTTACTCTTAATCAGTTACTCACTCACTCTTAATCATTCACTCTTCAGTACTTATAAATCAAATCAAGGGAATACGCTTTGAACCTTATACATAAGTCATCCTCCTAAAGGCATCGAAGGAGAGGTATTCATGGACTGCTTAAGCAAGTCTCTACACACTCTCTACACACTGTCTCCAAGCCATAGGTCCGAAACACAAAGGACTCTCGGTATATCTCTATGACTGATGATTGCTTCTAGTCTCTTCACGAGGCCATTCGAGTCGAAATCTCACACCATGATCAGACGTCTGACTTCGCTGAGCGACAAAGGGATTACTACATAAACGCCTTGGTGATACTCTCAACAACTTTATAAAAGGCTACATTGCTCTGCATGGCTAGATACCCTCTCATTGCGCCATACGTGCCAAAGAGCGCCGAGGACCTAGAGCGGGTAACAAACATGATGGGCAAGCCACGTATGATACCCCGTTCCCAGGTCTATCTAACGGTTTTAGTAATCATCTTTTGCAGGAGTTCCGTGGTACATCAGCCTGGGGAGAGCAGTCTGGCCCTGCTGGATGAGTGGCCTGGGGGATGATGCTGGAGAGAAGACGACGGGTGGAAAGGGGAGCGGTTCGGCGGCCGGGGGCAAGGAGAGAGGAACCAAAGGAAAGGAAAGAGAAGAAAAGGACGAAGAGGGGGGGTGAAGGGGATGAAATCCCGACGTGGTTGACAAAGGAGGTGTCACAGAAATATATGACCAGATAAAAGCTCTAATAATGTCTAGACATTTTCAGTGGCTCAGCGGTCTAGTGGCCCCCTGGATGTTGTCAAAGGAGGAGCGTCAAGCTCAAGAGGGGAGCAGCGGTTTAAGCATATCAAAGTGATAAAGGACAAGGAAGAACACTGACGCTGATTTAAAGGCTGCAGGGGTTAATTTTATCTTTAACTTAATATAGGTTTAAACAGTAAATAATGACAATTCCATAATGAATAATCTATATCCATAAAATAGTAGTAGAGGGAGCGAGAATGTGATAGCGCTTCTATTCAGCCCCCTATCAAGAGGCTGGCTATACGGGAAATACGAAGACCAGGATAATGATGATCTAATTTTATTACCTGTTGAGCTTTACCTATTCATTTTTCCCATGTTTACAAGCGTACATCACTGACTACAGGCAGGAAATATACTCCGTACACTTGAAGAGTGCAGCAGGAATTGACTACTCTGTGAGTCTACATCATGAAGTAAGTCTGTTCTTATTATCAATAAACACCGGCTAACCAGCATCCCTGTCTATCAATGACGCTGTCCAGCCTATCAGCCCAACATGAATCTCGCCTAAAAATGCCCGGTTTGATCCTGCCAGACAAAGCAGACAGAGTATAAGCCTCACCAGCGGGGATCAGCAGACCCTGTTACGACCCTTTGCCAAGCAGACCCTGAATTCATCTCACAGACGTGTATCGCGAACCTTGAGGCCCAAATCTTTGGTCAAATTGTAGCGTGTCTTGGCCGGCTCCCGTGGCTGAAACGATACGACCAGGGGATTCGGAATCGCTTAGCTTGTACTGATTCGTGCTGGTTTGTGAACGGTCAATATGGCAATCAGCAAGGCCAGCGAAGATGCAATTGGAGACTGATAATCGCCGGTGACAATAACAATCGAAAACCTGGAGCTATCTTATGCGCCGAGGGACTAAGTGCTTATGAGGTGCCTCAATACGAGCAGCAGCAGTAGTACCAACTACTAACTACTAACTACTGATCTATCTGCCTACTAATATAAGAAGATGCCAGACCAAACCCAGGTTACTACTTACTACTTACTACTACTTACTTACTCCGTACAAAGCAGCGGTTCACCATGCTGGCCCTCCACATCACTCTGGCCGCCCTGCTGGGCACGGCGCTCGTCTTCGGCATCATCGAGCTCGGCCTCGTCGCGTACGGGGTGAGTCTGTACACAAAGTCCTACACTGTCGAAGAGTGCACGCTCTACTCGTGCTACGACGAGCATGTGCACGGCTCTGCGCCCGCCATCACCATCTTCATGCTCTTCTCCGCCATCTGGACCGTGCTGGGCACCGTCGTCGCCGCCGTCCTCCCCTGGTGGTACGCGGAGAAGAAGCGCGTCCTCGTCACCAAGCAGATGAACCAGGGGTGTTTTGCCGGCTTAATCATCTTCTACTTCGTTACCATGGTCTTCTGGCTCGCTTCGTTTGCGGATATCGCCTCCATCCTGGACGGTGAGACCAGCGTCTTTGATATCATCAATGCCATCATCGCGTTCGCCGTTTTACTCTGGTAAGATTTCCAAAATTCTAGTACTCGGTAGGAGAGAAGAAAACTAAGCTAATCTTCTAGGCTCGTCTTCATGGCCCTCTTCATCCTCACCATCCTCGCCGTCTGTGACGTCCTCAAGAGCGAGTGGCCGGGATATCTTTCTCTCAAGGAGACCTCCGCGACAACAACTACCCCTGCTACCGAATCACAACCTGTTCCTCCTGCTGATGCTGAACCCAAGAGTGAGGCTGTCGCGTCGGAATAGCCTTCACGATGGACTGGAATAATGGCTGGAAGGAGTAATGATTGGAGAGAATAATACAATATGAGGATGAATGATGGTTAATCCTATGCTTGTCTATTCATAGTTAATTTAATACGTATCATATGTTCGGTTACAGTCTTAGCTTAGGCTATACTTATAAAGTAATATGTCTATTAATGGTACAGCTAGAGATGTGCATGGGTATCTATCAACGTGGTCCGAGATCTGCCGGTATACATGCTGTGCAGCCGGCACAGAAAAGCTTCAAGGGCAGGGGCTGGAGAGAGAGAACAAGTCCGAGAAAATAGAAGAGAAGAGATCGATGCCGCGGAAAGTCTAGACCAAACGCCGTGATGCAGATCGCGCCTGTGGTAGAGCCGGATAAACAAAGAGAAAGAAAGAGAAGAGAGGCTGTTGGGTATGAGCGAAAGAGAAAGACAAAGAAAAGAAAAAGGAATGATAGGGAAGAAGGAAAGAAGGAAAGAAATAAAAGAAGGAAAGGTAAGAAAAAGAAGGAGAAGGAAGTTGTTATATGGACAAGTCTTCGTCCAGATCGGAAGAGAACATGGTCGGCAGCCCAGCCGAGGGACTCAATAGACCCCGTCCGCTCTCCCCCCCGTCCGGCAACTCTTCCGGCGAGAGGACGCGACCGCCGAGCTCCACGTCGCTGATATGAACGTGGTACTCGAGGGCCTTGCGGGCTTCCTTGATCAGCTCCTCCGTCCACCCCAGACACCGTTTCAGGCTTTGGTTCATCTTCTGGCTGTCCACAAGAAGTTCCTGGTGCTTGGAGAGATCGATCTTGAACCGTTTCTCGTCGGCTTCCCGGTGCTTTGCGTCGTGTTCGGCCAGCGATTCCGGGCTCAGCACGCTCTCGTCCTCGATCGAGTTCTCGTCGTCCTCGTCGTCCTCCTCCTCCTCCTCGTCGTCGTCGCTGAATTCGCTCGGATCCTCCTCTGGCGAGCGGGAAGACGAGCGCTCACTGCCCGGCGCCTCATCGCCCTCACTGAAGGCTGGCAGTGCCGTCCCGGAGAAGGACCGTGTGGAATCCGCCGCCACGGACAGCCGGCCCGACCGGCTGAGGCGACGGTAGCGGCGTAGCTCGGCATTCTGCTTGCGCATCTCTCGCTCCAGCGTGCGGTTGATGGCTAGCAGTGAAGAGTTGCTGATCTCCAGATCGAGGATCTTGCGTTCGGTGCGGGCGTTGACGGCCGGATCAACGGCCGGGAGGCGTGGCGTCTCGGTCCGAACGGGGCTCTGTAGTGGTAGATGCGAGTGCGTGTCTACCAGCGATACGGTAGATCCGTTGCTAAACACCCGGTGTCGAAGACCGGTGATTGGCTCAGAACTGACTGACTCATCTGAATGGTTGTTCTTTAACCCTGATGGAGATGCCAGAAGGGGACTGGGGCGCAGGCCCTCCCGCTCACGGGGAGGAGACCCAAAATTGCCCAGGTCAATACTAACCGCCTTGGCATGGTGGGAGGTGGGAGGATGGTGCTGCCTGTCGTGCAAGCTGTTTAGAAGCGAGGAGGTGGTCTGTAAAGTCGCAATATTCTCGACCGGGTTGCCCACCAGCGAGTGGATCTGCGGTCTCGCGTCCTCTGACGACAGCCGAGACGACGCATCCGTCACGACTTTGGGCGATTTCAAGTGCGGCGAAGGAGCGGTGTGCGGTTGTTTGCCGGTCGCCGTGGGACGAGGAATCCCAAACGAGCGCCGCTTCACCGACGATACGGTGCTTCCCGAGTCCTTGGTAGGCAATAACGAAGGCGGTTTCTGTTCCTCCTCGCCGTTGGCGTAGATAAAAGTAGTTGGATGTGGCGGTTTGACGGATGGTCTGGGTCGAGGAGCGTCCGAGTCGGAGCCCGTTGCCGACCAGGCATCCGACGCGTGGAAGAACATCTGCGGTGCTGACGGGCCTGGGAAGAGGTACTGGCCATTGCTGTTATGGGTGTTATTATTGTTCTCCGTCACCGTCTTTGGCCGGGAATTTCGCGACGGCTCAGACCGTACCGTCCCGCGGACTGGACTGCGTTCGACTCGATACCCTCCGCCATTGCTCCTAAGCGAGGCCTGCTGCTGCTGCTGCGAGATGGAGGGCTGTGGAGAATGCTGGGCACTTGACGGCGATGACACAACCCCATCGCGTCTGCTACTCCGTGGACCAGAGCGCGGGGTGACGTTGGCGGCGAGATAGACCGGACACGGGGTGGCGGCGGTGGGCACGAGGTCGTCTCTGGAGGAGGAGAGGGCGGAGGGATGCTCGGAGCTGGGATATCGGGGAGAGTGGTGGTAAGTGCTGGCGGTCGCGAGCTTGGGAGTCAAGGGAGACTTGTTGTTGGAGCGGTGGAAGGCGGCGCTGAGCGAGGGGGTGAAGGGCTTCTGTTGTGGTTGTTTATCGGAGGTCATAGTTGCGGGATTCGAGGGGCGGACACGACGACGAGTGTAAATCATGGCATTGCGAGTCCGCGCGGCAGGCTGCGAGCATGGTGGCACCGGCCAGGAGCTGCGAGTGCCGAAGGGTCGATGGTCAGACAGGCCGATTGACTGCTGAGGGAGATGGTGAGGGCAGGCAGGAAGAATCCGTGATGCTGGGGGGAATCAGATCTGCTGTCGACACGGGCGAAAAACATCATCGCCTAGAGGGGTTAGCGTGTGCTGGTGCCACATTTCATGATTTACTTCGACGGAGTCACAAGAATAACAGTAAAGAATGACTTTATTGCTAATGAGTATATATACTTTGGAATATCTTTACAGTACTTCGGATCTGGACAAAATACTGCTTACCCTTACAATCCTGTATTTGCACTCCTTGCGGTCGCAATTGTTTTCTCGCTCGGATCTTCGGCTGGTCTAGAATCCATCCCTGTCCGTATTCAACCGATCGCATCGCACAATCTACAGTATGACATTCGGGTGGAGATGGCAAAAAGGCTTAGGAAAGGGAAAAATTTTGCTCTGTCTTGTGATGGATTGAGGTGTTTTTATACACGGTTTGGTCTGCAGGGTGTATATAGTTACAAGGCAAGGTTCACCGCTTACATACCTCAAGTGTGGCTGAGACGTCACTATCCAGGCTGTCGAGTGAGTCTCTATGAATAGCTGCGGACCAATATGTCATGTAAAAAAAAGCCGTTTCTGGCGAGGATCGGGGGTAGTGGTTGAGCCCGGTTTGCGCTTCCGTGATTTGGGAAGCACTGGGAGAGCTTCGCCGGGCGCCGCCTGCACGGCTTCCTTGATGGTCTGCTTCGACAGACAAAAATCCACATGCTCGTTGAACACCTTATCGTCTGCTGGGTGTGGCCGGGAGCAGATGGGACAGTCCCAGTGGAGTGCTGGAGACGCTGGCGAGTCTTCACTTGGTGACTCGGACGGCTTCGGCTCGGGGAGGTCTGCAATTTCCTGGCTGAGTTGCTCCAGTTCATTCATGTCTTCCTGCAGCTCCTCGCGAGCAGCAGTTTCGAACGCTTCTTCGGCACCGGCATTGCCTTGCCTGATGGTTGCGGTCGGTCTTTGCTGGTTGACGGCCGCTGCGCCGAAGAATTCAATGCCCACCTTCTTCGTGCTCACTAGGTGTGTGCAGCGAAGACCGAGCAGTCGGAGCTTCAGGTCTGGGATTTCCTTTTCGAGTTTCGCCAACATGGGAAGAGCAAACGCGTATAGATCTTTGGCGAGCATCACAGCTCTCGGGGGGGCGATCTGACGGGTCAATACTTCAAAGGTATGCAGCTTGACTTTCAGCACCAGGGTGCGACCCTTGACTTGGGCACGAGCCAGGTCTTTTTCCAACTCTTGCGCGGCGGTCCAGAGTTTTGCGCGGATCTCTTCCTTGCCTCCAATCTCGTGGAAGGTGGCCTCCGTGCCTACACTTTTGCGTTCGTAGTTTTCCACTGGCTGAACCCTGGTTCGGCCTAAGCCAAGATAGCATTGCATCAGAAAATAGAATGCCTTCTCGCCAAATAGCTTCGTGAGGTATGCTCGTTGGGGATAGATATCGCCGCATGTCTTGATCCCCATCGAGTCTAACTCCCGCTCAAACACTCGGCCCACCCCATTCACCTTGCGAACGGGCAGATCTCTCATGAAATCCATGATGGCGGCTCGGTCACTGGGGATGAAGAACTGGCCGTTCGGCTTGTTGCGGTTTGAAGCAATTTTGGCGAGCTTCGCATTGGCTGCAATCCCGGCGGAAACAGAGATCTTGGTCTTCTCGAGAATCGCGGCTCGCATCTCTTGAATCGCCTCCTGCGGGTCCTTTTGATTTTCCGCACAGTATGGCGTGATGTTCAAATATGCCTCGTCGATGCTCGCGCTTTCAAACAGCGGATCGTACTCGGCAAAGATGGCGCGAATCTCAGTTGCTTTCGCCGTGTACTTGTCAAAGTTCGGGGCCACACAGATCAGCTGTGGACACAGCTTCTTGGCCACAAAGCTGGCCATGCCGCTACGGCAGCCAAACTTTCGGGCCTCATAATTGCAAGTGGACAACACACCCTTGCCCACGGCCATCGGCACAGCCTTCAACTCGGGACGGTCCAATTCCTCCACGGCAGCGAAGAAGGCGTCACAGTCCACATGTACGATATGCTGTGACAAATCACGCTCCAATTCCAGCTGCGCTAGATATTCGTCTGCACGTCGCAGGTCCTGCGACAAGTCCAACTGTTCCAGGCGTGCTTTGGCACTCAGGATCCGCTCAATCTTCGCCGTGAGCACTTTATCACGCTCCTGTTCGCGGTTGAAAAACTTGGAGCCTTTGGATGCATTGTAGATAATCTCCGATACCTAGTCCATTTGTTACTATGAGAAGATACTCGACGTAATATTTGCCTTTCAAACGGCGAGTTTAACCTTCTGCTGGTCGACTGCATCCTGCCCCGCCTTGGTCAGAGAAGGCCCCAACAGCGAATATTTCAAGGTCCGGTCATGACTCTCGGTTCTCGACTCGTCAACTTCGTCCGTTTCCTCTACAGGGTCACCACCCTTCGCGTCCATGGCCTACTCCATAAGGCAGGCGAGGAACCGCCGAGCAAGCGTGCGTGAAGTACTCAACCTCGCGGAGGATCAAGGCAACACGGAATTCTGGATCAAATACACAAGCATTGGGTTTGGGAGTATGCAATGAGATAAATAAAGGCCTCTCTGCTAGCCTTTGAAACCGAGAGCCAGGAAAAACTTCAATATCGTTCAATATCCAAATACGCGTTGCTGCCTAGTCCCAAGCGGGCTATAAAATTGCGCTATCACGTGATCACGCGTCGCACCCCGTGACGTGCTCCTCAAAGTGCGGAAGACGCAGCAGTCGTAAATGGCCAGTTTTGGAGCCATCGTTCCTCATGTGGATTCTCGACTCGGATGGTGATTTTCTGGAAGGTAGATTACGCCTGGCCTAGTTTGAACTGCAGTCGCTATCGCTGACCTTTTCCTTCAAGGGAAACGCGTGTGGCTCAAACCGGGGAAGCAGTATCTGTTCGGTCGCATTCGGCAGGATGGAGGTAAGCATGGTGTTTCGAAAAAGTCTCGGTGCAATTTGGGAAATTGCTAACACCTTGGGAATGTGTAGTCCGCCATGCGATCGGGAATGCCTCCATCTCCAGAAAGCACATGGTGATCGAGGTATCACCAGTGAAGCCGGGAGACGGGGTAGGAACACACACCAAAGAGCCGTTTCGGAGAACTGTTGGCTGACAGACGCCAGTCACATATCCATGCGAGGTCTGAGATTTCAGTGATTGATCAAGGGTCGAAATGTGGCACGATCGTCAACGGGGAGCAGATCAGAGGGGACAGCAAAAAGCTCAACGGCGAGGAGCATACGATCAAGATCGGGAAATACCAACACCTCCTGAGGTATGGATGCAGCGATGCTGCTACGATTATACTCGGCGGCTGATCTAGCTTTTCTATCGAATCTAGGATTACATGGCAACCGACTGTGCTCAGCTTCTCATTATCGTCGAAAGAACTGAAAGTGAGAGACCCCCTGGTCCACGTGCGCTCCCGACTTGAGGATCTCGATATCAAGACCGTCATTCCATATCTCGTCGATAAGACTACACATGTTGTTCAGAGTAAACGAAATACGGCGAAGGGATTACAAGCGCTGATAAATGGGAAATACATTGTGCAAGAGTCCTTCCTCGATGCGGTGGTGTACGCCGCAACACCCAGCGACTTGGAGAACATTGAATCGCTGTCTCCGCTCGAGTCTGACTTTGACTCTGCCTGGCCGGATGCGATGGAGCATCTCCCACCACCTGGAAAAGAACCGGTCCAAAGATCGGCTGACGCTTTTGCACCAAATCCAAGCCGATTGAACATTTTCGAAGGATACACGTTCGTCTTTGGTGACAGTATGCAGTTTGAGAACCTTCAGGCATCGATCAATAATGGGCATGGGAAAGCCCTCTTCTACCAGGTTGAGGACGGTGTCACCACCGCCGAGGAGATAGTACAATTCATGCGGAACGCCTCTGGCGGTAAAGGCATAGGTGCCGAGAGAAGCGATCCTGGAGGGGTTGTTCTCGTGCGCTTTCGTTCCAAGGGCCGCTATGAGAATTGGTCCATTGAGATAAGCAATCAGATTGCAGTCATGATCGATCAACGTGTGATAGAGCAGAGCGAATTCCTCGACGCCATCTTGGGCAACGATGCTGCTCCGTTGTGTCGTCCTCTTCCTTCGGAACCGGACCTGACCCAAGAATCTGACACCGGGGCCGGGGCCGGAGCCGGTACCTCCTCGCAACGTGCTCTTACACAAACTTCAGCTACAGAAGTGGTTGACGATGAAGCCTCTCAACCCACACCCGAACTATCCCTTAAAGAAGAACCGACGCAACGCTCCAGGTCGGGGAGTAAACGGCCACGAGTCCGCAGTTTTGTCAGCAAGGTGAAGAATTTCGACGATGGCTTTGATATGAATTCAATCCCTGTCTACACGCTGGAAGATGACGAGGTTATTCCCGACTCAGTCCCACCGGTAGCGATGGAACCTATTCCGGAGGAACAAACACAGCCGGACAGGATGGTTGATGAAAACGAGGAAGAGGACGTTCTTTCTGCTCTGCTCCCCGGCGCCAAGGCGATGAAGAGACACCGGGCTGAGATGAGTCGACACCAGGTAGATGACCCCGGGCACTCCCCAAAGGAAGAGAGTCTCCCACGACCGAAACGTCCGAAGCTTGACGTTCGAGAGGCGGCCCGTCAGCACCGAGAAGCTGCTGAAGAGAAGGCCCACCAGCGTCGACAGGCTGAAGAAGAAGCCTTGCAGGCCTCTCTCAAAGATGTTGACGTTGAGAAGATGAAAAACCTTGCCATCGTAGAAGAGATGGACATCAAACCGAGAACGCCTAGCGAACCCCTCACAGATGATCGGGACCGCTGGGATGAAAGATGGAACGGGCGCAAGAATTTCAAAAAATTCCGACGCAAGGGGGACCCCAGTCACACCCGGCAGCGGATCCAAACGGTCATCGTTCCCCTGGAGGAGGTCGTCAGGAAAGAGTTTGGAGTCGGCGAACACCACTGGGTTAGCATCCGCAAAAGCCCCGACCCGGGCGCCGTGGAGAGCGGCAGCGGGCCTCGCGATGCGATACTGAGCCGCGAGGCCACCGGCACCTCCACTTCACAACGGTCCCTTCGGACAGAGAGTGAGGCACCACCGCCGTCCCTCCGGCAGCAGAAGCGAACCCGTGAAGTCCAGGACTCGGACAGCGAGGAGGATCTCCGCTTCCGCTTCCGCCGCAAGAGGTAGCAATTTCCTCTGCTATGAATAGAACACCACATACGGGTATTGTTGCAGGACTCTGTCCTTTTGTACATAAAGCCTACAAAACTAATCCACACCGCTCACTTTCCCTCTCCGGTCGGATGACAAGAGAAAAATGAAGCCTCATCTGGCTCCATGGATCTTTGAATAGAAGCTCTCCATCCCCCACCCTACCCTGCCAAGGTAATTTCCAGCAGCCATAGCGCTGGGGGATTCGCCAATCAATCTGACGTGAACTACTGGACGGTGGGTTCCATCCAGACTCCAGACGGTCCACAGCGAATCTTAAAAAAAACCCACTTTAGCCTCGCCTTATGCAGTGATTATAACTCGTCGGTCTCCCTGGAGCATTCTCAACATTAAATCGCAGAGACCCCAGACATGGATGGCGTTTCATTCTCCCCTTCGAGCGGACGGTGCTCCTTCTGAGACGGTCGGGGATTCGTGTGTTTGGAGACGGGCGTTTGGGCTGGATCGGCGGGTACTGTCCGACCAGAGGATCCTTCATTGATAAGAGTGGAACTGGACAGAGTCTGTAGGATGCCCAAGTAAAGCGTTAGTAACTCAGGTACGCAGTAGCTAGTGGGAGTAATTTCCATCGAATCGACTTGGTTCCTCTGGGGACAAGAGCAACTTATTGAATTTGGAGTGTACAGCAGCTCCGTCTCGCCCTGTACAATCAAAACTGCAGTTGTATAGGCTATTAGTAGGAGGACCAAGTCTGTCTTGACTGATCTGAGATGCTTCTTCACTGCAGGGACTGCTGGGGCTGTGTGTGAAGTTGAACAGCAGTGAATGTTAAGAGTGAGTGGTTGCTGCACCACACCGACCGGCCTCCTCCTCCTCCTCCTCCTCTTCCTCTTCCTGCTCTTCTTCTTTCTTTTCCCCCTCCTCTTCTTCCTCTTCTTCCTTTTCTTCCATTTTTTTCTCTTTCCCCAATGTCAGTCCATAAGAGCAGCCGCCCTTACCGCCGCAGCCAGCCGGGGCCCGCATCATAATGTGGCGATCATCTTCCACTGGCATAATTCAGACCTGGATACAGCGCTGGTTTCGGAGCAGAAGAGCAAAAGGCTTCGGGGAAATTATTACCCCAGTCGGATCCGACAGGCCCTGCTCCTGACACCCCTGACACCTGAACAGCTTACACAGAAAATTGAGCTGGGCTTGAATGCCCCCAAAGGCTGGTCTAGCTAGCCCCGAATGCACAAAATGCTGAGTTGGCAGCCAAGTCGGTGACAGAGCTGCCTGGTAACTAGATTTAAGCTTTACTATATTATTATTCATGGCATATATTGGTGGAGTTATAATTGACGAATTAAATATTGATGAAAGCAAGGATTCGTCGAGGAAATTCCCCTTGCCGCCCTACTCTTCAACCCACTCCTTCGAGGGTACCTAGTAGGTCTTGAAATGATATTCTGGTAATTTACACACAACAATGATCAGTCGTAAAATCAAACAATCAAGCCATTGATGCCCATTCATTTGTTTGCCCGCTCAAGCACATCCATCAATTCCACCGCTTTCTGGGTCAGCACGCGAGTATCATCACCGACTCGTGGGCTTTCCCTGGCAGCATCAAGGGTCTTTCGCCAGAAGCTCCAACGCGGAAAGCCAAGAATAGGACCGTCGTAGAGTGTCCCGGTTCGCCATGAAGTCTCATTGAGGCTGCTAGCACGCGGGGAATGGACCACCTCCTTGAAGAGCGACTGCCCGGCATAAATGATCCACACAGAGGCGCCTGCCATGCTGGCACTGTACAGAGCCGCGTTATGCTTATACGCTGCTTCTTCCTCCAAGAGTTCTCTGAAGTTCCATATTGCATAGATGATGTCGGGGGAAATCCCAGCAGCCGACAGCCGCGCCAAGAATGCACATTCATTGAGGGACGCTACTTCCTCAGACGTCCCTGGCTCGAAAAGGACTTTTTCAATGGGCAGGCAGAAAGGTTAGCGTTCTATGGAATGAAAGACCAGGGGAACTCAAGAAAGAAGCC